ACCAAAATACATATTTTCGTAAGCAATTTCCCTAATATAATGCATTTTTTGTGAACCCTGTTTGGCTGGAGAGCTGCATCAGGAAAACTGGATGATTTATTTTATTTATTTATTTTAATAAGATTGATGTACAACCAGATTGTAAAGAAAACCCTCCAAGCAGTGTATAGAAATAGGTAAAACGTCAAAATTATCAATAAGAAAAAATAACAACAGTAATTTAAGTAATAAACCACAGGCTAAAAACAGATAAAAATTCGCATCAACTTTCTGAAGTAGGCTTGTTTTAGTGTGAATGATGAAGGATGGCTTCATGATGGGTTGTCTATTGTTTTCAAAAGAGCAGATGTGATAAATTCAGCTTTAAATGTAAACCAGGGTTGAATTTCTTCTCCCTCCCTAACTCAGAGCAGGACTTTCTCTCTGGGCAGTCCCAGACCTTTCCCCCTCAAATTTACCAAGGCAAGTGAGGTGTTTATACTGCCAGGACGTGGGCTATAATGTTCCTACAAAAATTACACACCCAAGAAATTCCCGTCCAGCGTGGAGATACCCACAACAATTACACTAACATTTCTGTTTCCCATTTCTCTGCCTCGCCCTTGTCGCTTCTGAATGGGTTTGTGCAGGAATAACATAGAGGTTCTTGCAACTGAAACAGAGAAGTGAGCAACTTAATTACTCCATTTCATAGTGGGATGGTGCACTTAAACATTTCCTTTATAGACGGCAAAGCCAGAAGCTTCAGGGGCAAAGTAACTGGAAATTCCAGGATTGCACTTCTGGATGGATTTTGTCGAATGCAAATCAGCCGTGGGCGGCTTGAGGACAGTACCTGACCCTTCCCTTCCAGGCACCCATCCATTCAAAACCACACTCTGGAAGCCTGTAAGATGCAACATTGCGGATTTGTGCCAGGATGGATTCCAGCAGAGTATTAAAATACAGTGGTGTGTTAAACTACCAAGAAGGCCCTCTGCCTGGTTCCCTGTAACTTGGCTTCTCGCAGGGAGGGAACCGCCAGAAGGCCTTCGGCGCTGGACCTCAGTGTCCGGGCAGAACGATGGGGGTGGAGACGCTCCTTCAGGTATACAGGACCGAGGCTGTTTAGGGCTTTCAAGGTCAGCACCTTTGAATTGTGCTCGGAAACGTACCAGGAGCCAATGTAGGTATTTCCAGACCGGTGTTATGTGGTCTCGGTGGCCGCCCCCAGTCACCAGTCTAGCTGCTGCATTCTGGATTAATTGTAGTTTCCGGGTCACCTTCAAAGGTAGCCCCACGTAGAGTGCATTGCAGTAGTCCAAGTGGGAGATAACCAGAGCATGCACCACTCTGGCGAGACAGTCTGCAGGCAGATAGGGTCTCAGCCTACGTACCAGATGGAGCTGGTAAACAGCTGCCCTGGATACAGATTTTACCTGTGCCTCCATGGACAGCTGTGAGTCCAGAATGACTCCCAGGCTGCACACCTGCTCCTTCACCTCCTCCACACCTGTCTGCCTCCTGTCCCCCAAAAACAGTACTTCTGTCTTGTCAGGATTCAACCTCAATCTGTTAGCTGCCATCCATCCTCCAACCACCTCCAGACACTCACACAGGACCTTCACCGCCTTCATTGGTTCTGATCTGAAACAGAAGTAGAGGGTTGTTTTTTTGTTTTTTTTTTATAATATGTCTTGTTATAACTTTGAATAATATATATATATATATATATATATATATATATATATATATATACAGAAGTAGAGCTGGGTATCATCCGCATATTGATGGACACCGAACCCAAACCCCCTGATGATCTCTCCCAGCAGCTTCATGTAGATGTTGAAAAGCATGGGGGAGAGGACAGAACCCTAAGGCCCCCCACAAGTGAGAGCCCGGGGGTCTGAACACTCATCCCCCACCACCACTTTCTGAACACGGCCCAGGAGGAAGGAGCGGAACCACTGTATAACCGTGCCCCCAGCCCCCAGCCCCTCTAGACGGTCCAGAAGGATGTTATGGTCGATGGTGTCAAAAGCTGCTGAGAGATCCAGCAGAACTAGGAAACAGCTCTCACCTTTGTCCCTAGTGTGCCGGAGATCATCGACCAGCGCAACCAAGGCAGTTTCAGTTCCATGATGAGGCCTGAATCCCGACTGGAAGGGATCCTTAAGAACATCAGAACCTCCTGGATCAGGAACAATGGACCATCTGGCCCAGCATCCTGTTCTCACAGTGGCCAAGCAGGTGCCTGTGGGAAACCAGGATGCAGGATCCGAGGATGGAAGCCCTCTGGCCTCCTGTGGTTTCTAGCAACTGGCATTTATAAGCATTTCTGCTTCCAACTGTGCAGGCAGAGCAAAGCGATCGTGACTAGCATCCATCAAAAGCCCTCTCCTCTTCCATGAATTTGTCCAGTCCTCCTTTCAAGCCATCTAGGTTGGTGGCCCTGGCTGCCTCCTGTGGGAGGGAGTTCCACAGTTTACCCTCCTCCTCTGGCAGAGCGGCAGGGGGCAAGAGGCACGAGAGGAGTCTGAGATGCCCAGTCCCTGTGCCTGGGGCTGTAGGTCTAGCTCAGGGCATGGGAGGAGGCCTTGAATCCCGAGATGCCTTGCACCATTGGGTCAGGAGCCAGGAGGATGTCTGGGGCCAGGGCAAGGTCATGCACAGGTGGTGGTGGAAGCCCAGGCCAGGTTCATTTGGGGCAGGAGGCTGGCATGATGGTGGGAGAAGTAAACAGGCAAGGCCTTGTTGGCATATAACTCCCATGCCCAGAGATCTGCACTGGTTGCCTCTTTGCTGCCGGGCCAAGTTCAGCTATTAGTATAAAGGTAAAGGGACCCCTGACCATTAGGTCCAGTCGTGGCCAACTCTGGGGTTGCGGCGCTCATCTCGCTTTATTGGCTGAGGGAACCGGCGTACAGCTTCCGGGTCATGTGGCCAGCATGACTAAGCCGCTTCTGGCGAACCAGAGCAGCACACGGAAACTCCCTTTACCTTCCTGCTGGAGTGGTACCTTTTATCCACTTGCACTTTGACGTATTTTCGAACTGCTGGGTTGGCAGGAGCAGGGACTGAGTAATGGGAGCTCACCCCGTCGCGGGGATTCGAACCGCCGACCTTCTGATTGGCAAGCCCCAGGCTCTGTGGTTTAACCCACAGCACCATCCGCGTCCCTAACTATTAGTATACAAAGCCCTTAACAACTTGGGCTCAGTTTACCTGCAAGATCACCTCACCCCAGAACAGGTGCCACACAATGCCTATTCTGCAGTTGCAAGAGCTCACTCTTTCTGTTGGAAGCCGCCCAGTGTGGCTAGGAAAACCCTGCCAGATGGGTGGGGTATAAATCAATTTTATTATTATTATTATTATTATTGAGCGTGGCAGCACCTGCACTTTTGAGTCCTCTGCCTTTCAGCATCAGGCAAGAGCCATCGCTGGTGCTTCTTTTCAGTGCCTGCTAAAAACATTTCAGTTTAGGCAAGTCTACCCAGATGTTATTGCTATTTTAACTTTGCCAAAGTCTTAAATGATTGTTGATTTTTCTCGTATCGTTTTTGTAAACGGCTTTGAGGGTTGTTGTTCTTTTTCCCAGTTGCAGTGCCTGCGTTTTCCTTCCCATCCAGCCCTGGCTCCCGGTCTCCGCAGCTTCGATTGCCCTGCTTGCTGCAGCAATCCAGGTGTGCTCAGGCCTGCCAGTCAGATGCCAGGGCGCTTAGCCTGGCTAATGATAAGCCATAGCTGAACAATGGGAGAGGGAGGGTGGGGTGAGGTGCACTTTCGGTGGCCACCGAAAGCCGCCCTGTCCTTCTGGCGAACTCTGCACAGTGTGGGAGGCAGAGGGGGCCAAGAGGACTGGGAGGAAGGTCACACGGGTGCTGCCTCTCGAGTCGCCAGCCCAGCCCGACCGAAACACAGCTCTCTGTTGAAATTCGCATTTCTCTGAATTTTGCAATGCAATTCTCCACACCCCCAAAAGGTATAAAATTGCATAGATTGGGGGGAAATGTGCACAGAGGTGCACCTCTCTGTAAAAACTGCACACAAAATCCATTATATTAGTATAATGAAATGCTATTATTAGTATTAGAAATATTATTATTAAGAATTTCCTGCCCTCCACCCGAAGGTCCCAAGATGAGTCACAGCATCAAAAGACAATTTTAAAACAATGATAATTACATTGCCATATGTCTATCTGTTTGTCTATCTATCTATCTAACTATCTATCTATCATCTATCTATCATCTATCATCTCTCTCTCTATTATCTATATTTATCTATCATCTATCTATATCTATATCTATCATCTATCTATCTATCTATCTATCTATCTATCTATCTATCTATCTATCTATCTATCTATCATCTATCTATATCTATCTATCTATCTATCTATCTATCTATCTATCTATCTATCTATCTATCTATCTATCTATCTATCTATCATCTATCTATCTATATCTATCTATCATCTATCTATCTATATCTATCTATCATCTATCTATCTATCTATCTATCTATCTATCTATCTATCATCTATCTCTCTCTCTCTCTCTCTCTCTATCTATCTATCTATCTATCTATCTATCTATCATCTATCTCTATATCGATCTATCATCTATCTCTATATCTATCTATCTATCTATCATCTATCTCTATATCTATCTATCATCTATCTCTATATCTATCTATCTATCTATCTATCTATCTATCTATCTATCTATCTAAATGAAAGGAGTGAAAACCACATCCAAACATCCCTTTGTCAGGTGAAACCCATCCTAAAACATTAGTGAGCTTTTAGGAGGATTAAATATATATATATATTGCAAATTGCTGCATGAATGTGGACAACTGAAATCAGGATTGGGGAAAATGGGGAACCTGGAGAGTGGAGATTGACAGCTCCCTCCCCCTGCCAGGCTCCAGTCTGACTGGTCTCCCTGCGGCCGGGTGTCGCCCTGTGACGCCTCCCCCGTGTTTGGGAATACGCCGACCTGGGTAGGGCTGTTGCTCTGGGGCCGGATTAGAAGGGAATCCAGTGAGCCGGCTTGTGACAAGCCTTAGCGCGTCCCCCGTGAGCCGGCCCCGCCTGCCTGGCCCTTTAAAAGCCCCCGGGCTCGGCTGGCAGGGCTCAGACACAGCTTTGGCAGCACCATGAAGGCAGGTGGTCTCCTCCTCCTCCTCCTCCCTGTGGCCCTGCTGGCCCTGGGGGTCCATTGCATGCCCTCTTTGGACACCAAGGAAGCAGAAGGTGAGTAGAACTGGTCAGAGGGGAGCTTGGGGCCTCTGAGGCTGGGCTGGGGGCACCTTGGGTGGTCACTGGAACACAGAATTGTAGAGATGGAAGGGACCCAAAGGTCCTCTAGTCCAACCCCCTGGAATGCAGGAACCACAGCTCTAGAATCCCTGACATATGGCCACCCAACCTCCAGTGAAGGAGAGTCCACCACCTTCCGAGGGAGTCCATTCCACTGCCCAACAGCTCTTACTGTCAGAAAGTTCCTCCCAAGGTTTGGTCGGAATCTCCTTTCTTGTGACTTGAAGCCGTTGGTTCAAGTTCTCCCTTCTGCATCAGCTTGCTCCATCTTCCAGGAAACAGCCCTCAGGTGGCTCTCATGTCACCTCTCAGCCTTCTCTTCTCCTGGCTCTGCAGCTCCTTTTCCGCCCCACCCCACCCCCAAGACGCACACCTGAGGCAGCTGAGTCTGACGTTCCTTCTCTCTCCACCAGTGGTCTGTGGGTGAAGGCCAGGAATTGATGGGACCCCTCTGGCACAGTGTTTATATAGATGCCCCACAAGGTGCGCTGTCCAGACTGGGATGGGGCTGTTTGTTTTTTAGGGGTGTGCATCAAGCAGCAGGCGATCTGAGCATTGCTCCCCAAGATATCTTCCCTTGGAACTGATGGTGCTTTAGGGGGTGGGGGACTGCGTGCGCATAGGGGCACAGCCTGGGCAGGGCCCCTTCTGCACCAGCTGCTGTCTTTAGGTGCCAAAGAGAATACTGCTAAGGGGTCTGCTTGACATCAATAGGCAGGGAGTTCCAAAGTGAAACTGCTGCCATACGAAACAACCAAGTTCTTACAAATACAGAAGAGGAATTACGTGGTTCATCTTATGTTGTTACCTCTTGTACTTCTTTGTGGGGGGTGCTCTGGAAAGTGGCCTGCGTAAGTGACCCTTTGTGGGTCCCTTAAGAATATAAGGAAATCCTGCTGGATGAGGCCAGTGACTCACCTAGTCCAGCATTCTGTTCTTACAGTGGCCAACCAGATGTTCATTATGGGAAAACCCATAAGCAGGATTAGAGCATTGAGAAGAGTCATCCTGGCTAGTAGCCTGCGAGAGCCCTCTCTGAATTTCTCTAATCTGTTTTTTAAGCCGTCCAGCTTGGTGGCCCTCATTGTGGCAGGGAGTTCCACAGTTTAACTCTGCACTGTGTGAAAAAGGATTTTCTTTTACCTGTCCTGAATCTTCCAACATTCATCTTCACTGGATACCTATGAGTTCTCGTGTTAGGAGAGAGAGAGAGGGAGAGGGAGAGGGAGAGGGAGAGGGAGAGGGAGAGGGAGAGAGACTTTTCTCTTTCCCCTTTCTCCATGCCAGAATTTGTTTTATAAACTTCTACATGTTGCCTCCCAGGGCTTTTGCACACCTCTGTTTGCCCCACTGCTTTCCCCTGGGAAAACCCAATCTTTAGCGCCAAATTGGAACAAACAGCAATCAGGTTTTCCACGAACTGCCATTTGTTCTGACTGATCACTAAAGAGCAGGTTTTCCGGGAGAAAGCAGTGAGACAAAAGCAAAATTGTTTGGACTCGTGCTTTGTAGACACAGGACAAGTGGAAGTGTAGATGATCACTTGGCCACCTTTAATCAAAACCCAAATGTCCCAAACACTGCAACCTTTGCTCCGCCCCCTTGATAGTTTTGACTGCCCTTCCCTGTCCCTTTGGTGAGCTTCACCTGTGGCTCTTGCAGGCAAGGACAGCAAGGACGGCTACTGCTACAACGTGCCACCCGTGGTGAACATCTTCGAAGAGAGGAACTGTAGCGCCTGCCTCCAAAACAAGTCCTGCTCCACCTGTGACAATGACTCCCAGTGCCCGGGGACCCAGAAGTGCTGCCCAGGGGACTGTGGCTACGTCTGCCAGGAAGCCGTCATTGGTGAGTGGGGTGCTGGCTGGGGCCCCCTACCTGCCTGCCCCTTGCCTCTCCCCACGGCTTCCTTTCTGTGTCTTGGGGGGGTCCATGGGAAGCGGGCAATCTAAAAAGTTCGCCCCACCAAAGCTCTCCTAAGTTATTGTGGCAAGGATGGGAAACCCTATTCCTCAATTCTCGCTTTCTTTCACATTCGATAAATTTCTGCACCCCACCACTGGACTCCTAAAGGATATTGTACATGATTGGCGCAGATTCTCCCCCCTTTTTTTTGCTATACTGAATCATGTTATTGGGTCGCTCCCCCCATATGGCTGTAATCATATAGACAAACGTGATTTAAACATGATATTCATCCTTTATTCGGAGCCTTACGTGAAAATGCTTTGGATTGGAACACTAAGACATCGTACCTTATACGGCCCTTAAAATGCTTAGTTTTTTTAAATTTTCTTTTAGAAAACTGCTGAAAACTGTTAGAATACTGAATTCCAAGGGTCACTAACACTCGGGTCCAGTGCCAACGGCCTTCTGGCAGTTCCCTCGCTGCGAGAAGCCAAGTTACAGGGAACCGGGCAGAGGGCCTTCTTGGTGGTGGCACCCGCCCTGTGGAATTCCCTCCCACCAGATGTCAAAGAGAAAAACAACTACCAGACTTTTAGAAGACATCTGAAGGCAGCCCTGTTTAGGGAAGCTTTTAATGTTTGATGCATTACTGTATTTTAATATTTTGTTGGAAGCCGCCCAGAGTGGCTGGGTAAGCCCAGCCAGATGGGTGGGGTATAAATCATAAATTATAATATTATTATTATTAACTTCCAGTCCATGCAAAAGGTGCAGGTGCAAGTCAGTTATTATTTGGGAATTGCAAGAAGCATCCCTGCCACTGAGTGCTGTCCCCCCACCCATATGTTTATTTATTTCATGAGATTTCTAAACAGCAAAGCATAGCCACTGTGGCTAACAGCCCTAGGTAGCCCCGCACCTCTCAGGGGGCAGTACTGGCCTCTTTGGGACCCACTGATCTAGTCAGCCGGGGGAACCGGCTTTCAGCCGCCCAAACATTCCCAGCTCAGTGAGGGCTTGGCAAGTTGGGGCTTCCAGGAAAGCTGCATGTTCTGGCTTGTCTTTGTCTGGGGAGCCCAAGGCTGACCAAAGGGAGGAGGGAGGTTTCAGGGTCCCACAGAGTGCCCAGGCAGCATCATCCAGGTGGGACAAAAGTGATGGATGGGGCAGGTGAGCAGGAGAAGTAGGAGGGCCAGGAGCCTTGGCTGGTTGGAGCGAGCTGTGGGTTTCTTAGGGACCTGGTTCAGCTCCTGAAGGCTGCATCCGGCCATGTTCAAAGTGCGAAAAATAATATTGGGTGTGGGATTCTCAAGCAACAACTGGATAATTGCTGCCTTTAAAAAGTCATAGAATTGTAGAGTTCAGGGACTGACAGGCGTCATCCTGCAATGAGGGAATCACAGTTGAAGATTCCCAGCAGCTCAAGTCATCACAAGGTGTGCATGTGTTCTAAAAGAGACCTTCAAAATGCAATTTTGAAAATCAGTCTTCAGAACATTGCTCATTCTTTGGTGGCTCTGACTTTCAGGGAACGGAGAGATTGAGGTGTTGGGAGACCCCACGGATGGGAAATGGGAATTGTAGTTTTCCTGCTACAGGACACAGATGTCTTTATCAACGACTTGGATGATGGACTCAAGGGCATCCTGATCAAATTTGCAGATGACACCAAACTGGGAGGGGTGGCTAACACCCCAGAGGACAGGATCACACTTCAAAACGACCTTGACAGATTAGAGAACTGGGTCAAAACAAACAAGATGAATTTTAACAGGGAGAAATGTAAAGTATTGGACTTGGGCAAAAAAAATGAGAGGCACAAATACAAGATGGGTGACACCTGGCTTGAGAGCAGTACATGCGAAAAGGATCTAGGAGTCTTGGTTGACCACAAACTGGACATGAGCCAACAGTGTGACGCGGCAGCTCAAAAAGCCAATGCAATTCTGGGCTGCATCAATAGGAGTATAGCATCTAGATCAAGGGAAGTAATAGTGCCACTGTATTCTGCTCTGGTCAGACCTCACCTGGAGTACTGTGTCCAGTTCTGGGCACCACAGTTCAAGAAGGACACTGACAAACTGGAACGTGTCCAGAGGAGGGCAACCAAAATGGTCAAAGGCCTGGAAACGATGCCTTATGAGGAACGGCTAAGGGAGCTGGGCATGTTTAGCCTGGAGAAGAGGAGGTTAAGGGGTGATATGGTAGCCATGTTCAAATATATAAAAGGATGTCACATAGAGGAGGGAGAAAGGTTGTTTTCTGCTGCTCCAGAGAAGCGGACACGGAGCAATGGATCCAAACTACAAGAAAGAAGATTCCACCTAAACATTAGGAAGAACTTCCTGACAGTAAGAGCTGTTTGACAGTGGAATTTGCTGCCAAGGAATGTGGTGGAGTCTCCTTCTTTGGAGGTCTTTAAGCAGAGGCTTGACAATCATATGTCAGGAGTGCTCTGATGGTGTTTCCTGCTTGGCAGGGGTTGGACTCGATGGCCCTTGTGGTCTCTTCCAACTCTATGATTCTATGATTCTATGATTCTATGTGTGGCAAGTGTAAACTGCTTGACATTTGAGGGGTGCTTTGCTGCGCTCCCCTACAGGGTAGACTTTCCTTGCTCTTAACATTCCAAAACAAGGAGAACTCCAACAGGTGCAATTTTTCCAAGCACGGCGCTGTGTCGGCGAAGGGAGCCGTGCCTGCAGAAATTCTCCACTCTGCGCAGCAGTGCCTGCCATGGAATCTGGAAACCAGCCAGTAGCTTCCTGTGCCAAATCCCTCCTCACACCTGAGACGTTCAGCTTGAAGGTGTGAGCACCTGTGTCTCGGGAAGGGAGGGAGGGAGAAAGAGGCTAAGCTGTGTCCCCACACCCTTCAGTGTGGCTCACCTCACGTTTCTTTGTGGTTCTGTGTCTTGCGCTGGGTGGGAACCACCTCTGACTGCCTCATGAGTAGGGCTGGGCCGGGCTGGCAACACAATACTCAAAAAAATCTCAGAACCAGGATGATGCAAATGTCGTGAATTTCTCCATCGTCCTCGCCTTCCTCAGCACCACACAGAGCTACACATCACCAGCTGCCTCTTGCCAGCTGTTGCCAATGCACCTGTGGCTGTTCATAGGCAGGAGAACCCACCTGTGCAGGTGTGACTTGAAGCCCTTCCAACTTCGTGTATGTGAGAGACCAAGCTTGGCTTGAGCCTTTGCTTGTGTCCCCAAAGGTACAAAGTGAAAGGAACTTCTGCACATATTCAAAAGCAAATTTGGAGCAAAATTATAGTGGGTTTTTTTAAAAAAACAAAGCAAATAAGAACTTAAGAAGTGCCGCTCTCCCCTCCTGCCTTTTCCAGCAACTCATATTCAGAAGCGTTATTGCTTCCAGCTGTGGAGGCCTGGGTCCTGTATACCTGAAGGAGCGTCTCCACCCCCATCATTCTGCCCGGACACTGAGGCCCAGCTCCGAGGGCCTTCTGGCGGTTCCCTCGCTGCAAGAAGCGAGGTTACAGGGAACCAGGCAGAGGGCCTTCTCGGTAGTGGCACCCGCCCTGTGGAACGCCCTCCCACCAGATGTCAAAGAGAAAAACAACTACCAGACTTTTAGAAGACATCTGAAGGCAGCCCTGTTTAGGGAAGCTTTTAATGTTTAATAGGTTATTGTATTTTAGTGTTCTGTTGGAAGCCACCCAGAGCGGCTGGGGAAACCCAGCCAGATGGGTGGGGTATAAATAATAAATTATTATTATAATAATTATAAGTTATTATTATTATTATTATTATTATTATTATTATTATTATTATCATGGCTAGCAGACAGACTTATCCTCCATGAAACTGGCTAATCCTTTTTCATAGAATCGCAGAATTGTAGAGTTGGAAGGGACAACAAGGGATCATCTAGACCAGGAGTTGTCAACCTGGTCCCTACCGCACACTAGTGGGCGTTTCAGGATTCTAGGTGGGCGGTGGTGGGTCCTACAACACAAGCTGAATCCTCCTTCCATCGAGCGCTGGTGGGCAGTAAGGAAATTTTACCATCAAGAAAGATGCATAAGTGGGCAGTAGGGATAAAACGGTTGACTACCCCTGGTCTAGTCCAACCCCCTGCAATGCAGGGATCTTTTGCCCCAAATGGGGCTTGAACCCCAACCCTGACAGTCAGAGTCTCATGCTCTCTGCTAACTGAGCTATCAGTTGGTGGCTGCCACCGTCTCCTGAGAACTGAGTTCCGTAGTTTCCATCCCTTTGTTTGTACTCCTGTCAGGGTCAGATTTAGGTTTCATGAGGCCCTCAGCTCCTGAAGGTAATGGGGCCCCAGTGGCGTAGCGTGGGGGGTGCAGGGGGGGCCGGCTGCACCGGGCGCAACATCTGGGGGTTAGGGTTAGGGGGCGCAAATCCACAGGTTAGGGGGCGCAAATTACTTGCCTTGCCCCGGGTACTGACAACCCACGCTATGCCACTGTGGGGCCCTTTATATGTCCAGCTGTCCTTTGCCAAGAACAAATTGTCGCTGTTTTTTGTGTTGCTATATGGTAATTTATGGACCTAATAGGTACCTCAAGCTGTTTGCACAAAACAATCAGGAGACTACACAACACAAAACACTGTTGCTGTGTGTAGGTTTTATTATATTTGTTTTTTATCTTATATTTTGGAAATGTACATCCAGTTTTTTTAATCCTTTAAATTGTTTTGGGGCCCCCAAGCGAGTGGGGCCCTAAGCTATAGCTTGTTTAGCTTATATGTAAATCCGGCGCTGACTCCTGGCCTTTCCCACTTTTAAAATTGGTTTATGTGAGAAATATGACCGCGGTGTTTAAGTACCACCTTGTCTCCTTCGACAATTCTCTGGAAGTTTGCTCTTTCTAAAACCTCGAGGCACAATTTGGACCAGGAGAACTGAAAAGGAAGGCGAGGACAGCTGGCATTTTTGGGGCATGAGCTCAGCCATGGTTTTTCCACCCGAGGGTGACATTTGTCACCAGCCAGCACATGCCTGAGCATAAACATCTGAGGCCTCCCTGAGTTTGTCTGTGCATTTCCAGATCCGGTTTGTCCGGTTATGCAAAGAATTCTCCTCCGTCCTTCTTTCTCCCCTGCATGCCAAAAAGATCGATCAATAGGGTAGAAAATCAAAGGCTGCCAACAAAGGTGGGGGCCTTCTGACGTTTCCTTCCTCCTAAGGCCTGCCTCACATTGCTTTGCACTCTTCCTTCTCTCCCTCTCTCTGGACCCCACAGACTTCTGCCGCCTGCCCTCGGTCTGCGGAAACTGCAAGGCAATGTTCGCTCGCTACTTCTACAACGCCTCCACCCAGAAATGCGAGCAGTTCGTCTATGGCGGCTGCGGTGGGAACAAGAACAATTTTGACACAGTAGACGACTGCATCCGAACCTGCGGGAAGTCCCGTGAGTATTCACTTTTAAGCTTGGCATTAGCTGACAGTGTGATGCTGCAGCAAAAAAGGCGAAGGCTATTCCAGGTTGCATCGACAGAGGTCTAGTGTCCAGATCAAGGGGAGTCATAGGATCACTCTATTCTGCCTTGGTCAGATCCCACCCAGAGTCCTCTTTTGGGCACCATTTCTTAAGGTGGATATGGACAAGCTGGAAGGTGTGCAGAAGAGGGTGACCAAGATGATCAAGGGTCTGGAAACCAAGCCTGATGAGGAACAGTTGAGGGAGCTGGGTGTGTTTAGCCTGGAGAAGAGACGACTGAGAGGTGATATGAGGAAGGGCAATGTAGCTCAGTGGTAAGAGCATCTATCTTGCAAGCTGAAGGTCCCAGATTCAGTGGCACCTCCAGGTGGAGTTGAGAGAGACTCCTGCCTGAAATCCTGCAGAGGCGTTGCTGCCAGTCGGTGTAGACCAGCCTTCCTCAACCTCAGCCCTCCAGATGTTTTTGGCCTACTACTCCCATGATCCCTAGCTAGCAGGACCAGCGGTCAAGGATGATGGGAATTGTAGTCTCAAAACATCTGGAGGGCCGAGGTTGAGGAAGCCTGTTGTAGACAATACTGAGCAAAGTGGAACAATGGTTTGATTCAGTATAGGGCAGTTTCCTAGATTCCCATATGATCGCCATCATCAAATCTCTGAAGGGGTGTGATATGGAGGATGGAGCAGCTGGAGTATTTCTTCGGAGCTTCTTGATGCAGTCATCCAGCTGATCAGGGGATTGATATTTGGACCCACCAAGCTCCAGAGGAGGACATGACTTGCCCTTTCTCTAAATTGTCCTCCTTTCTTTTCCAGGGACAGCCTAGACTGAGAAAGCCATCGGGGCAGACCTGTCCCCTCGCTGCAAGATCTGACTCCGTCCTCCTCTCAGCAGCTGCACCTTCTTTCCTGGCCTGGTGGAGAAGGGGCTTAGAGACCCCTGACATCTTTGACTGTTTCAGAAAATGGGACGAGAGGAGCAAGAGATCCTGGGTGCGCGTTCTGCCTGCTCTCCAGCCTGCCAGCTCCTTGATCGTGGTTTCCTGGGAATGCCTCACCCTCTGCAATGCCTCCCACATGTTTCTGCATGAAAGCAATACCTGTGTCGAAAGCCCGTGTCACAATCGATACTTAACCCCCGTCTCACACTTCTCTGCTGTTTCCTGTTTCCAGAGTGACAGTCTTGGCAGGGGAGACCAAGAATTTGTGCTTCAGGCCTCTTGGTCCACATCTTCGTAGATCCTTGATCCTGTGGAGAAGTTTAGGGATCTCCAAAATCATAGAATTGTAGGGTTCTAGACCAACCTGCTGCAATGCAGAATCCATGACAGGTGGCCATCAAACCTCTGCTGATAAACCTCCAAGGAAGGAGATCATTTTACCCAAGGAGCGCTGCTGGATGACCCGCTGACGTAGCTGCCCCCTCTCATGGTTTCCGTTGCTCCTCGAATGCTGCTTGCAGCCCCCACAGCCTGCTCCCCTGCAGCTGTCCCTGACCTCGGTGACGACCTGAGTGGCATGAGATGCACTTGTTTGCGCTTTGGAAGGGGAGAAGGGCTTTGATAGGATATACGGCTGCGCTTCCCACCCCAAGGAAACGAGAAGCAAAAACTGCATTTGTCCAAGCAAAGCTCATAGCAGATCCTCTCCCCCCATTTGGAAACTGAGCCATGCAAGGCAGGTGCCCGCTGAGAAAAAGATGTCACCTTACGTCCAAGATACAGAAAAAGGCAGATATTGGCCGCCTCCTGAGTGTTAAGTTCCTAGAATCCTAGAACAGTAGAGTCGGACCCCAAGAGTCATGGGCATAGCCAGGATCTTTGCTGGGGGGAAGAACCTCAGTTAGCTATGTATTTTTTAAATTTTTTATTGATTTAGGGGGCAGCTGCCCCTCCCTGCCCCCCGGCTATGCCCATGCCAAGGGTCATTTAGTCTCTCTGTTGATGTGTTGGTGCTTTCTAAATACTCAAATAAAGAAATAAATAAACAGATTTTGGCTGGTGCTCATGAATGAATGAATGCATGAATGGGTACCGACTGTCACCCGTGGGTGGGTCTATGTTCCAGGCAGCACCTGTCCAAGCACAGAGGTGTAGGCAGAGAGGGAGGGGGCTGGACAAGGGGGGGGACTGAGAACCAGTCTTGTTTGTGATGCCAGCCCTTCTTAGGTACTCCTTAAAGGTCAAGGGACCCCTGACCATTAGGTCCAGTTGTGGCCGACTCTGGGGTTGTGGCCTCATCTCGCTTTATTGGCCGAGGGAGCTGGCGTACAGCTTCCGGGTCATGTGGCCAGCATGGCTAAGCCACTTCTGGCAAGCCAGAGCAGTGCATGGAAACGCCCTTTACCTTCCCGCCGGAGCGGTACCTATTTATCTACTTGCACTTTGAGGTGCTTTTGAACTGCTAGGTTGGCAGGAGCAGGGACCGAGCAAAGGGAGCTCACCCCGTCGTTGCAGGGATTTGAACCGCCAACCTTCTGATTGGCAAGCCCTAGGCTCTGTGGTTTAACCCACAGCACCACCAGCATGACTAAGCCGCGAACCACAGCAGCGCACGGAAATGCCGTTTAGCTTTCCACCAGAGCGGTACCTATTTATCTACTTGCACTTTGATGTGCTTTCGAACTGCTAGGTTGGCAGGAGCAGGGACTGAGCAATGGGAGCTCACCCTGTTGCAGGGATTCGAACCGCTGACCTTCTGATTGGCAAGCCCTAGGCTCAGTGGTTTAACCCACAGCGCCACCCATGTCCCAACATGGGTGCTCCTTAGCTGGGTCTAAAGAGACATGTAAACTGGGCTGGACTGGCCAAGCTTCATCCTTTGCAGATCTTTCTCTGGTGTCCTCAGGTTCAGGTCCTGGCCAGCAGAGAGAGCTGTGTCAGCTGCTCACCTTATTTGAAGGCAGAAGTTTCCAAGCTGTAGCAGTGAGACCTGGACAGTGCTGGATTTACGTATAAGCTAAACAAGCTATAGCTTAGGGCCCCACTCTCTTGGGGGCCCCCAAAAAAATTAAAGGAAAAAAACCCTGGATGTACATTTCCATAATATAAGATAAAAAACAATAAAATGAAACCTACATACAGCAACCGTGTTTTGTGTTGTGTAGGCTCCTATAATGTAAGTCATGGTCCCCGCCTGCTCGCCTGCTCCCTAAAATATCACTGGTTTGCTCATTTCTATATACTGGGTGTGACTCTTGAGAGTCCCATGGACTGCAAGAAGATCAAACCTCTCCATTCTGAAGGAAATCAGCCCTGAGTGCTCACTGGAAGGACAGATCCTGAAGCTGAGGTTCCAATACTTTGGCCACCTCATGAGAAGAGAAGACTCCCTGGAAAAGACCCTGATGTTGGGAAAGATGGAGGGCACAAGGAGAAGGGGACGGCAGAGGACGAGATGGTTGGATGGTGTTCTCGAAGCCACAAACATGAGTCTGACCAAACTGCGGGAGGCAGTGGAAGACAGGAGTGCCTGGCATGCTCTGGTCCAGGGGGTCACGAAGAGGAGGACACGACTAAACGACTAAACAACAACAACACATTCTGCATGGACTGGTTGCATGACCACGTGTGCAAATGGCTTCAGATACCTATTAGGTCCATAAATTACCATATAGCATATATTCTACACAAAAAGAGCAGCAATTTGTTGTTGACAAAGGGCAGCTGGACATATAAAGGGCCCCATTACCTTCAGGAGCTAAAGGCCTCATCAAACCTAAATCTGGCCCTGGACCTGACCCAGAGGACGCCATGACCCTCATCCTGCTTCAAAAAGCCCTTTTAGAGCTCGTTTGCATCCCCTCAGGCTTCCCACAACAGCTGGGGCTAGAAACTCAAACCTTCAGCAGGAATCCCCCACTGCTCTGCAATTTTCCAGATCCTTTGATTCAGAAGAATTTGGGGTCCGGAAAATCCCCACAAAGCCGCCCTCGCATGGCACCAGCAGTCAACAAAGCTGGGAGGAGAGTGGGCTGGCATTGGAGTCTGTGCTGAAGCTGCTCACAAAACCTTGGGGTAGGTCTTGTGGAAACGGGAGCACGACGAGCGATTCTACCACGAGCCCCCCAGGCCTGGCAGGCTCAGAGCAGTGGGGCAGTGTTGCGGTGCTGTGAGTTTTGGGGTCAGTCTGGATGATGCCCCTTCCAGTTCTTGGGAGCCTACGAGGGCGAAATGGAGGAAGCCAGCTGGCCAAACGAGTCTCTTTGTCCAGACAATGGCTTTGGCTATTTATGCACCACCATTAGCTGAACCGAAGTAACTTCTCTGTGCCATAGAACAAATGGGGGGCGGTTTTCTTACACCCCCCTCACCTAGCTGCTAGGTAGGTGTTACGTCCTGGGTTGAATAGGATCCAAAAGGCAGCAGTTTGATTGGTCCTAGAACAATAGGATTCAGAATGCAGCAGTCTGATTGGTCTAGAACAATAGGACCCAGAATGCAGCAGTCTGATTGGTCCTAGAACAATAGGATTCAGAATGCAGCAGTCTGATTGGTCTAGAACAATAGGACCCAGAATGCAGCAGTCTGATTGGTCCTAGAACAATAGGACCCAGAATGCAGCAGTCTGATTGGTCTAGAACAATAGGATTCAGAATGCAGCAGTCTGATTGGTCCTAGAACAATAGGACCCAGAATGCAGCACTCTGATTGGTCCACAGGAGCCACCCAATCCAGCTCCAGGTGGAAGTGAATCCGCAACCTGATTGGCCTACAGGTGAATCCCGGAATTAGCCAATCATGTGGGGCCCATTGTGTAAATAATGTATATAAAGCAGACATTCTGGGGGAACTTCCATTCCTCCTCACCACTATGAATAAAGAGCAGGAAATCTACTCTCGACTCCGAATATATTTCAGTAGGAGTCAACTGAGATAGAAAGCAGGCTGGAAGCTGGAGACACTGAGACCTGCTTGCGAGAGCCGTTTGGGTGTCTATGCTGTGAGCCTCCAACCCCATCCTGTTCTCTGGATGTTGTTACGGAGCAGAAGGGGGGGGCAGGTTTGTTAGGTCCCCCTTCCCAGAATACCTTCAGATACCTCAGTCCGACGAGCTAGGTGGCAGAGCAGCCTCGCACCTAGATTTCCGTAACAATGTACATGAGTGTAAATAAAACCCTCTAGTCTAAATAAACCACAGTCTTCTCTGACCTTTCTTCCAAGGAAACTGTGCCTGCAACTCCAGGAGCCCATCACCGTTTGGCGACTGGAGTGTCATGTAGCAACACAATCACCAGATTTTCCAGGCTGCAGATAAGGCAGTGATTATTATTTTTTTAATTTTATTAAATGTTTTCACATAACAAAGTATTCCAACAAATCATCTTCATTATGTTTCCCCCCATTTTCCCCTCCCCTCCCCTCCCCCCTCCCTACGACTTCCCTCAGCTCCTCTCTCTGATTTTTTAACACATATTATTCTCTGCATGCTATAAAAAGGTAAAGATCCTCAACTTATCTATCTATTATATTCGTAACAATAAGTTTGTGTATGTTTATTCAAAACCTGCCAAGGAGTCCAGTTCATTTTGTTGTTTTTTAAAATAATTTGTAAAAGGTTCCCATTCTTCTTTAAAGTCACAGTTGTCCTTATCTCGCAATTTATATGTCAATTTCGCGATAAGGCAGTGGTTTTATTGCAGGGTGCACAAAGCTCAGCTTAACCCTCCAAGCAAACCAGCAGCTGGAACAGCCTTATAATGGTGGGGGTGGAAATAGTACCAGCAAGCATGGGCATAGCGAGAGCCCTCCTTAAATCCTCCAAAATGACCGAAAAGCATTAAAAATACAAAATTCACTGTGGTTCTGCCACACCCCAGCAGAAGCCTGCTCCCTAACAACTCCCACCCCCGACAACAAAAATCCTGGCTGTGCCCATGACAGCAAGGCATATGGTGAGTACCAGAAGCAAAGTCAGGTCCCTGCCCCCAAAAGCTTACAATCTGATGGGAGGCAGGGAGGGTAATGAAGGATGATTGCATTGTGCAAAGACTTTGCAGAAAAGGAGTTTTGAGAAACGAGAGAGATGGTATCACAGGGCTATTCTCTGGAAGGGGGGGAGGAGGACACAGAATCATGAAACTGTAGAGTCGGTAGGGACCCCAGGGCTCATCTAGTCCAACCCCTGCAATTCAAGGATCACCATTGTTATTGTCACACGGCCTTTCTATCTCACCCAGCAGAATCATAGAATAACAGAACTGTGGCATGGCTTAAGTTGGGAGATGGGTGACTTGCCCAAGGTCACCCGGTGGGCTTCATGGCAGAGTGCTCTAACCACTGCACCACACTGCCAGAAGGGGCAGCAAGGGAGAAGGAGTCCCTCTGAGGGAGCAGGGACCCTTCTGAGGGCTGTGGCTGGAGAAGCAAAGATCGAGCTCTTAAGATGTAAGTGTGGGCAAGCGAGGGGGAGAAAGAGAGGAGAAGGAAGGGGGAGTCAGCCTTGGGTTGGTGGTCTTTTCTTTGGAGGGTCCCAGGAGCTTTGTATCTTGCCTTGGAGGGGGGTCACTGTCTACCTGCAAAAAGAAGAGAGGCACCTCCCATCAGTCTCAGAGGGCTCGTCTTACCAGCTGGAGATTTGGAACATGATAAACCCATCAGAAGACATGCTGGTTCAGGCCAGGGACCCACTTAGACCAGCATCCTGTGAACACAGTGGCCAAACAGATTCTTGTGGGAAATCAGCATGCAGGATCTCTTGCAGTTTCCAGAAACTGGCAGCTAGACTGGTGATTGGGAGTGGCCACCGAGACCACATAACACCTGTCTTGAAAGACCTACATTGGCTCCCAGTACATTTCCCAGCACAATTCAAAGTGTTGGTGCTGACCTTAAAAGCCCTAAATGGAATCGGTCCAGTATACCTGAAGGAGCGTCTCCACCTCCATCGTTCTGCCCAGACACCTGGGTCCAGCTCCCAGGGCCTTCTGGTGGTTCCCTCCCTGCGAGAAGCCAAGTTACAGGGAACCAGGCAGAGGGCCTTCTTGGTGGTGGCGCCCTCCCTGTGGAACGCCCTCCCACCAGATGTCAAGGAGATAAACAACTACCAGACTTTTAGAAGACATCTGAAGGCAGCCCTGTTTAGGGAAGCTTTTAATGTTTAACAGACCACTGTATTTTAATACTTTGTTGGAAGCCGCCCAGAGTGACTGGGGAAACCCAGCCAGATGGCCGTGGTGTAAATAATAAATTATTATTATTATTATTACCATGAGCTGCACAGAACTGTAGGCAGTCTTCTTTCGTCAAAAAGTTGTTTCCGTTGCCTCCGTGCCCTCGATAGATGAACCCCTCACAGGTCCTGGAGGTGGGGCTGTAGTAGAAGCGAGTGCGCAGAGCATCCCCGTTTCCTTGATGCTGTGGGAGCTGGCAGACACCTGGAACGAAACAGCAGGAATTTGCCAAAATCTTCCTCTGTGCAGAGCCATGTAGAATCAGATGCACAAGTAGCATATTTTTTAATCAGAAATGTAAGAGAACTTTTAAAAAGATGAATTTAATTTAATGAAAATGGGGGTGGGGAGAAATTTATTAAGTTTTTAGTTATGCTGTAAACCGCCCAAAATGGCTGGAGAAACCCAGCCAGATGGGCGGGGTATAATAATAATAATAATAATAATAATAATAATAATGTATTTAAGAGAATACTGTAAACAACCATGTGGCCCCTGAAAGATTGTCCATGAGGGAATATGGCCCTCAGGCGTAACGGGCTCCTCAGCCTGGTCTAGGGCCTTTTCAGTGGTGGCTCCACATCTGTGGAACTCCTTGCCCAAGGCAGTCTGTTTGGCCTGCTCCCTTCTGGACTGTAGACAGCAGGTGGAAAACATTTGTTTCAAAGAGCTTTAGACTGTAGGAAACTTTAGCCCATGAGTAGACAAATTAAGGCCCAGGGGCTGGATCCGGCCCAATTGCCTTCTAAATCTGGTTCGCGGACTGTCCGGGAATCAGCTTGTTTTTACATGAGTAGAATGTGTCCTTTTATTTAAAATGCATCTCTGGGTTATTTGGGGGGCATAGGAATTTGTTCATCCCCCCCCCCCAATATAGTTCAGCCCCCCACAAGGTTTGAGGGACAGTGGACCGGCCCCCTGCTCAAAAAGTTTGCTGACCTCTCATTCCTTGGCCCTTCTTTCATCTTGCATACAGTATTTCACGGCATGCATAAAGCAAACAGAGAAAGGGATGAATTTACCCTCCCCGTCCCCAGCCCACTGGACTGCCCCCTGCCTGCTCACCAGGATCCGCGCACGTCTGCAGGCAACTCAGCTGCGTCCCAAAGTTGTTCCTGTTGCCCCCGCAGCCTCGGTAGAGAAACTTCAGACATTGCCCCGTGTGGGAGCTGTGGTGGAATCGAAGGGTGGAGTTGTCGCAATGGCCGGGGTCACTGGGGAGGTTGCAGAAATCTAGGCACGGAGGAGAGACCCGTTTTACAGACTGTGGCGAGGTCAGAGAATCATAGAATGGTAGAGTTGGAAGGGACCCCGAGGGTCATCTAGTCCAACCCCCAGCAGGAAGGAATCTCAGCTCAAGCATCCAGGACAAATGGCCACCCAAGCTCTGCTTAAAAACCCCCAGGAAAGGGGACACTGGGTGGCGATGGCGCTGTGGTCGCAATATGTATGGCGCTCAGAAATAAAATTCACAACAGCAATAAGATGACATGGGTGGAAATGTAAAAAGATAAAATAAACTTTGGGGAATTATTTATAATGAGCTAAAAACAATAACATTTAAACTAACTTTCATCAAAAAACCAGAAGCCTTCCTTTTAGGCATCATGGCAGCAGATATTCCGAAGGAACTGAGGAAGGTATTCGTGCATGCAACCACCGCCGCGAAAATGCTGATAGCCAAATGGTGGAAGGGACACAAAATGCCAGCTAAAATGGCGTGGCAGGCGAAATTATTTGGCCATGTAGAATTGGCAAAGATGACAGGGAAAATTAGGAAGGAGACAAAGCAAAAGTTTAACAAAGAATGGGATACGTACAGATTATATTTAAAAGAACATTGTTCACATATGAAATCTTTGATGTGCTTTGATTAACTTCTGCAATGTTATATGCTACAAAGATCATAGATAATTTATGATAAGTTAAAGGTCACACAATATGCAGTCAACAAGGAAACGAAGAACCCGTGCTGAGGATGACGGAAGTCTCAACGTATGGAAGAATTTATTTTATATGTAACATTTCCTTTGTAGTTGATGTGTTTTGTTTTTCCTTTGGTTCTTTTTGTGGGGAATGGATTCAATATTTAAAATCGATAAAGATTAAATAACAGAGAGAGAGAGAGAGAGAGAGAGAGAGAGAGAGAGAGAGAGGACATTTGAAGAGCCAAGGGAGGTCAGGAGAAATAAGCAGGGTGGGAGGGGAGTGTTGGTGGGTGGGTGGGAAACATTAAACAACAACAACAACAACAACAACAACAACAACAACAACAACAACAACAATTATAATAATTTATTTATACCCCGCCCATTTGGCTGGGTTTCCCCAGCCACTCTGGGCGGCTTCCAACCAAATATTAAAATACAGTAATACATAAACTAAGAACATAAACACATCTCATTCAGGATCCTGTGTTCACAGCGGCCAACCAGAGGCTTGTGAGAAACACAGGAGCAGGATCTGAGCTCAAGAGCAACTCTGCCCTCCTGTGGCTTTCCAGCAAGTGGCCTTTGAAACCATTCACTGCCTCTGAGAGGCAGAGCAGAGCCATTCTGCCTAGGAGCCATCGATAGCCCTCTCCTCCTGCTTAAATCAATCCAAACCTCTTTTAAAGCCATCTGATTAGCCCAGCGGTTTTCAACCAGTGTGCCATGGCACCCTGGGGTGCCTTGAAGGATGGTGCTGTGGGCAACCCTGGCCTCCATCCCTCTTTCCTTCTCTGTGGGGCGGGCATGGGGCTGCTCAGAGACAGAGGAGTGGCAGCAGCGGCTGCTGGAGGGATTCCCAAGGAGGCTGAGGGAACACTCCACAAGGGGCTGCTGGCTTTATGGTGTAACTGGGCTTCCAAGCCCCACAGGGGTGCCACAGAAAGAATGTAGTTGGTCAAGGGAGCCGTGGACTCACAAAGCTTGAAAACCTCTGGATCAGCCAAACAATTTGCGAATAATGTGAAGAGAGAGAGAATGCTAAAAACACGCAGAGGAATGTTTGCCATCCTAGAGGCATCACCAGCCTGTTGAGAAAACTTGGGAAGGTGCCTTCGCATCACAGACTTTACACTTACCAGGAACAGAATGGGATGCCAGCTCCATCAGAAGCTCCTCATCAGCTCCTAAAGGCAGAGATAATGGCAGGTGAAATTCAAGAGGCCAACTTTAAGTTCTGTGTAGGAGGGAAAGGCTAGAAATTAACTGGGTCATGTCCGCTTCCACGTGACACTTGGCATCACTCCTAACATCTTTCTCAGTGGGGCCCTGTCCCAGAAGCATCTTAATGCCAAACTTGAGGGACCTTTCCTTTCCATATGCCAGGTGTGGGGAACCTTTGGCCCCCTGGGTGCTTGCTGAACTACAACTCCCATCTTCACCCCTGGCCATTGGGCATGCTTGGTGAGGTGGAAGGGAGTTGTAGTTCAGAAACATCTGCATGGGCCATGAATGCCTCGTTCCTATTGCAGCACAGCCAGCTGCCGTAATCCAAAACAGCTGCCAGGACTCAGGCTAGAAAAGGCTTCACTACCAAGACCCCCCCCCAACACCCAGAGGGCAGAAAGCACGCACAGCTGGACATGCAGGGCCACCAAAAGTAGGTTTGGCCCCTGCTGAAATTTTTTTTGGGGGGGCACCTCTGCGAAGGCTAAGAATCTTTACATGGATATAAAATAACGGTGTGGTCTCATTTTCATGTTAATAATAAATATGATGGTATCCGTACTTGTTGAGAATATCAAGATCCTAATGACTCATATCAATAATACAAGCACCCACACGATTGTTGCAGAACCAACCATGCACTTTAAATGTTAGGCCTGCGTGGGCAACCCAACCCAATGTGTATCACACAAGCGCTTTGTTGTATTCACACGGGCTTCGCTTATGAAAACATACAATCAGAAAACGAGGCTGTGCTCTCCTGCCATCAAAGCGCAGGAGCGAATGTTCCTATAGATTTGGAAATGCTCAGAAAGGCTCAGTTCACAGCACAAGTGTGCAAGCCATTGCTCAGAACTGTGCGTGCATTGAATGTAAAATATGGATTTGGTTAAGAATTACATAAATCAAAAGAATCGGACTGCCAGGCCCCAGGAATTTGGACCTCACCTCAGCCCTGTGAACCTGCAAGCGCTGAGGGCGAAAGGGCTAAATGCTTCTGGGCAGGACCACCCGGCGCAGTCCTTGCCTGGTTGTCCTCATGAGTCCCCCCTGGCCTGGGCAAACAGAGACCACCCTCAGGTGGGGTGCACGGCCGCCATGTCCCCCACTCACCCCTTGGCAGGTGACGCTGGCTCTCACCACCACCAGCAGCAGAAGAAGAGTTGGCACAGGTGGACAGAAGCCCCAGAAGCAGGAGGAGAAGGGCAAGGTGGAGCTGCATGGTGGTCTCTGGAAGTGGAGTGGGGGCTCCCTGGGGGTGGGACCTTCTTATAAGGCAGCTGGGGGAGGTGAGCCAGGAGCAGTTTAACCACAGGCAGCAGGCGACAGTTGCCCATGACTGGCGCAACTTTCCTCTGGGCCAGAGAACGACATTGGGAAACCAAATAAAAAATTCCTTCCAGTAGCACCTTCTTCAGATACACTGAAACAGAAATCACTAGACCTTTATAGATGGCTAAAAATAGCTTTATCATGTATAATGAGATAAGAATCCAATGTCTCTATTCAGACCAGGTCTCTCCATGGTTTTAAGTTTGGCGAGAAGTTGCAATTCAGCAACTTCTCTTTCCAGTCTATTTCTGAAATTCCTTTGTAATAAGACAGCTACTTTGAGATATTGTATAGAATGTCCTGGGAGATTGAAGTGTTCTCCTACTGGTTTCTCTGTCTTGTGATTCCTGATGTCAGATTTATGTCCATTTATCCTTTGGCATAGGGTTTGGCCTGTGTGTCCAATATAGAGGGCTGAAGGGCACTGTTGGCATTTGATGGCATACACAATGGTAGAAGATGAGCGATTAAATAGGACTATTACAAAATAATTTCTCATTATACATGATAAAGCTATTTTTAGCCATCTCACCCCTTGCTTTTTCCTGTAAGACCAATTGCAGTCGTTAACAGTGTTCTACAGGTTTACCACACCTCTCAGCCAGTCACCCATTCCCACCCCCCTTCTGAGTAATACCCCTCCCCACCCTCTCACTATATATAAGGGTCTGGTGACTTCTGTTTCAGTGTATCTGAAGAAGTGTGCATGCACATGAAAGCTCATACCAAGAACAAACTTGGTCTCTAAGGCGCTACTGGGAGGAATTTTTTTATTTTCTTTTGACTACAGCAGACCAACACGGCTACCTACCTGTAATTGGGAAACCAAACCCCTAAGTGCCTGTGGCAGTGAGGAACCCCAGAGCAACTAGGGCTCTTAGCAGACTGCAAGCTGAACATGAGTCCACTGTGGGATGCAGCAGCAAGAGAGCTGCTCCTATTCTAAGCTGCGTCAGCAGAGCTATAGTGTCCAGGTCAAGAGAAATAACAGTACCACTCTATTCTGCATTGCAGGGGGTTGGACTAGAGGACCCTTGGGGTCCCTTCCAACCTTACAATTCTATCATTCTATGCTGCCATGGACTCCCTTGCACAAATGTGCATGGATGTTCAGTCTGTGTGTATGTGTGTGTTTGTGTACGTGTATGCACAAAATATTTTGAAGAGCTGCCTGTTTAACAACCACTTGGCTGCTGAATATTTTGCAACTGTCAGGTCTAACCACTCCAGATAGTATCGCAATTGCTGCATCAACAGTTGTAGAAATACTCCTGGCTGTTGCTGCCACCAGCTGGGTTTTCCTGGGTAGCACAGAGCCAGGATAACTCCCCAAGGCTGAGTTTGAATGAGACTCGTCTACCTGCAGAACTCTTCTAATGTCAACCTGCCATTTCTTTATCCCAGATTCGAATTGTGAGCTGAGAGTTTAGTGGGCGGCAGAGTCCATGATGCACCCTTTATTCTTTTTTTAATTTTTTCTTTGCAGTCAATAAATATTAAAAAAAAACAAGGCAGATGTTCCATACCTGCCTTGATTTTCCCACAGGACTTCTGACATTCCTCCTTTGTGCTAAATCGGTTGCTGTTGCCCCCGCAGCCGCCATAAAGAAACTGAAGGCACCTCCTCCGCACTGGGCAGTAGAAGTAAAGCTGAATGTACGCTCTGCACAATCCGATCTCAGGGGGCAATAGGCATCGGTCGCTGGGAACTGTGGGAGGCAGAGGGGATGGAGGTCAAGGAGGGGATGTTCTTGGGCCCCAGAGCTCTGAGGTCTGTGCCCTTTTTGTGCTATTGTTGTGCAGGTGTTGTGCCAGTACCTGGGTCCAGGCAGTCCCGGCCACAGCCACTGAAGCAACATTTCTTGGTGATGTCACAGTCTCTGTCGTCTCGGCACTTGTCCTCGCAGGGGGCAAAGCTACGCACCACTTTCTTTCTCGGACACATGCCAGGGTGCTCTGGGGGAAGAGAAAAGAGTGGTGAAGGAGGAGAGGTTTGCATCTGTGCCCTGAACCACAGAAGCAGGACACCAGTTCTAAGTAGCTTATTTTCCCTTCTTTTAATAAGTTCAATGTGGTGGTGGTGGTGGGGTTTGACAAGAAATGTTCTGCACGGGGTACCACCTGACCTTGCTACGCCACTGGTTCTACCTCCTCCAGCCACACTCTTGTCTGAATGACGCCACGAGTCCCTTCCAGTTCTTGGTGTGGGATGTGAAACACAAGAGCAGTCAAGTACCAGTACAACATTCCTAGAGTGAATATGCTTACACGTGGGGAGGAATGTTTGTCTTTTAAAAAAAAAAAATATTTATTGCTTTTAAAAGTTACAAAAAAGTAGAAAAAAGAGAGAGAAAACAAAAAAAGAATAAAGAAAGAGAAAAACAATACAATATATAAACAATATAAGCCCACCCTAAACCCATTGAACTAAACACATAAACAAAGCAAGACAAAAACAATTTAAAAACATCCCTCCTTTTCCATACTCTGTCTTTCATTCCCTTGTTTCCTCGACTTCCTCACACCTCCCTTCTTGTATCCCGCTTCTAGTACTTGTTTCAGCAAATCCTTTCCATCTTTCTCTATTTTCTGTCATATTGTGAATAACATATGCTTTAACCTTATTTCCCATTAACGGTTGATTACTTATATACACCCAACTTCTTATAGCATTTCTGCTAAATCCATAAAATATCATTCCACCATTTTTCTGACAGTCATTACTTTAACAAAATTTCTAAATAAACACTTTAAATTTTCCATTAATCTTCCACTATCTCCTCTCCCTGGCTTCGGATTCTGCCAGTCCTTTTCGTCAGTTCCATATAATCCATCAACCTGGTGCCCTTATATCCGAGGCTCTTAAATCTCTTCCAAGTCCCTTCTGCAGGTCTTCTTCATATTCTTTGATGCTCAGGAGCAAATCTCGGGAAAACTCCAGCCTAGCAATTCTTTTGTTCCTTCTGGACAGTTCAGCCAAATTTCCAAAGTTAAAAGTAAAGTCCATAGAGTGTTTCAGAACGTATTTCAGGATTCCTCCAATTTTAGCGACCCCCAAAACTTCAAACTCCTCCAAGTCCAGGTCCATGTCCCAAAAGTCAGTCAATCCCTGGATAGAGGGTTCTTTCCAACTTTCCTTCTTCAGCCCAAGCCGGGATCCTAGCCTCAAAATTTGACTTTTGCTAAATTCAGTCATGAAAGACCTCAATTTATAATCCTCAATCTGCTTCTGAGAAATTAAGGATCCCGCTTGTACTACTTTTGGTTTCACATCATCAGCTTTCTCCTTTTCCTCCACCATTTGTCCAACCAAGATATGTTCCTGTACCCAATCCTGAGTTGTTTCTGTATTGACACTCACTTTTTGATTCAAATTAATCACGTTCTGTTCCAAGTTGTCAATTTTAGAGATCGTGTCATCTGTCTTTTTATGAAGCTGTTCCAGCGAGTAGTTTATCTTGTATAATACAGTCACAATGGCTTCTCCTATCAACATTTTGAGTGATCCAAGGTCAGACTCTATTTTTCAGAATCTTATCTTGCAGCTGGAGCTCTCCCTGTTGCACTCCTGTGACAGTTTCACATGCTCCCTCTAGAGGGAAACAGTCTCCGTTTGTATCAATTCTTTCAAACACAACTCAAGCAAGTAACAATAGTTTCAATTTTCGGTTACTTCTCCTTCATTTTTAAACGCAGAAGAGGACAATGGAGACAGTGCCTTTCTTATTTTAGCTAGCTGTCAAATCCGTTCTGTCAATAAACATCCCCCGAACGTCATCTGGCAGCCCTTTTCCAGGTTCAGAGCAGTGGCAATTTAATTTTGACTCTCTTCTGCAGGCATACTAAATCCAAAACTTCCCCTCTCTTCTCCTGCTTCCAAGAGGGGTTATATATTCTTGTCCGGTGGGAATTTAATCCTTTATCAAAAGCTTTCAAAGACTTTAGCTTATAACGTCTTTGCTTCAATCTATTTACAAAACGGGAGGCGGACTTCCTGTTTAGAGCCTTCCCGCTTCAGCGCCAAATTAAAGTGTTTCAAAGTCCAATTTTCCGTTCTACTCACGGGTAGTCGTTTAAAATCCAATTGTCCACAGGAAAAAGTCAGCGCTCTCCGGCAACAGCAATGCGGCTTCACTCTGTGAAAGAAGTGATCGATTCAAAGCACCACGCCACTCACCCCACGTCGCTCCGGATCCCCAAAACAGGGTTTCCCCGCGAGTGGGGGGGGGGGCGCAAATGGTGCCAGCTGAATCCCAGGTTCACAGGCTTCTCCCGCCTGTGATTTCTATGGGTCTCCGCCTGGGGAGGAATGTTTGTCCAGCCAGCAGGTAAACTTCCTGTTTCCTTCTGGGCTGGGACAGACTTCCTCTGCATGTGACTAGAGGTGGGCGTGGCCTCACCTGTGCAGGTAACCACAAAAGCACAGGGCAGGGCAGGGCAGCCATCTCTCTCTCTGTGACTACCTGCATCGAAGAAGCAACATCTGCTTAGCCAAAGATGCCCTCTTGGCCTCCAGCCAAGAGAGGACAAAGGGACTGTCTCCTTATTAGATAGTTTCCAGGTGTGTGTTACTTTTCTAAGCTAAGTATGCCTTCTGGGATCCGATTGTGAACAGAATGATATGTGAGTAAACTCTTCTTATACTTTTATAGAAGACTGTGTCGTGTCTTATCTTTTATGAGGGAATAAGGGGGAAATACCAGAACAGTTATTATAGAGGCTTTAGCGAGCCTGAGCAAATGCATCCGCTGCAAGTTTAAAAAGGGGAATGTTATTCTGCTAAATTGTGAACTTGTTAACACAAGTTGGAAAAGGATATAATCAGACCATATATTGCATCCCTGAACATTCCCACACTTGGGGTCTTGCGCCCAGGGAGGGTTAGAACAGAACAGTGGAGGTTGCTGAGCTAGTCAGACAAGTCTCTTTGTGAGCCATTGGCCTTGGCCGGCCCCTTAAGTGTCCTCTTCGGCATTCCCAAAGGATAAGCCAGACTGCAAGAGCCACAACTAAGTGATGAAGCTCTCCAGGCTAATGGTGTGTGGGGAGCTTTCCTCGATCCCCCTCACCCGAGTGCTACATAGCAGGAGTTTTTGTGTGTGAGCTGAGCTGGAAGCAGGCTGGAAGCTGGAGACACAGAGACTGAATTGCTCTGTGCTGTGGCTAATGGAGAAGCAGGGTTTTATTGGGGTGTTAATGCCATGAGCCCCTCCATCCTATGCCCAGGCTGGATATATGTGTGAATACAACCACCTATCCTAAAGACACCACAGTCTGACCTCCAAGGAAACTGGACCTGGGTAATTGCCTGGAACCCCTGTTTAGGGAAGTTTTTAATGCTTGATGTTTTATTGTGCTTTTAATTCTGTTGGGAGCTGCCCAGAGTGGCTGGGGAAACCCAGCCAGATGGGTGGGATATAAAAAATACATTATTATTATTATTATTATTGAATCTCTCCCTTCTCCTGGCCAATGCTAATGGTCTCTCTTGTCTTTCATAGCCGCATGTACCTGAACTACCCTCTCTAGACATCTCTGAAAAAGGCACTGTGGCAACAGAGTCCAGAGGCTTTGGTTGGTGTTTTGAATGCCAGGGCTCAGTCCTAGAATGTGTGAGGAAGTGACAAACGAGAGTGCCGCTGAGCATGTGCAGAGTGCACTGCTCTCTCCCACCCCTGGGTCCCACAGTACTACCACAGGCAATCACAAAACAGCTGGGCATTAGGGAGTGGAGATTCTGCAAGTGGCCTCTGCGCCACCCCTTCTTGGGCAGGATCCATGCTCTGGGCTCTACAAAGCACCATGAATAGTGACGTTGCTGAACATCCTTCCCAAGTCCTGCTGGCATCGCCCCCCCCCCCCGTCATTCCTGGAGAAGCAATACCTTCCTCAGCCTCCAGGCAAGTCTGCAGATGACCGTAACTGCAGCACTTCTTCTTTCTTGGGGACTCAGTGCCTGAACCACAACTTAAGTCAGAAGAACAATTTGCTACATTCTGGCTGGATTGGGGAGGCTCCCTGGGGCAGTATCCTCTGGCCACTGGGTAAAAGAAGAAAGGGAGAAGATTGAACAGGAGGAAATTCTGGAAAGGCTGCAGGGAACGTTGAGGATGATCTGGCAAGCCAAGGTGGAGAGCGTCCCCAGTGTTTTCTTCTATGGCCAGGGAGTTTCTCACCTCCGAAAGGGAGCAAGCACTGCCGCCCACACATGGTCTTGCAGCAGAGCTGGTCCCCTGGGCAGCTGACATCCGTGGAGCAGAACTGCAGGGGCAGCGACTCATTGCCTCGAGCCAGAGCAGGGCAGATGCCAGGCTTGACTGTAACAGAGAGAGAGATTATATTGAGCCCTTCATTGGCGCTGAAAAGAGAGAGGATTTCAGCTCTTCTGCTTTTGCTTTTATTAGGTATTCTGTTTTCTTATTTTGTACAGTGGTACCTTGGGTTAAGTACTTAATTCATTTTGGAGGTCCGTTCTTAACCTGAAACTGTTTTTAACCTGAAGCACCACTTTAGCTAATGGGGCCTCCCGCTGCTGCCGCGCCGCCAGAGCACGATTTCTGTTCTCATCCTGAATCAAAGTTCTTAACCCGAAGCACTATTTCTGGGTAAGCGGAGTCTGTAACCTGAAGCGCATGTAACCCGAGATACCACTGTATTTTCATGTTGTGAACCGCCCTGTGATCATTGGATGAAGGGGTGGTGTACAAATTAATTAATTAATTAATTAATTAATTAAATAATCAATCAATCAATCAATCAATCAATCAATCATAAAAACATCAATTCCATTTTCTCTCAGTTTCTCCTTTTCCCCAATCTTAAATTCAGTTATCCACATTTCTGTATCATTTGGCACTTTAAAAAAATCACCAGAATCTCCTCCCTACACATTTTCTTTTTATTCAGTTTCCATTCTTTGCTTTCTTCGCCAAAGTTCTGTCTAATTCGCCCAGGTGTAGAAGACCCACCACCCCACAGCTACCCCACAGCTTGCTCAGTTCCAGATCCAAAGAAGTGACTCATGGAGAAGCGAGATCTGCTGGGGTGCTGACACTGCGAGCGCCTCCATCGTAGGCTAAGGTTGCATAGATGTGCAAATGAAGGTGCTCAGAGCGATGGCTTGGGCACCCACTGACTTCTCTTACCTCCAGTGACTTTCATGCATTCGTGGCCACAGCCGTTGCTGCAGCACTTCTGCCCAAGCGGGCAAGAGGCATCACTGTGACAGAGCTCTGCGCACGTCCCGGATCCATGGGGCACAGGGCACTGTCCGGGGCGCACTGAAAGAGAGAAAGTGGACTCTCACACTGGGATGCTCTACAGAGGTGGGGTGCAACCAGAGGCATCACAAGGGGGGTGCGGTCTGCCCCAGGTGTCATACTTGGGGGGGATGACAAAATCCCCCCTGGGCGGATCGGCATGGTGGCGCTCGTGTGGGATGTGAAACACAAGAGCAGTCAAGTACAACATTCCTAGAGTGAACATGTTTTCACATGGGGAGGAATGTTTGTCCAGCCAGCAGGTAAACTTCCTGTTTCCTTCTGGGCTGGGACAGACTTCCTCTGCATGTGACTAGAGGTGGGCGTGGCCTCACCTGTGCAGGTAACGACAAAAGCACAGGGCAGGGCAGCCATCTCTCTCTCTGTGTGACTACATGTCTCGAAGAAGCAAAATCTGCTTAGCCAAAGATGCCCTGTTGGCCTCCAGCCAAGAGAGGACAAAGGGACTGTCTCCTTATGAGAGAGTTTCCAGGTATATGTTACTTTTCTAAGCTAAGTCTGCCTTCTGGGATCCGATTGTGAACAGAATGATGTGTGAGTAAACCTTTTTATACTTTTATAGAAGACTGTGTTGTGTCTTATCTTTTATGAGGGAAAAAGGGGAAAATACCGGAACAGTTATTATAGAGGCTTTAGTGAGCCTGAGCAAATGCCTCCGCTGAGTTTTTAAAAAGGGGAATGTTATTCTGCTGAATTGTGAACTTGTTTACACAAGTTGGAAAGGCTAAAATCAAACAATATATCCTCTCCTGCATCCCTGAACATTCCCACAGCTCGCACCTCCGGCGGGCAGATTTTTGCGATTGGCACAATCGTCGTCGTGAAAATATGCCCACTGATTGCACAAATGCGTCTGGCGATCAGCCTGGCACCCCCTGGTGGGTGGTGTTCCCACCCCTGATGGGTGGCACTCGCAGCCCAGGCGGGAGGTTTTATGAGATCAGCGGTTGGATTTTCACGATTGGCGGGCGGTGCTGGCACCCCCAATGGGCAGTGCTCGCACTCCCAATTGGCAGCGCTGGCACCCCTGGAGGCCGGGGCTCGCACCCCTGGCAACGTTCCCCAAAATTGCAATGTGTGTGTGTGTGGGGGGGGGTGACAAAATTTTTTTCGCACCAGGTACCACCTGACCTTGCTATGCCTCTGGGGGCAACCAGCGTCTGCAGGAGCCTCTCACTGCTTGCCTTGGACCACTGAGAAATGGGTGGGGGCCTTTGCACTTCCTAAAGACAGTCAATGGCTATGCAGAACTCTAGACTTGGAAGTAGCGGCTCTGCAAGGCTCTTGGTTCCTTTCACTCCCTTTTTATGGAACCTCAGACTGAAGCCATGAACAAAATCTTCTAACAAGTACAATATGGGCATGTCTTTAAGTTAACACCTTACATTAAAAACCTGACAGTACCAAATTATCGAAGGTTATTCACCAAAGCCAAAAGTCTTTCCTTCTGCAGTGTTGGATGGCAGGTTGAGAGGAGTTCCCTACCAGGACAGACTTTGCTCATGTGCTCAAGACATTGATTCTATAAAACATATTTTGCTGCACTGGGCGAAATATGAGCAAGCCAGGGCAGAATTGATATTATTCTTGCTGGTACCTTTCCCGGGAAAATCAGAGGCTCACTATGTCAGGTTCCTATTGGAAGACCGGACAAATGCTAGAACATTAGCAGTGGCGAAGTTTTTATCGGTGGTTGCAAGAACCAATGATCCCTGTCTTTAAGTCTGAACAAAATGCTTGTTTAACCTGGAGGTAGGCTGTCTGAACTGTGCATTGCTTTGTAATGATTTGTTGGGTCTCTGGACCGTAATAAAGATTGATTGATTGATTGATTGATTGATTGAAAATCAATCTCCTAAGAACACACTTCCTTTGGGACACCTGCCCAACTGTGGAAGACCCACCACCCCACTTCTGTCCCTGTTCGCCCTGCCTTCCTCTGAAGGAGGGGGTTAGGCCCTCTTCCTGGAGTCATCAGTAGCTCTTGACCGCCCTACAAGGAGGCCAAAATGAGAATCCTGCAAACGGGCAGAAATGACTGGCAGAATCCGAGACCAGGGAGAAGAGTCAGTGAAAGAAGACTGGAAGAAATTTAAAGACTATTTACAGAAATATTGTAAAATTAAGGAATCTTAGAAGGATGTTGGATAGAAACTAAGTGGTTTCCAGCTGTAATGCTTTAAGAGATACAAAAAAAGGTTTACAAATGGGTAAAAGCTTAATGGTAAGGATTTGCTGAACTAACAAACTGAACTGGAATACAAAAAAGGGAGGCACGAGGAGGTCCGGGGAAATAAGTGTAAGGAAGATATGCTTTGGAAAATGAACGTGTTTTTAACTGTTTTTCTTTTGTATGTTTCTTTTTATTTTTCATTTTTTTGGTTATATCTTAAAAACTTTATTCTTTTTTCTGTATTTTGTATTTTCTTGCATTTTTATTTTTGGTTTTTGTGTAATTTTTGTACTCTTTGAAACTTTAATAAATATCATTAAAAAAAAAGAGAGAGAGAATCCTGCAAACGTTCCCAGTGCTGCTGCTGCTGCTTCTGGAGCATCGCTTCCATGTTTAGCGCAGTTTAGTGCAGCGCACGGGGCCTCGCCGGTTAAACAACCCTCGTGAGCCACTTGTGGCCCATGGGCCTTAGGCTGCCGACCCCTGCCCTAGAGCATTGCAAGGTCCTTGGGTCCCTGCCAACTCTACAGTTCTCTGAGTCTGTAGTTCCACAACTCACCTTCCTCCTGCCCGCCATGGCCGCTGGGCTCAGCCTTCTCCCTTTCCCAGAGCTGCCTGTTGCGCTGCCCACTGCCCTGATGGTGAATCTCGGGGTTGACACACTTCAAGCCACAGTCTTTAAAGCAGCACTTCAGCCCAAGGCTGCAACTTCGGTCGTCCTTGCACTCGCTGTCGCACAGGCGGAACGCGGGCAAAAGGCGGCTCTTGGGGCAAAGGCCCCTTTTTTCTGGAGAGGAAGGGAAGAGTGAAGCAGGGGAAAGGCATCCTGAGTCTGTTGCCGTCAGAACTTGAGGACATAAGACGAGCCATAAGAAGAAGTTGCATTGGAGGAAATTTCGATTCAAAATCATGACCAGTGATTCGTGTATATGGATTGACAAAGGAAGATTAAATCTACTTGATTAACTGGGGAAATAGTTAAAGAAAAGTCTCAGCAGGAATTGAACATGAGCAGTCAATGGCAACAGAGAATGGATGGGAAAGTAATAGAAATTAGGAAGTATTTTATTGTGAGCAGCAAAGGAGGGAGGGAAGAGAAATGTTTTGAAGGGGGGGGGGTTAAAAGTCAACTTTCAAGTCAAGTACTTTATTACAGTCATAGACCAGCATAAGCAAAACATCCAAATAAATAGCATAACAGTATGAATCTAAGCGAATAATTATTAAATAAATAGGAGCAAGAACCAAACGTAGATTTAAACATATACACTGAATACTTAATTAAGCATAGATAATAGGTGAGTAAAAATGAAGTCGACATTTAAATTTGTGTTAAATTTGAATTAATTTGCTGTTAATCTGTTAAAAATTTGGAAGATCAATGAAAATGAATTGGCAAGAAGCAGAGCCCTAAGAGGAGGCTGCTGGATCAGGCCAGGCTATGCCAAGTCATCTTCTGGAAGGGGAGGAGCAGACCAGGCAGGGGATGGCAACGGGCTCTTGGCTTGAGCCACGTCCATGATTCACAACCCTCCCTGCTGTCAGGTCTGCTGATAAGGCAGGGTCATCCTGACACACCCTTAGCACCTTTGGCACCAAGCCTTCTCCTGTGGCCGCATCATGGCTGGCCAGCTGCCCAGGGGGCTTTTCCTTGCCAAGGACAGCAAAGGTTGGTGGCTTGGGACAGGTTGGCAGGACTGAGGTGCTCTTGGGTTCAGAGTCTGAAGGAGCGTACCCACCCCCATCGTTCTGCCCGGACACTGAGGTCCAGCGCCAAGGGCCTCCCTGCGAGGAGCCAAGTTACAGGGAACCAGGCAGAGGGCCTTCTCGGTAGTGGCACCCGCCCTGTGGAACGCCCTCCCACCAGATGTCAAAGAGAAGAACAACTACCAGACTTTTAGAAGACATCTGAAGGCAGCCCTGTTTAGGGAAGCTTTTAATGTTTGATGCATTACTGTGTTTTAATATTTTGTTGGAAGCCACCCAGAGTGGCTGGGGAAACACAGCCAGATGGGTGGGGTATATATATATATATATATATATATATATATATATATATATATAATCAGGGCTGGGAGCGAGTGCTGGAAGGAAAGATCAGCTCTTCTGCCCCCCGGTGCTTGCTTTGGCCCTTCTGGAGGCCCCTGCAGTGTGGGGTGGGGGTGCTGGGGCCTCAGGTGCTTGTCACGGTACCTGGCTGAGCCTTGGTGCATCTCCTGAGACCACCCCTCATGCAACACTTCTCCTCTGAGGTGCACTGGGAGTCATCAGAACAGGGGCTGGAGGAGGAGGAGGCAGCAGCAGCAGCAGCATGATCTTCCGAGTGGGGACAGTAGCCCCGATGCACTGCAAGGGAAGAGGGCAGTTAGTGGATCTCTTGTGCCACAGGCGAGCATTCTTCTGCTGGGTTTGTTGCTGCTGGAGGTGGCCATAAATGAAGGCTGGAGCATTGCAAGTTATTTACAGTCGTACCTCGGGTTACAGACCCTTCAGGTTACGTTTTTTTGGGTTACGGACTGCCAAAACCTGGAAGTACCGGAATGGGTTACTTCCGGGTTTCGGCGGTCGCGCATGCGCAGAAGCACTAAATTGCACTTTGCACATGCGCAGACGTGCCGCTGTGGTTGCGGACACTGCGGGTTGCGAACGTGCATCCCACATGGATCACGTTTGCAACCCGGGCATCCACTGTATTTATTTCATAAAATGTAAGCGCCAGCGAAAGAATAAAATAAAACACTAATCAACAACAGCCATGTAAGGCTTTTGAAAAGTTAAATAGGGCTGCCATACGTCCGGGTTTTCCTGGACACATCTGGGAATCGGGCTGCAAAACAGCATCTAGGCAGATTTTTGCTGAATCGGCAAAATTAAGATTAAGATTCCCACAGATGCAGAACGGGAATTTTGTGGCACCTGCAGTAGTGCCCATTCCACTGATTGAAGTGGTGGAGTGGGAACATGTGAGGTAAGCTGATCTCGTAGGTAAACTGGTCCCAAGTTAAGTGTTTTACTGTATAAAGGTAAAGGGACCCCTGACCATTAGGTCCAGTCGTGGCCGACTCTGGGGTTGTGGCGCTCATCTCGCTTTATTGGCCGAGGGAGCCGGTGTACAGCTTCTGGGTCATGTGGCCAGCAGGACTAAGCCGCTTCTGGCGAACCAGAGCAGCGCACGGAAACGCTGTTTACCTTCCCGCCGGAGCGGTACCTATTGATCTACTTGCACTTTGATGTGCTGTTGAACTGCTAGGTTGGCAGGAGCAGGGACCGAGCAACGGGAGCTCACCCCGTCACGGGGATTCGAACCGCTGACCTTCTGATCGGCAAGTCCTGGGCTCTGTGGTTTAACCCAAAGTGCCCCCCGCGTCCCACTTTACTGTATATGCTTGGCCCAATTGCAGATGAGCAACCAGGGCAGATCTCTGAGCACAGGAGTTACACGCTGACGAGGTCTCACTCCTGTCAGTGCAAAGTGCTTTACCTCCTCATCCACTCAGGCCACTGTAAGGCCACTTACTCATGGCAGAGGAGATCAGGAAGGGGTTTTTCTTAGGGCGAGGCTCGGCCATTGCACCCTGTAACTCCTCCAGATGCAAGAACCTCAACTCTTGGATTCCTGGCTGTGCGCAGAGGGCAGCGTAGGCAGAGTCCTTTCTCAAGGTCACTCTGGCAAAGAGCAGGGATTTCAGAGGGCCCCTCCAGGGTCTTGAGCATTGCTCCATCCCAGCCAGGAAAGTAGCTGCTGATTTTTAGAAGAACCGTGTCCCTTTCCACCATGCATGGCACTGGGATATGGGGAGCAGGGGCAGCATACATACCTCCTTCAGGAAGAACACACTTCAGAATATTCCCCACACGGCAGCACTTCTGGTCTCCTGGGCAGGGCTTCCCCTCGCTGCAGTAGGCAGCTCCCAGGTGGTGACGGGTGATAGTAGCAGGGCACATGCCGGGCGTCGGGGACCCTGGGCAGGAAAGGAGACGAGAGGGCACCATTCACCAAAGCACAAAGGCAGTGACGGCCCCCAACCTGGGTGGCTGTGAAAAAACACAAGACTCTTCGACGGAGGAGAGGCCTATCAATGGCTGCTAGACACGATGGCAATGATGATGATGATGATAATTTATTTATACCCCGCCCTTCACGGTTCAAAAGCCAGGCTCAGGGCAGCTAACAACAAATTTAAAACACTTAATTATAAAAGCAGCATAAAATACAGTATAAAAACATGAATAACAATAAAATTCAAAAATCAGTTAGATAATTCCCCAGGGCTAGCTGGCTGAATTGGACCTACTTGGGCCAGTGTGGAGACCAGGAGAGAATTAGCTGTGGGGTCTCAGAGCGGGTGATCTTCATAAAAGGGGAGGGGGAGGGAAGAGAAGGGGAATAAAAGATCAGGCTGAATTCAAATTAAAGGCCAGGCGGAATAGCTCTGTCTTATGGGCCCAACGGAAGGAGGTTAAATTCTGAAGGGCCCTGGTCTCCTGGGACAGAGCAGTCCACCAGGCCGGAGCCATCACTGAAAAGGCCCTGGCCCTGGTGGAGGATAATCTGACTTCCTTAGGGCCCGGGACCTCTATGGTTGTTCATGGACCTTAAGGTCCTCTGCGGGGCAGACCAGGAGAGGCGGTCCCGTAGATACGATCTCCACGGTCATCTGAATACCAGCTGCTGGAAACTGCAGGAGGGGGAGAGTTTCTCTTATGCTCGGATTCTACTTATGGGCCTCCCATAATGGGACCTGGCTGGCCACCATGAGAAAAAGATGCTGCACTGAGTTTCACCTGAACGTGGACCGATGCCCACCTGTGGGGGCTTTGGTCCACAGCTTGAGAAACGCTGATGTCCCAAAAGCTTGTTAGACTCCTGCTGAACTTTGCAAATAGTTTCTCACCATTTGTTGAGCGCGCTGGAGTCTGGAAGGTCTCCTCATCCATGTGAATTTCTCCTGCCTCGTGATGATACACACCTACAAGGAGGAAATAAAAATAACTGATTAGGTGCTCAGCAGAGCCTGTGGGCTTTTCACCATCAGCAGCTCAGCACGGAATTTACCCTCCATACAGCTGTCAATAATAATAATAATAATAATTATAATTATAATAATAATAATAATTTATTTATACCCCACCCATCTGGCTGGGTTTCCCCAGCCACTCTGGGCAGCTCCCAACAGAATATTAAAAACACGATAGAACATCAAACATTAAAAAATTCCCTAAACACTGGGCTGAAACTGTCATTGAGCCACCCTTCACAACCCCAAAATCTCCTTCCTGGTCAGTCCACAGCAGTTCAGACTCTGTGATGTGTGTACATGTGAACAGTCGTCACTTCTATGCCTCAATGCACATCACTTTACACTTGCTTAAACTCAACAGTGTTTGTTGGAAGATTCAGGACAGATAAATCAAAGTACTTCTCCATGTAGAGCATAGTTGATCCCACAGTAGGATCAAACTGAGAAACAAAGGCACAGAACTTATAAATTTGTTTCTTAAAAAAAATCCCCTTTTCTCTCTTCCCAGCAGCTTCTGCTGTTCTTAACAATGTTGTTTACTGATTATAGCTCGGCTTTTAATACCATTCTTCTGGACATTCTTATCAAAAAGCTGATGGAACTAGACCTTTCTTCTACCATCTGTGACTGGATTAAAGACTTTCTGAGGGATCGGACACAAACAGTGAGGATTGAGCCTGTAACATCTACCTCCCTGAAGCTCAGCACTGGCACCCCACAGGGAGGTGTGCTGAGTCCCTACCTGTACTCGTTGTATACATATGACTGTATTTCATCTGATCCATCTACTGCAATTATTAAGTTTGCAGATGATACTACCATAATGGGACTAATTACAGGTGGAAATGAATCAGTGTACAGGGGGGAGGTTCAAAAAGTATCTACATGGTGCTTAGAGAATAACTTGCACCTAAATATTAGCAAGACAAAGGTTGGACTTTCAGAGGAAGAGAGGGGAACTAGCCCCATTATATGGGGGGGGGTTTGTGTGGGGAGAGTCTCTTCCTTTAAATTCCTGGGAGTTTACCTTAGTGAAGACCTCACTCTGAAAAACAGTATAACTCAGGTGGTAGAGACTCCATTTCCTCAGGGTCTTGCGAAAGAACCATGTTAAACAACAATTGATGACCTCCTTTTACTGGTCCACACTAGAAAGTGTCCTTTCATATTGTATCACAGTGTAGTACATTGGCTTGACAGCCACAGACAGAAAGTCTCTACAGAGGGTGGTGAACACAGCACATTATATCATGGACTGTCTCCTGAGCCCGCTAGATGACATCACAAGGGATCGTGGCCTTAGGAGAGCAAGGAAAATTCTCAGGGACGATTCTCACCCTGGCCAGCACCTCTTTAATCTTCTACCCTTGGGCAGGAGATATAGAAGTAGAATCAGCCATAGGTAAAGGTAAAGGGACCCCAGACCATTAGGTCCAGTCGTGGCCGACTCTGGGGTTGCGACGCTCATCTCGCTTTACTGGCCGAGGGAGCCGGCGTACAGCTTCCGGGTCATGTGGCCAGCATGACTAAGCTGCTTCTGGCGAACCAGAGCAGCGCATGGAAATGCCGTTTACCTTCCCACCAGAGTGGTATCTATTTATCTAATTGCACTTTGACGTGCTTTCGAACTGCTAGGTTGGCAGGAGCAGGGACCGAGCAACGGGAGCTCACCCCGTCGCAGGGATTTGAACTGCCAACCTTCTGATCGGCAAGTCCTAGGCTCTGTGGTTTAACCCACAGCACCACTCACGTCCCATAATCAGTCGTACCAGCAGGCTAAAAAACAGTTTCTATCTGTGGACTGTTAGGCTGCTGGATGGAAAATAATATAGTGCAACTGACTTTCGGGGTTGGTGTGTTGTGCGACAAGCGCACAGAGTGCAATGAGATTGAGTGTTTGTGTGGTGGGGAGGGAGGCTCGGTTAATTTCATTGTACACAGGTTGCACATTGGCAATAAGGGTATTATTATTATTATTATTATTATTATTATTATTATTAAAGTCGTGGTTTGGGAAAGGCTCCTAGGGCTGGATGGTGGGGCAAGGCAGCTGGAAAAAGCCATTGCCTGATGAGCAGCACAAAGTCTCTCTCCCCTCACAGTTCTTCCTCTGGAAACAGCTCCCTTGGGAAGCCTCCTAGGGCTGGAAGGTGGGGCTTCTGAATCCTAGTTTCTGAAAGCTACAGGAGAGGAGAGGGCCACTCTTGGGCTCAGATCCTGTTGGGAATTTGACAACGTGCAGTTCTGTGCAGCTGCACACAGATTCAATTAAGAGTTGGCCAACAGCCAAGGATGACTGAGCAGAAAGGAGAATTTCTGCCTGGAGAGATAGGAGCCTGGAAACAGCTCTACCGTTGGTCAAGGTCTCACACAGGCATAATGATTTATGACCTACTGACTGGAATGTGTTCGTGAACTCTGCGCATGCTCTGCTAAGGTCCTGCAACAGGTCAAAGTTGCAGAACACCAACAGATCCTGCTTGGGGGCTTCTCCACTGGGGCGTCTGGTTGGCCATTGTGAGGATTCTGGACCAGATGGGCCACTGGCCTCAACCAGCGGGCTATCCTTAGGTTCTTATTTTTAATGCCCATTTCCTGGGCAGTCACTGCCACTTCAGACCCCATTACTCCCCATGTAAAGTTAGAATTTCCGCCCCCAATATGCATCATTTTACACTTGCTTATGCTGAACTGCATTTTTGTTTTAGCCATTTCTCTCTCAGCAGCAAATTTGGCTACTTCGCCGCTCACTGTTCACTCCGAACCATTTATGAACAAGTTTAAAAGGGAAAATTTCAAAGTTGCTGCTCAAGGGACCATCCGGAAAACTCCCCATTCATTCCCACTCGCTGCTTCTTGCCATGTGGCCGAGTTCTGATCCATCGAGGGACCTCTCTCCTCTTACTACATGACTGCTAAATTTATCCCAGAGTCTCTCTCTTATAAAGCCACCCCAAGGAGTTTCTTAGATCAAGAGCAACTAACAATGACCATCGCCTCAAAGGCTGTGGATCATCACTGCCTCCAGAGGAAAGGAGTCTCACAGTTTAACTATGTGTTTCATGAAGAAGGGTTTCCTTTCATGCGTCCTGAACCTTCCAACATTCAGCTTCAGGATGTCTGCGAGTTCTGGTGTCAGGAGAGAGGAAGAAAACCTTTCTCCTTTGCCGCTGCCTGTCATATCAAACCCAGAAGCCCCTCAGCGCCTTCTCCTGACTGCGTTTCCCTTGGCAAATCAGTGCTGGGGTTTCCAGCAATTGCTTTTCAGAAGCATTGCCAGTATCTTATTGGGGGGAACAGAAGGATATTGTGCAAATATCCTCTTTTGCACTCTTTCTTTGAACAACGAGGATTCCCTAAGCAAGAATGATTCCGTTTCTGCCTGGAATGATTCTGGAATGGAAATGTGGGGAAGGAGAATTTCTGCAAGCACCAACCTTGTTCGCCCCACCCACCCGGACAGCAGAATCAGCACTCACCCTGTGCCCTGTGCTTCATCATTTTGGCAGAACTGGGCTCCACTTGGAGGGCCAAGAGCCCCAGAAGGAGGAGAACGGCAAGGTGGGCTCTCATGGCTGTGGCTGGAGCTGGCAGTGCCTCTGCCAGGGTGGGCGAGGCTGGAATATAAACCCCCCAGGCTGGACCTGACTGTTCTGCTTGTGACACACACAGCTACCTGCCCACCTCTTGGTCAGCTGGTGACAATTCCCAGAATCCTGTGTGCGGGTCACTCTGCCAGGGTGTGTCAACAGCCTTATCTAGTGGCCCAGCAAATCTGCTTGGGGCAGGTCAGCGTGACTCTGGCAGGAAGGCAAATGTTGTGAGCTTTGCAAAAACTGCCTGCTTGGGTCTTTCACCTCGCCACCCTTAGCAGCCACCCGGCCAGCCTGGCTGACTCTGGTCTGCAGGGCCCCATGAAGGTGGCCCCACCCCTTGAGAAGCATCTTTTCAGCCACCACCTGGAGGTGGCTCAGTCTCAGATGGGCCGACAGCAGCACATCCCAAGCTGGACCTTCCTTGGGCCACACATGGACATTTGCCTGATGCTATGCATCTTCTGCTTCTTGGGAGAAAAGCAACGACAAACCTAGACAGCATCTTAAAAAGCAGAGACATCACCTTGCCAACAAAGGTCCGTATAGTTAAAGCTATGGTTTTCCCGGTAGTGATGTATGGAAGTGAGAGCTGGACCATAAAGAAGGCTGATCACCGAAGAATGGATGCTTTTGAATTCTGGTGCTGGAGGAGACTCTTGAGAGTCCCATGGACTGCAAGAAGAACAAACCTATCCATTCTTAAGGAAATCAGCCCTGAGTGCTCACTGGAAGGATAGATCGTGAAGCTGAGGCTCCAAGACTTTGGCCACCTCATGAGAAGAGAAGACTCCCTGGAAAAGACCCTGATGTTGGGAAAGATGGAGGGCACAAGGAGAAGGGGATGACAGAGGACGAGATGGTTGGATAGTGTTCTTGAAGCTACCAGCATGAGTTTGACCAAACTGCGGGAGGCAGTGGAAGACAGGAGTGCCTGGTGTGCTCTGGTCCATGGGGTCACGAAGAGGCGGACATGACTAAATGACTAAACAACAACAAACATGCATCTTCCAAGCCCTCTCCAGGATCCTGGAGCAGTTGGACCCAAAGACATTGCACAACCGGAGTTTCTGCTCCTCTGTTCCCCCTTGCAGAAGTTACTTTATACAATAAGGAACATTTCCATGATAAGATTCTGGCCTCATTTATTCCGAAGGGAAGAAGAGCTCAGAATCGCACTCAAGCCAGCCTCACAGTCAGACTGCAGCATGAATCAAGACAGTCAAGTTTCACGCAGGCAAAATGAGGCCTGGGTTACCCGCGGCACCAATCCAGTTTTGTCTTATATATACTGGGCTATTTTCCAAATAGCTGGTGTAGCAGCAGCGCTTAATCCTAGCTCTGACTCCAGTTGATTCTACATTTCCAGGTTTTGCTGTTCTTTATTGCGTTAAAAGAACAACAACCACACACGATATTAAATATTGAACTTTATTTGTTCCCTTCCGTTTCAGCATAACAGTGTCAACAGTTAAAATAAGAGTGTTAAATTCCAGGTGAAATATTTACTTCATTTTAAGCAGCCTATGGGTTCTACTGGTTATTTATGAACTCTGTAGACAGAGGCCTTCTTGGTCATCACACCTGTAAAAGATAATGCACACAAGTGACAGGTGAATAGGAAATTTTTAGTGAATCATAGCCTCAGACACATTAAGGCTGGGATTTCTGGGCCAATGCCTCCTTAGTTCCATAATCTCATCCCCAATTTTTGCAGAACTGGAAGGGGCACAAAGGGTAATCTAGTCCAACCCCTTGCAACACCTGTGAAACAGCTTGTAAGCCAAGAGCTTGGCCCTCTTCCCATTATGGCATTTCATTATTATTATTTTTTAAATGGGTAAAACATTCTTTTCAATGCTGCTTCACTTTACTGCAAACTTTTTCTTAACACGGAGTTCATAACTGTGTAAGTAGAAAACGGCTTGAAAATTATGACCACCTATTTTGTCCTGGTTACACATATTTAGAAATGGCTTTACAAGACTGCAGCATCTTCTGATTCATCAAATGCTTTTTTAAGAGTCGAAACAAAATAAAAAAATTCCTTCCAGTAGCACCTTAGAGACCAACTAAGTTTGTTATTGGTATGAGCTTTCGTGTGCATGCACACTTCTTCAGAGACACTTTGCATGCACACTTCTTCAGATAGTGCATGCACACGAAAGCTCATACCAATAACAAACTTAGTTGGTCTCTAAGGCACTACTGGAAGGAATTTTTTTATTATTATTATTATTTTGTTTCGACTACAGCAGACCAACACGGCTACCTACCTGTAACTTTTTTTGGAGTGTGTGGGTAATCAGAAAAGGACAGTATTGTCAGCTGGCTGAGCAGATTGTGCTAAATATGGTCTTGCCACAATTCACCATGGGAAGAACCCAGACTGCTGACCTCAGGTTCAAGACTGATGCAGGAGCCCACAGGTGAAGTTGGTGCTTCAGTACCATGGATAGCTCCAAGCGAGCCACTTGCTCCCAAAAATGATGAGCGCAGATTGATGTTTTTGAAACCTCTATCTCCTGACCCCCTATTCTAGACTCCACCCCCTTGCAGAGACTTTTCTAGATTCATACAGGACCAATACTGCAGGAAATGCAGCTCACTGGGTTTAAGCAGCTTGGAAGTTTCCTAGACCTTCTCATGTATAAAAAAAGGATATGGACAAGCTGGATGGGGTACAGAGGAGGGCAGCCAAGACATTCAAGGGTCTGGAAACCAAGCCTTAGGAGGAACAGTTGAGGGAGTTGGGAATGTTTAGCCAGAAGAAGAGGAGACTGAGAAGCGATAGGATAGCCATCTTCAAATATCTGAAGTCACCTGGATGAGGAAGCAAGCTTGCTTTCTGATGCTCCAGAGGAGAGGACTCAAACCCATGGATTTGAATGATATGAAAGGAGATTCTGACTCAAAATTAGGAAGAACCTTTTGATGGCAAGAGCTGCTTGATGATGGGAAAGACCACCTTGGAAGGTGGTGGACTCTCCTTCAATGATGGTTTTTAAACAGAGATTAAATAGCCTCCCCCGCCCCTGGTTTGATTTGATTTATTGTGTTTCCTTGCTGCTTTTCATTGAAATGAATCTTAAAGCAGCTTACAAACATTAAATAACAATAATGTAATAAAACATAATGGAAAAAACACCCATGATTTAACTGGGTCACTCGTTTCATGATCATGGAGGACCAGAGGACCCCAGCCCATGTTGCATTTGGGTGAGCTGTCTTAACAACGGGCATTATGAGTATTTTATGTGTAGTGAACTGAATAGAAAGATTATGAATCACGGGGGGCATGGACTTAACTTAACAATGCTCAGCTTATTTTTTTAGTTGCTGTTTTGTTAATGCTCTTTTATAGATTATAGAGTGGCTGGGGAAACTCAGCCAGATGGGCGGGGTATAAATAAAGTATTATTATTATTATTATTATTATTATTATTATTATTATTATTAATGCCATATCAATTGCTAATCGTGTGATACGCCTTTTTCTGTAATTGTGATGTTTGGCTTATTTTTTTTAGTTGCTGCTGTCTTAATAGCGTTTTATAGATTGCAGTTGTTTCATGCATGATATTAAATAGCCATTTGTTGGGGATTTTGATGCTGTGATGCCAGCACTGCAGGGGGTTGGACTAGATGACCCCCGGGGGGCCCCTTCCATTTCTGCAGTTCTATGAATTCTGGCCTCCACAATCTTTTTGGTGCTTTGCAACTCATCACGGTTAAGAGCATTTTGTCCAGAGCAGCTGGAATTGTGGGTGTTGAGCAAAGGCTCCTGTTGCAAAGGGATAAAGCTGAGTGACCTCCTCTTGGGGGGTGGGGGTGGGGTCTGACTGCCCTTACCTGGCTCCACACACTTCCAGGAACAGCCACTCAGGCAGCACTTCATGGTCCCACTGCAGCTGCTGTCGCTCTTGCATTCATAGGTGAGCATTGTCTTCCCACACTTGTATGCCGACTCCCTGCAATGGCCTGGCTTTGCTGTGCAAACGGAAAGACACCTGAGAATGGAAAGGCTTGAGTCCCCTGGCCAAAAGCTCTGGGCTCAGGCTGACTCCACATTGCCTCAGGTGCTGGGATGGGAGAAGCAGAAATCACCCCCCCCACACACACACAGTGTTCTCCCCCAATGCCTTCCTCAGCACAGTTGATTGGGCTGGGGCTGCTGGGAGTTGTATATACTTATATTCAGGTCATTTATGAACCGCTACGTATTTCTTTCTTTCTTTCTTTTCATTGTTCATGCTCAATGTTTTGTATTTTTATCCTACCTGTTTCTCCAAAGAGATCCAAGTGGCATTTTTTAAAAAAATAAAATAAAAAATTTCAATGCAAAATTACAACAAAAATTACAAACATTGAATCCAAAATAAAACAGTGCTAACAAGCAAAAAGAAAAAAAAAGAAAACACAAAAGAAAAAAAAGAAAACCCCCCAAAAAAACATAAAGCAAAAACACACATCTACAAATAAAACCATATCATCATTCTAATCTAGTCATTACCTACATATACACATGTTGACTTCCTTCCTTTGTTCTAAGACCTCGAAATTTTTACTCTTTCTAAGTTGTTGTGTCTAATGTAGATTACCTCTATCTTTATACTTTTCGCACCATTTTTCTCTTTCTTTAACCCTGCAAAGCATCATTCTAATGAATGAACTGCTACGTTTTTCAAGGAAAATCTCCTAAGTGTTTACAACATCCTAAAAAATATTATAGATAGAAGTCCAATACAACAAGTACAGTTTTTTAAAATAAATAAATAAATCACATTTTAGAGCAGCATAGATAACAGGCAAGAGATCGTTAATCATCAACATGAACTGAAACAACTAGCATGCAGGGACTAGAATGAGTATTAGGAGATCAAAAATTGAGAAATACAGGGAAGGAAAAAAATCCCATCTGTCAGTTAAATGCCTTTATAGGTGGAAGAAACACTCTCGCTTCTGATGTTTTAAGGATCTGCATTTTTGAAGAGCTGATTTTCCAAAAACTGGACCTACAAATCATTTGTTGCCAGGATTATCTGGTGTAGGGAGACCTTGTTGGTCTATTTGCTTAGTGGTTTTCTGAAAGTGAATAGTTTTATATTTCATTGATCTTTATACAAAGAATGCATGAAGTTTCACTATTCACTTTTGGGGGGGCAGCAGGTGAAGGTCCTTCAGGAAGGTTGTGTCTTTCTATCCCCCATCCCCACCTGAGAGACGTGAGCTACCTGAGCAACCAGCTCTGGCCCCTCATTGGTCAGAAAGGGTTGCAGTCCATCATGTCTAGCAGGTGCCACGTTGGCGAAGGCTCTCCTCTCTCTCGTCCTCCTTACCTGCTGATATCGGTGACTCTGTTGGCTTCTCTGTTTTCCTCAGAAGAGGCGTAAGAGTTGGAGCCCCTGGGGAAAAGCACCGTGAAAGAAACAAGAAGCTGTAGATGGACACCTTAATCCTTGATATTTAATTGGTTCTTGGAATTTGGGCAATTTTCTGGGTGTACAGGACTGCCTCTCTCTAGCAAGAAATACCAACAATAGAAGATTGGCAGATGAAGATGTTGGGTTTTTTGGAGCTGGCTGACCTGACTGGAAGAATCCGCGACCAGAAAGAAGAGGAGACACAAGAGGATTGGAAGAAATTTAAAGAATATTTAAAGAATATTTGTAATATAAGATTAAATAGAAAATTCTTGGAAGTAACAAATAGGCTTAGGGGTAGAATAAGAATATGTGGTAGTAAATATTAATGATTGGAATAATAATAAAAGAGAAGAGGTTAGACATGAAAGGAGTTAATATTATTAGAAATATGAAATTGGAGAACAGTTATACAGGTGATACAATGAAATTCAGATAGAGGGGATTTGAGGAAGTCAGTTACCAATGTTAAGAGATTTAGGTATTTGAAGTAATAATTTTATTTTGTGTTTATTGTCTCTCTTGTGTGCTTTGTCATGTTTTTTGTCATGTGTGAAAAATCTGGAAAATCAATAAAAAAATTTGAAGAAAAAAAAAGACTGCCTCTCTCTAAAGAGTCTCCAATGGCAGAGTTTCTGACAGAAGAGGGAAGGGTTTCAGTGGGAAATGATAAAAGCTGGCATGGTGAAATGGTCAGAGAGTCAAATTAGGACCTGGGAGAGACCAGGGTTCAAATCTCCCCCTCAGCCATGAAGCTCCCCTCAGCCTTGCCTACCTCCCAAGGTTGTTGTGGGGTTTCATTGAGGAAGCAAGGAAGCATGTATGTTACCTTGAGGTCCTTGGAGGAAAAGGTGGGATATAAAGGTGAGAATAAAATGGGACCCTTGATATCCTGGGGGCAAAGGGATCCTTTTATAAGTCCACCTGGGGGGGGGGGGAGAAAAGGAGCAGCCCCCTCCCTTCTTCCTTCTGTTCTTTCTCTCTACCAACCTTTGGCTCCAAGTTCTGTCTGGGCTTCAGCGCTGAATGTCGGTGGTTCCATAGCTGGACTATCTAAGAGAAGAGTATTATCAACGGCTTGGCATTAATGTTGCCTGGAGGCAGCAATGGGCCACAGGAGATTGAACAAATGGCAGCTTAATCCAGACCAGACAAAGGTGCCCATCATCATCATCATCATCATCATCATCATCATCAGACATCTGAAGGCAGCCCTCTTTAGGGAAGCTTTTAATGTTTGATGTATTGCAGTATTTTAATATTTTTTTTTGGAAGCCGCCCAGAGTGGCTGGGAAAGCCCAGCCAGATGGGCGGGGTATAAATTATTATTATTATTATTATTATTATTATTATTATTATTATTATCATTTATTATTTATATCCCGCCCATCTGCCTGAGTTTCCCCAGCCACTCTGGGCGGCTTCCAATCGAGTGTTTAAAACAATACAGCATTAAACATCCATCATAACATGGATCCAGCCTGTTTTGGATGGGGCATGACTCCATTCAGCAGTCCAGATTACAGTCTAGGGTGCTCCTTGACTTAACCTCATTCATTCATTAATTCATTCCCTATACCACCCTTCACCAGCAGTTCACAGGGTGGTTCATAATATATAAAAAAACAAAAATACATACCATAATAGCAAACGAAAACAAGAACCCCTCCACACACCGTTTAAAAGGCTATAGATTGATTAATCAGCCAAAGTTCTTGTTATAGAGAAACCCCTGGCGTTTAATAATAATAATAATTTTTATTTATACCTCGCCCTCCGTGGCCAAAGCTGGGCTCAGGGCAGCTAACACCAGTAAAATTACAATGGAAACATAATGGGTGGGGGACCCCAATTTAAAATACAGGTTAAAATGCAATTTAAAAAGCAGCCTCATTTTAAAAGTAGCCCATAAATCAAAACCATAAGGGGAATAATTAGTGGAGGTGCCACCCCCAAATGGGCAAAGGAACCTCCAATCACCAGCCCGGACTCCAGGATGTGCCCAGTTCATGTCCCCCCCCCAAGTATCCTCTGCCCTCCCCAGCCAATCCTCAGCCTCACCTGGGGGAGCCTCACCTGTGACAGCCAGGCAGACCCACCCGCAACTCAGCCAGCAGCACTTCTCGCTGGGCCCGGAGCAGTCGTTGTCTCTGACGCAGAAGGTCAAGGTGGAGCAGTCCGGCTCCTGGCTCTTTGCAGCTTGGAGGGGGCAGGTCCCAGGGCGCACTAAGGGGGGGGGAATCAAAAGGGAAGAGGGAGAAACTGGGGTCAGAGGGGGTGGCTGCAGTGGGCAGCCCCAGGACTCTCTTTCTCCTTCCCCCTACTTTTCTTGGCACGAACGGTGGATTTACTTCCAGAATTTGAATCTATACATATAAATTAGCATATGCAAGTTGTGTGCAAATTTGGGCCATAGCTGTCAAGTGTCCCTTATTTGGCGGGACAGTCCCTTATCCCAGCGCCATGTCCCGCTGCTGTCCCTTATTGATGAGGCTTCATTTGGCTGCTGGCTGGGCTTTCTGCCTTCGGCTCAGAGGGGCTCAGAAGTTGAACATACCTGTGCCCGGAAAATCCCTTATTTTGGCTGCTGATCCCTTATTTTCGAGGCTGCTGGTCCCTTATTTTCAAATCTGTAAGTTGACAGCTATGATTTGGGCCATAGGACTGCAAACCGAATCTCTTTAGGGCCTAGCAATGCCCCAACTGTCCAGGCTCCCAAAACCCAAAACACAATGGCGGAGGCTCTTACTTGTAGGTAAGAGTAGTAGAATTGCAAAGTTGGCCGGGAACCTGGGGGTCATCTAGTCCAACCCCCCTCCAAATGCAGGAATCACAGTTAAAGATTCCCTGACAGATGGCCATCCAACCTATGTTTGAAAACCTCCATGGAAGGAGATTCCACCACCCTCCAAAGGAGTCAGTTCTGTTGTCAATCAGATTTTACCCTTACGAAGTTCCTCCTGATGTTTAGGCAGAATCTCATTTCTTGCAATGTGGAGCCATTGATTCAGATCCCAGCCTCAGGAGGATAGGGAAATGAGTTTGTTCCATCTGCCATGTGACATCCCTTCAGAAATTTGAAGACAGGACTGCCAATCGCCCATCAGAAATAGTGTCCTATTTCTTAACATTCCTCCTTAAAAAATACCGTATTTTTTTGTAGCTCAAAAACGTGGTGGGGTGTTTTTTGGTTTGTTTTTTTTTGAGATTTTGCAAAAAAGCTCAACAACTTTGTCCAAAAAAGCTCCAGATTTTCACTTATTGAAATATGGCAACCCTATTTGAAGATTGCTCTCATATCTCCTCTCTCTCTCTCTCCAGGCCCTTTGTCATCTTGACCCCGTCCTCTGCACAGCAATGAAAATATCTTTTTTAAAGCAGAGTAACAGTACAGACTCAGCAGATGTAACCTTTAGTGAAAATGTAATCATACTTGGTGACACAGTAATCGTATAGCAATCTGAATGCAGTACTTTATGGAAACGACCTTTCTGAGTCAAGAGTCAGGAGAGGAACAAAATATAGACTAGAGCAGATCCCCGGGTTAAATGTGGCAGAGTTTGTTTAAGCCTTGAGCAGGATGCAGCCCTGTGGATCACCCAGTCTTTTTCCACTCAGCGGCCCATTAACTTCTGTCTCCAAACTTGCTGGCCTCCCAGTGTGTGGCCCCTCAGTGTGGCCACCAAGAGCTCTCCTAGCCAGGCCCAGGAACTGGAAGGGAGGGGAAGAGACAGGATGGGTTTGTGTGGCCCCCAGAGCCTGGGGAGAAGCAGGGCAGCCTTACCTTCTTCCGCCTCCTTGCAGACATTGGTGCAACTGATGGAACAGCATTTCTTGGTGCCCTCACAGTCAAAGTCATGGCTGCAGTTCTTCAGGGATGGTTCCGGGCAAGGCCCCATGGAGCCCCTGAGCTGCAAAGGACACGCTCCGGGCTTCACTGCAACACACAAAGCCCATGGACCTCTGAGGCACAAAGGCAACGGTGGTGAGGATCCCACCAGAGCAGGCTGGAGAGGGGTCAGGGGACGAATGAAGCAGGAAAGCTTTCCAGCGTCCATCTGGCTGGGCAGTGCAATTCCCAGAGAGAAGGAGCTGGGAGATGGTGACCAGGAGATAACCTAGGAAGCTACCATTGGCTCATCTCGCTCAGTAATGTCAGGGCCGTCTTCACCCACAAGGGGTGTGGGGCACCCGGGCACCGAATTCTGGGGGGCACCAGGCGCCTGGCGCTGAAGCCGCCTAACCTCTTAACTACAGTGGTACCTCGGGTTAAGTACTTAATTCTTTCTGGAGGTCCATACTTAACCTGAAACTGTTCTTAACCTGAAGCACCACTTTAGCCAATGGGGCCTCCCACTGTCGCTGCGCCGCCAGAGCACAATTTCTGTTCTCATCCTGAAGCAAAGTTCTTAACCCAAGGTACTATTTCTGGGTTAGCGGAGTCTGTAACCTGAAGCTTATGTAACCTGAAGTGTATGTAACCCAAGGTACCACTGTATCTACCTGTTATGAAATAATAAATAATTTTGATCAAGCTAGAAAAACAAAATACATATATACCTAGGTATTACTGAAATGTATCCCTACTGTTTCACTAAAGGACTTTCAGCTTTCTGTGCTCATTTACCAAAGCCATGCTGCGCCAGAAGTGGCGCTTGTCATTCATAATGGCGGTGCTTGTCAGACTCAACAACGGCGCGTGTTATTCTCTCTCTTTTTTAAAAAAATAATTTTTAAAAATTTTTTCCATTATACAAATTCACCATATCAAACAATTTTCACAAATTTCAACTTTTTGGACTTCCATCAGCTTCTCTGCCAATCATCCATATTTTCCCATTTTTACACATTTTCTAAATTTAATATTGCATTTTAATATTACTCTTACTGTCCTATTTCTGTTTAACAATACTCCTCTAACTTTCACAAAGCCTCTTTAAATCCCACTAGCGTTGTTTGTTCGTCACATATACTTTTCAGATATTCTGCAAATTTTCCCCAGTCCTCGATGAACTTGTGGTCCCATACAATGGCGCGTGTTATTCTCAACGGCGCCATGCACGTGAAATTAACTCTTGTTATGTTACATATTGTATTGAGCTGCTATGCAGCACAGGGGTCAGTGGCACCTTTGACACGACTGATGTTTCTCCTATGTACGTGCCCAAACAATCCTTATAAGTTTAAGTGTGGTGGTGTTGTATACTTAAGAATAAGTATATTGTGAATAAATGGGCAAATAAAAAAGTTTGTTTCTTTTTCCTCCCTTCCTTCGTAAACAAGAGATAAGGCATAAGCATGGTGTCTGACATAAGCATAATAAAAGTTAATTTGGAGGCTAAACTAAATTTGGGGGCGCTGGGCACATCTTTGCCCCCCGGCGGTGCATATGCTAAAGAGGGCCCTGAGTAATGTCCACACACTGACCGGCCACAACTCTCTGGGGTTAAGGCAGGGAGTCTCTCCCAGACCTGCCTGAAGATCCAGGTGGGGATTGATACTAGTCAACCTCCTTGCAATGCAGGAAAAACAACTAGAGAAGTTTCTGGATACTTTTTGGGCAAGGACTGCTCCTTAAATAAAGAGGAGGTTGGGGTTTGCATGCCACACTAAGCTATGGTTAATGTTAACAATGGTTTGTAAACCAACTACAAGCCTCTAGCCATAGTTAATAAACCTCAAGGAAGCTCCTGAGCTGCGTTCACACACAGCAGAAAGCCACAGCTTACTGAGCCATAGCTTAGCAACCCATGGTTTTGTGTTATGTGTGAACCAGGCGACTGTGGAAGATCCTGAACTAATGGACCAATAGTCTGACATTGGATAAGGCAACTTCCCATGTTTCTATGTAAAATACCATTAAGAACATCAGAAGAACATCTGCTGGATGAGGCCAATGGCCCATCAAGTCCAGCATCCTGTTCTCACAGTGGCTAATCAGATGCCCCAATGGAAATCTTGCAAGCAGTTGTTCGGCACATAGCCTCCAGACTTGATTATTGTTAACTCGCTCTATGTGGGGCTGCCCTTGAGACCGACCCAGAAACTTCAGCGGGTGCAGAATGCCGCGGCAAGACTCCTTACAGGGTCCTCCCCACGGGATCACATTCACCCAGTGCTATACCACCGGTGGAGTACAGGATCGGGTTTAAGGTGCAGGTTTTAACCTTTAAAGCCCTATATGGCCTAAGACCCTCGTACCTACGGATTATGTATACCCTCTCCTGGTATGTCCCACGGAGGACCCTATGATCTTCAAACAAAAACATCTTGGAGATCCTGGGCCACAGGGAGGTTAGGCTGGCCTCAATCAGAGCCAGGGCTTTTTCAGCTGTGGCCCCGATCTGGTGGAACACTCTGTCCCAAGAGACTAGGGCCCTGCGGGACTTGACATCTTTCCGCAGGGCCTGCAAGACAGAGCTGTTCCGCCAGGGCACAGTCTGACCCCCTCCTTTGGTAATCCCCACAGAACTCTAGCCCAATGGTTGCCATTAATCTGATTGGAATTAATTTTATAATGAAATGATTTTATAATGTTTTATCATTTTGCTGTTGTTAGCCGCTCTGAGCCCGGCTTCGGCTGGCGAGGGTGGGATATAAATAAAATATTATTATTACTGTTATAGCCCTTTCCCCCTCCTGCAGTTTCCAGCAACTGGGATTCAGAAGCGTTACTGCCTCCATTCGTGGAGCAATCATTGGCAGCCTCCTCCTCCTCCATGAATTCATCTGATCTTCTTTCATAGCCTGCTAAAAACCACATTAGTGCACCACAGCTGCCTCTGTTCTCATGTGTCCTCTGAAAGCCACACTCCTCATGCGCATGGTGCAGAATGAAGCATGTTTCTGCAGCATCCCTAATACCTGAAGGAGCGTCTCCACCCCCATCGTTCTGCCCGGACACTGAGGTCCAGCACCGAGGGCCTTCTGGTGGTTCCCTTGCTGCAAGAAGCCAAGTTACAGGGAACCAGGCAGAGGGCCTTCCCAGTGGTGGCACCCGCCCTGTGGAACGCCTTCCCACCAGATGTCAAAGAGATAAACAACTACCTGACATTTAGAAAACATCTGAAGGCAGCCCTGTATCAGGAGGTTTTTAATGTTTGATGTTTTATTGTGTTTTTACTGTTGTGTTGGGAGCTGCCCAGAGTGGCTGGGGAAACCCAGCCAGATGGGCGGGGTACAAATAGTAAATTATTATTATATTATTATTACACCTGACCCGTAACCCCCTCCAAGAGGCAACTTACCCAGGAGAGGCACCAAACAGACGCGGGCACAGCCATTCCAGCAACACTTCCTTGCTCCGGGGCACTCGCTGTCAGCCCTACACCCCTGCCAGCACCACTGTGGGGCATTTGGGGGCACGACAGGGCAGGCTCCAGGCCGCTCGGCCTCTGACAGGAGAGGGAAGCAGAGGGGGAGAGTTTAGGAATTCCATTTGTTTCCACGATTAAAACTTGTTCATTGGTTACCGCGTAGATGCCCACTTTGCCTTTCTCAGTGTTTGACCACTTTGACCACCAGAACCGGCACTGTTAGTGGTTCTGCACAAACCCCATTCTGGCTTTGTAAGACATGGATGTTCCAGCACCTGAACTTGGGAACTGTCTGCCTCTTGATATCAAGTGGCCGCCTTTACCTGCGCCGGCTGAAAGCATTCTTGTTTAATAAGCAAGCAAATTCTTATTATGAATTTTAGGACAAGATTTGCCAAAAGATAAGGAGAATCTATTCATGTATACGACAACAGCAGCCAGAATTTTATTAGCTCAAAGATGGAAAAGTGATGAAATGCCAACGAAAGAACAATGGCAAGAAAAATTGGTGGAATACGCTGAAATGGCAAAATTGACTGAAAGACTTAAAGACAAGGACAGTGATGACTTCAAAAAAGTGAATTGTGAACGAGCCTCTACAGAGGAACTCTAAGGGGTGTGGCGAACAGGAAAGGTGTGTGGGTCTGCGATTTTGAGGATGGTTTTTTTTGGGGGGGGGGAAGATTCTTGAGTTTTCAGGGGAGGGCTGTGCCCTTGTAGCCCCAGTACTCCCTCCAGAGTCACTCACCTGCAGGTGGGGGGGTCAGGATGGGGCCCTTGCCCGACTGGCCAGGTGCGTAAACGGTGGCTGAGGTGGGTCCCACGAGTCTTGGTGCCACGGTGTTTGTTTTGGTTGCAGCTGGGGGGAAATGGGGCAGAATCAAGAGCAGGACCAACTAGAACAGGGATGTCTAACCGGTTGATTGCAATCTACCAGTCGACTGCGGGGCCTTCCTGGTCGATCGTGTGATGCTTTAAAGCCCTTTGTGGCTTAGGGCCCTCGTATTTACGGGACCCCCTCTCCTGGTCTGCCCTGCAGAGGACCTTAAGGTCCATGAATAACCATAGAGGTCCCGGGCCCTAAGGAAGTTAGACTATCCTCCACCAGGGCCAGAGCCTTCTCAGTGATGGCTCCGACCTGGTGGAATGCTCTGTCCCAGGAGACCAGGGCCCTGCAGGATTTAACCTCCTTCCGTCGGGCCCGTAAGACAGAGCTATTCCGCCTGACCTTTAATTTGAATTCAGCCTGATCTTTTATTTCCCTTCTCTTCCCTCCCCCTCCCCTTTTATGAAGATCACCCGCTCTGAGACCCCACAGCTAATTCTCTCCTGGTCTCCTCGCTGGCCCAAGTAGGACCAATTCAGCCAGCTAGCCCTGGGGATTATCTAATTGATTTTTGATTTTCATTGCTATTCATGTTTTTATATTGTATTTTATGCTGCTTTTATAATTAAGCGTTTGAAAGTGTTTTAAATTTGTTGTTAGCCGCCCTGAGCCTGGTTTCTGAACTGGGAAGGGCACGGTATAAATAAAAAATTATTATTATTATTATTATTTATAATAAAAAAAGAAAAAAGAAAAGAAAAAAGAAAGCATTCTTGTTTAGACCAGCTGGCACAGACGCATTGGGTGCTGCTGGTGCACATTTAATCTGTATTTAGTTTATTGAAGAACTTATTTTTTGAATCTTTTCAAGAGTGGCTTTCAATGACCATTTTATTGTTTCATTCTCTTTGTGAACTGCTTTGAGGGTTGTTTCTGGGTTTTTTCAACCATGAAACGGTGCACAGATTTCAAGATCCAACTGGCACAAAATACTCCACATCCCCCTCCTCCCCCCTCCAAGGGCTCAGAAAGAGGGAGGGACCTTGTTGCCATAGCTACATGCCTGGGTGAGGATTGGCAGAGCAGTGCAAGGAGCTGACTGAGGAGGAGGAGAAGGGGAGACCGGCAGAGATGCCCCTCTATTGGCTCCTCCACACTTCACTGGTGCCTCACCCAGAGAGCATGGCAGTCTGGAGAAAACTCCCCTGGGGAAAACCACTCTCTGGTGCTCAATGGGAGCAAGCAGGAATTTCCCCCTGGTGGTCATGCTTTCTAGGCAAGGCACAAGTGAATTGCGAATGAGCCCCTACAGAGGAACTCTAAGGGGTGTGGGGAGCAGGAAAGGGTGTGTGGCTCTGAGATTTTGAGGAGGGTCTTTTTGGGAGGGGAAATATTCTTGAGTTTTCAGGGGAGGGTTGTGCCCTTGCAGCCCCAGTACTCCCAGCAGAACTCCCTCCAGAGTCACTCACCTGCAGGTGGGGGGCTCAGGATGGGGCCCTTGCCCGGCTGGCCAGGTGCAGAAACGGTGGCTGAGGTGGGTCCCACGATTTTCGGCGTCACTGTGTTTGTTTTGGATGCAGCTGGGGGGAGAAGTGGGGCAGAATCAAGAGCAGGAGAAGCGCTTCTTATTAAGACCAACTAGAACAGGGATGTCCAATCAGTTGATTGCAATCTACCGGTCGATCGCGGGGCCTTCCTGGTTGATTGCATGATCCTGATCGATCGCTGCCCCCCCTCCAAAAAAGCTCAACAACTTTGCTGAAATCTCCCCAGAAGAAGCTGAACAACTGTGGGGGTTCCTCCCCCCAAAAACTGAACAAGCTCAACAGCTTGGGTCAATCCATTGGGCAGATCACTGCCAGTGTTTTCATAGTGGGAGTAGATCACAGTCTCTTGGGAGTTGGGCATCCCTGAACTAGAACAATAGATCTAGTTACAGTTAGGTAGCCGTGTTGGTCTGCCATAGTCGAAACAAAATAAAAAAATAAAAATTCCTTCCAGTAGCACCTTAGAGACCAACTAAGTTTGTTATATGCCTGTTGTCTTTGTCCATGGAGTTTTCTTGGCAGGGATACTGGAGTGGCTTGCCAGTTCCTGCTATACAGCATCTTAAAAAGCAGAGACATCACATCACTAAATGACAAAGGTCCGTATAGTTAAAGCTATGGTTTTCCCAGTAGTGATGTATGGAAGTGAGAGCTGGACCATAAAGAAGGCTGATCACCGAAGAATTGATGCTTTTGAATTATGGAGCTGGAGGAGACTCTTGAGAGTCCCATGGACTGCAAGAAGATCAAACCTATCCATTCTGAAGGAAATCAGCCCTGAGTGCTCACTGGAAGGACAGATCCCGAAGCTGAGGCTCCAAGACTTTGGCCACCTCAGGAGAAGAGAAGACTCCCTGGAAAAGACCCGGAAAGATGGAGGGCAGAAGGAGAAGGGGATGACAGAGGGTGAGATGGCTGGACAGTGTTCTTGAAGCTACGGACATGAGTTTGACCAAACTGCGGGAGGCAGTGGAAGACAGGAGTGCCTGGCGTGCTCTGGTCCAGGGGGTCATGAAGAGTCGGACATGACTAAACAACTAAACAACAAGTTTGTTATTGGTATGAGCTGTCGTGGGCATGAAGGTATCTGAAGAAGTGTTCATGCACACGAAAGCTCATACCAATAACAAACTTAGTTGGTCTCTAAGGTGCTACTGGAAGGAATTTATTTTATTTTGTTAGAACAATAGTATCACTGAATTGCAGACCTGCAAGGAACCCCAAAAGACATTCAGCCCAACCCTTGCAATGCAGAGGTTTATACTGGGGGTGTGTGTGTCACCTGACAGACTCCAGCCTTCCTGCGGTGGCTTGAGAAAGAAATTGACCTTTCAGGAGTGCCACAAGGGGAAGACAAGGTACCTGGGTGAAGCGCTGAACACTTGAAGCCGCAGTCTGTGGAGATGCACTTCTCGCCTGCTGGGCAGTCAAAGTTATCCCTGCAGAAATCAATGCAGCTCTTTGGAGTGGTTTCGGCTGGTGCCTCTGAACACGGAGCGGGATTTTCTGGAGGGGGAAAGAGGGTTGTTCACAGTCACAACCTTGCTCACTGCCTCCTGCAGGAGGGAGTTCCACAAGTTAACCCTGTGCCGCATGACGAGAACCCTGTCTTTTATCTGCCCAGAACACAGCTTCATTCGATGCCCACAAGTTTTAATGTCATTCGTTTATTTTATTTTAAAATTTTTAATCTGTGTATCAGGGCAGTTCACAAGGTAAAAATACACATAAGTAGTTAAAACAAAAACAACAAAACAATAGCACCCCACCTAAAAACACAGTGCTTTCCCCCCCTTAAAAATGCTTAGGGGTTACTCTCATTTTGACTCAAGAAAACCACAGTTTTATAGTTCAAATTGGGAAAAACACTGTAAATGGACAAAAGTACAAAGATTCACAAAATGTTTGGGGTATGTGTCCCCCCAGAAAAAAGCACTGTAAAAACACATTTGAAAGGCTGTAGAATATTAATCAGCCAAAGGCCTGGTTGAAGAGGAACATAGTTTAATTATGGATGTTGATATTTTAATGACTGTATACTGGGTTTCTATGCTGGGAAACTGCACGATAAATAATAACAGGAGTTGGTTTAGCATTTTAAATCAAAAGGGAGAGAAGCATTAAAATTGTTTGAATAAGGCACATGAGAGAAAGGGCCTGGCAACCCTTTAAATTGCACAAATAAATCACTGTACCAAAAAATACATTTGATTTGTTCCATGTGCCACATTTACTGTGTGATTAAAGAGACACATGTGCACAGATGACCTGCCAGGCACTGTTTTTCATTCAGGTCACACAAGCCCACGTATTCAAAACTTTTCCAATGATGTCTTTCGGTTGTTGTTTTCTCTGCTGCTTTTATTTCGCTGTGTTTTATGTCATTGCGAACTGCCCTGGATAGCAAGGGCAGCAGATAAATATTTCCTTAGTAAACATGATGGCAGAAAGTGAGGAGGAATTAAAAAACCTCTTTATGAGGGTGAAAGAGGAGGGAGCAAAATATGGTCTGAAGCTCAACATCAAAAAAACGAAGATCATGGCCACTGGTCCCATGACCTCCTGGCAATGCGGGAAGACCTGAGTACATTTCTTCCAAATCCTTCATATTTTAACCCTATGCTTAAAGACACCCCTGTCCAGGAACAAACCTCTCCCATTCTCCAGGCTCCCTGGCCCACAGCCTCTCAGAGCTCAGCCCTATTCCTGGGAGACAGTTGGGAAAGGCAGAGGTTTGTTGTGTGAAGAGGCCTTAACTGGCTGCGGAGGATTTTCTCAGAGCCTTGGGAACTGGCTCCTGGCCACCTTCTCTTAGATCCAGCAGCGAGTTTTGCAAACAAAACCTGCTGGTGCATTTCATTGAGCAAATAAGGTTAGCAGGAGGGTCACTGGCACAAAACTCCCTCCTCCCTCTGCTCTCTCCTACAACTGTTTTCCAGGTATCGCTGCACCTCCTTCATCCCTGCCTTGTCATGTGACACAGATAACTGTAAGTATCGGTGGGTCCATTTAGTTTAGCATTGCCTGCACTGACTGGCAGCAGCTCTCCAGGATTCCAGGCAGGGATTTTTCCCAGCCCTACCTGGAGATGCTGCCAGTGGGGATTGAACCTTGCATGCAAACCAGGCACACTGCCACTGATCTGCGGCCCTGCCCTAGGGCTGCTTCATTCCAAACTTGCTTTCTGTGGGGACCAGAAACCAGGAAGGACATCGCCTGTCCAGGACTTTTCTGCCCAGGAAAGGGTGCCCAATTTGGAGAGTCTGGGAGTTCCCCTCTTTTCTCATCTGGTATGATGTGGCTGGGCTTGCTTGCTTGAGCCACCTGCAACTATTTGCACTGTAAGCAGCTGACTGCTAAGGTCTGGGTGGCCTGGCTTGATCTGTGAGAGGCCAGCTGGCTAGCAAGTTTGGTGTCATGGTGAAGAATCAGACGGGGTGGCCATGCCTGCGTTTGCAACCTTTGGCTGGATGCACCTGAGAGTTTAGAATCACAGAATGATAGAATTGTAGAGACTGAAGGGACCGTGAGGGTCATCCCCCTGTGACGCAGAAAAGTGAAGCACCCGGAAACTCCCCACCCCCATGCTTTGTGCCCCAGAGATGCTCATGAGATGGCTCTGGTACCTGCAGAGAGGTTCAGGCATTCAAGGCCACAGCCAGCAAAGCAGCACTTCTGGTCCTCAGGGCAGTCTCTGTCATCTTCGCATTGGTTCCGGCAGGGGGTGCCATTCGGCCATGCCATCCTCCGTGGGCAAATGCCAGGCCTAACTGGGGCAGAAAGAAGCACAATGCCATTCAGTCGAAGCCTTTGTTCTCCTGCTCCAAGGTTGCTGCTCAAGAGCCTTTCAGTATGACATATATTGCAGTGTCTACACTTTGGGTTAGACCCAGAATGCAGATTTCTCAGAGACCTGGGGTGCGCATACCTCCCCCTCCTCAGAAGCGACATTCCTGTCCTCTGGTGCTAGTTATGCAAGTTTATTGATTTGGAGTGTTTATTTTGCTCCCCGATCTCGGGACCGCCAGGCCTCTTCCTGCCTCTGCCCATCAACGCTGCCATTAATCTTCTGTCCCAGTGACCTGTTTCAGTCTGTTCCCTAAACATGAACACCATGATTTAGAAGAGGCAACACGGAGAGCACCTACCGTTTTCGCAGGCAGCGAGTGCCAGAATGTTGTCATTGTTGCCACCTGGAGAGCTCAACCCCTCGCAAGCGGAGAAGGAACGTTATGTGCCCATTACAGAGGTCAAAGCGGTTGGCGGGATACTTAGATTGCGGGGGAAGGCGATTCTTGGACTGAACTGACTCTGAGCTCTGGAGGGCTTTATCTACTCAAAGGGAAGCCTTTGAATTTGGCCAGGTAACAAATTGGCAGCCAGGGCAGATATTTGAAGAGGGAGGATTTCTTCACTCAGCACATCTGGGCGTTAAGCCATGTGCAAATAAATAATGTCTGGTATCAGCAGTGCTCCCCTCCCCTAGAAAAATAGGTGCTGGCCATGAAGTTGTTGCAGTAAGTGCCACACTTTTTAACAACAACAAAAAGAGGTGCCAGACTACATACCCTGGAGTGCCCCCTGAAAAAAAGCAACATCACGATGTCTGCCTGAAATCATGGAGAGCTGCTGCCAGTCTGTGCAAGCAGTGCTAAGCTAGGAGGCCCAACGGATAATAAGGCAGCTGCTTATGTTCCTAGGAGCAGCTCTCAATTGCCTTCATTTGCTTCATGGGTTTGTCTGATCCTCTTTTAAAGCCATATAAATGAGTGGCCATCATTGCTCCAGGTGGGAGCAAATTCCATAGTTTAGCTGCATGCAGAGTGAAGGATTCCTTCCTTTAGTGACTGGTCTGAATCTCCCATTTTCTGTTTCATCTTATGCATGTGGCATAAGGTCTATTCTACCCTGGGTCCAATTCTGAGCACCACAATACAAGAAGGATATTGACAAGCTGGAAGGTGTGCAGAGGAGGGTGACCAAGATGATCAAGGGCCTGGAAACCAAGTTTGAGGAGGGAGTTGGGGAGGTTGATTGCCGAAGAATGGATGCTTTTGAATTCTGGTGCTGGAGGAGACTCTTGAGAGTCCCATGGACTGCAAGAAGATCAAACGTATCCATTCTTAAGGAAATCAGCCCTGAGTGCTCACTGGAAGGACAGATCCTGAAGCTGAGGCTCCAAGACTTTGGCCACCTCATGAGAAGAGAAGACTCTCTGGAAAAGACCCTGATGTTGGGAAAGATGGAGGGCACAAGGAGAAGGGGACGACAGAGGACGAGATGGTTGGACAGTGTTCTCGAAGCTCCCAGCATGAGTTTGACCAAACTGTGGGAGGCAGTGGAAGACAGGAGTGCCTGGCGTGCTCTGGTCCAGGGGGTCATGAAGAGTCGGACACGACTGAATGACTAAACAACAAAGCCTGGAAAAGAGGAGTCTGAGAGGAGATATGAAAGTCATCTTCAAATATCTCAAGGGCTGTCACATGGAACAGAGAGCAAGCATGTTCTCTCCTGCTCTGGAGGGTAGGACTCAACCAATGGATTCATGTTACAAGAAAGGAGATTATGACTAAACATCAGGAAGAACATTTGGACAGTAAGAGTTGTTTGACAGTGGAACGCACTTCCCTCGAAGGGTGTGTCTCTTCTTGGAGAGGTTGGAAGGCCACCTGTCAGGGGTTCTTCAGCTCTGATTCCTGCCTTGTAGTGGGTTGGACTTGGGGATTCTTTCTGAATCTACAGTTCTGTGATTCTTTGGTTAGGAAGACAGGCAAGAGCGTCCCTCTCCCAAGCTGAGATCTGCCAGCTCAAAGACCTCCGCTTACCTGGGGCAGCTGCCACACAGCGCATGTGGCAATCGTCAGGGCAGCACTTCTCCCCCGGGCCACACCAGGTGTCATCCAGACAGCTCACTTGGCAGGCCTCCTTCAGTCCAGAGCAGAGCTTCGGACAGTAGCCTGGGCTCACTGGGGAAGAAGAGGGATGGGGGCCAAAATCTGCCAGTGTGATTTCTCATATTTCCAAACTCAAGTTCAGTTCCCCATATTGCCATGGATTTTCTTCTTGAAAATTCACCATATGAAGAGCTCTGCTGGATCAGACCAGTGGCCTATCTAGTCCAATCTCCAGTTCTCCCAGTGGGCAGCCAGATGCCTCAACAGGAAACCCACAGGCAGGATCTGAGCTCAAGGTCTCTTTCCCCTCCTGTGGTTTCCAGAAACTGGTATCCGGAAACATTTACTGTGTCTGACATGGAGGCAGAGTATAACCGTCATGGCTTGTCACCATTGGCAGACTCTTCTGCATGAAAATATACATGTTTGTGTGTGAAGTTTTGCTAAATATACAAATTTTGCAAGGAATTTGCATGTCAGTTTCATGTATGCATGCATTTTTATCCACACACTCCCCTGTTATTTGCAGTCTTGTACACATCTCTCATCTTTTTTTAAAAAAAGTTTTTTTTATTTATTTATGCTTTTCAGTTATATACATTTCAATACCTTTACAATCATTCTCACATTTCAAAACTTGACTTCCTTCCTTCCTCCCTCCTCTTTCTGTGGTTCCTAATTTTTTTTTTACATTTCCTGCATATTCTAAATTAACTTATTCTTTCATCAGATTTCTCATGTGGGAAACTGCGCCGTGCTGGAGAAGTGAAAAATTTGGAGGATGCCTGCATTTTTGGAAGGAGTGAATCGGGCAGGTTTGTCTGGAAGTGTGACCTGAATGGAATTTCACCCCACTGGCGAAGACTTCAGCGAGAAGTCTAAATGTAGATACTTAAAATAATCCTTTTCCCTATGTATTTTTAAAAAGCACTATTGTATATCTATATTTTCCATTTTGTCTTTATATGCAGATACAGTTCAAGCCTTGAAATAAAATTATTTGTCAGCATAACTTTTGCGAAAATTATTTATATACTTACTTATTTATAAGACTTCAGTTATCCCCAGGGTAAAAAAAAAGGGGGGGGCAGATTATCTACCTGGCCTGGGCCTCTGCCTGGCTCTGCAAGGCCCTGGATGGCCATCCAACCTCTGATTAAAAACCTCCAGTGATGGAGAGTCCACAACCTCCCGAGGGAGACCAGCATCCTGTTCTCACAGTGGCTCACCAGACACCCACTATGGGAAACCTGCAAGCAGGAGCTGAGGGCAAGAGTGACTCGCCCCTCCTGTATCTTCCAGCAGCTGGTGTTCAGAAGCAGAGTCATCCTGATATTCATCTCCTCCATGAACTTGCCTAATTCTCTTTTCAGGTCATCCAGACTGGTGGACATGACCTGCCTCTTGTGGGAGAGAGTTCCATAGTTTAACTCTGTGCTTCTAGAAAGTCAAACCATTTGGCCTCCCCTAAGCAGATGGTTCTCACCACCGCTGCTCCCATCCTCTGTCTGCCCCACTTACCCATTGCAGGATGCGCACAGATCCTCAGAGTCCCCACGTTGCAGCACTTCTCACTGCCGGGACAGGAAGCGTCGGAGAGGCAGAAGACCTTGGAGGGTTGGGCATCCGGATTCCTCCCTGGTGGGCACAGGCCAGCTTTCTCCAGGGCAGAGGTAGGAGTTGAGGGCAGCGGGCTTCCCTTTTCAGCGTCTGCGGTGGAAAAGAAGAGACCATTTGGGCAGCAGAGCCTGTCAGAGACAAGTCACAGCCCTGCCTCCCAGCCTCCTCTTGGCCTGCCGGCCTTTCTTGTGAATTCCTCTGCTCCAGAGGAAGGAGAGAAGGTGTTTCTCTGGAGAGGAAGGTCTTCCAGAAAAGCTGCCAGTGGGTGCTGCTGATCCCTGAGTGGCAGAGCAGCTGCCATGCAAGCAGAAGGTCCCAATCCCCAAAGGCATCTGCAGGCAGGGCTGGCAGAGAGTCCTGCCTGGAGCTCTGGAGAGCCATTGTAGGCAACACTGGACTAGGTGGACCAACAGTCTGATTCAGAAGACAGCCTCCTAGTGGGAGCCAGTACGGTGTAGCGGTTAGGGTGTCAGAGTAGGACCTGGGAGAGGCCAGGGTTCAAATCCAGCCCTGGCTATGAAGCTCACTGGGTGTGACCGTGGGGGGGGGGGAGATGGTGCCTCTTAGCCTAGCCTACCTCACAGGTGTGGGGATTAAATGAGGAAGGGGGGGGGGACCACGTACGCCACCTTGAGCTCCTGGGAGAGAAAAAGGTGAGATATAAATGCAATTAGTACAATAAAAAATAAATAGTCCCTGAGCTGCCTTCGTACCAGCTCCTGGAGAGGAGAGGAGAGGAACTCCCTGCTTGTGCACGAGAAGAGTCACATCTCTTTCTTGCAAACCCAAACACACACACACACACACACACACACACACACACACGTTTCTCTTTGACTCAGCTTGCACACCCTTCTCCACTAACCTCCCAGCCCAGGCTTGGCCACTGAGACGATCAGCCCCGCGAGAAGGCAGAGGGATGGGAGCTGCATGGCGCTGCGTGGAAGCGTCTGGCCTGCCCAGAGTTGCACCACCTTGGGCTATATATATACATTGGCCTGGCGGACCTCCCTCCCTCGCCACCTTCCCAGGAGAACAGGGGGCGCTTGCACGGGAGTTTCCCATCTGAGCCGGCGGTGGGTCCCTGCCAGCATGAAAGCAGCCTCTGCCCTCCTTCTTCAGGGTTTGGTTATCCTGGTTCCCGGCAAGCCACGATTTCTCATCTGCAGCTGTCACCTTGACATGAGCAGAGCTGCTGGGTCAAGGCCTTGAAGCAGCGGAACACAGACCCAGGGAGGCCTGAGCACTGAGCCGTGGAAACACAAGAAGCGCTGGAGGAGATGGCTCTGCCGTGCTTCTGAATTCCAGCTGCAGGAAACCGCAGGACGGAAGAGAGTTGCTCTTGTGCTCAGATTCTTCTTGCTGGTTTCTCATAATGGGCATCTGGTTGGCCACTGGGAGAAGTGGACGCTGGACTCAGTGGGACCGGGAATCTCCCCTACCTAAGCCTGAAATGTTGATGCCAGTCAGTGCAGACAATACTGAGGTGGATGGACCAACCCTCCAATTCAGTATAAGGCAGCTTCCTATGTATGTTTCTACACAGTAATACTAGAAATACTGCAAAAATGTAGTACTGTTTTGTTGTAAACTAAATCTGCCCTTTTTCCCTTATGGGGTATCCAAGAGCCCATATAGAGTCCTTACGTGGGTTCCCTATTGGTAGGAGAAAATAACAGAGGCCAACCAGAGAATATTGAGAAGCAAAGCAGCTAGGAAGCCTGATCTTTATTAAACTGTTGCAACAGGGTCCTCACTCACCACACGCAGGAGGGAGGAGGAACCAGAACCAAGGTGTTAAGTTGTGGGTGAACATATCAGACGACACAGCAATTCTTCAAACAGTTCTTGTTTATTCACAGGCCAGAACAGAACTGAACTGAAGGGTTCAGCCAGCCTGCTAATATAGAACTCCACTAGAACGCAACAGTAACCATTTTCTATAACTATCCAATCACTGAACGTCACTTTTGATCCCTTATTTGCATATGTGGACCTGAACTATCTACAGTATCCCCCTGCTGGCCCAGGGTGAGAACTTCAGTACATAACACAAGGTGTGCCCGCCCTTATAGAGACATTTTAAATTCCCCGCCCTGGAGCTCAAGACCACCCCTCCATACATCATACATACATCACAGAAGGGGTGTAACGCAAGACCACCTCCCACAAACATCATACCTACGTCACAGAAGAGGTGGTCTACAACAGAAATTTGAGTGTTGTTGCTTTTCCTGTCTGCCAGGTTATCTGATAATGCCTTATCTGATTGCCTTTCCTGGTAGTCTGGCCATTCCTTTGAGATGGTGATTTCCCAGTTCCTGAGACAATGGGAAGGCTCCCCCACCCCCTCCCTCCTTGCAGAGAAAACATTTGGTCAGTTTGGGAGTCAAAATGGTTTCTGGTCGGTCTTCCTGTGCTGATCTATGTCAGTGCTTGGTTGGTACATTTATGAACATTTATTATATATATATAAGACCTTAAAATTCTTATAACAGCTTCATTGGAGTTAAGCTGTCTTTGTTGGCAGGAACTGGTGGTAAGGGATGCAGTTAAAATTGAAGTGATTGGGAGGGTGAAGTGATTGGGAGTGATTGCAAGAGATATTTTTCTGCTGCGCTGCTGCCTGGCTGTGTCCATTTGTCACCAGTTGCCTGTCCATTGTTCTCTGCAGTCAGTGAGGGGAGGACAAGAGGAATTGGAGTCGGGTCACGTTGCCAAGGACTGGGGGAGTCCAGAAGCAACAGAGGTTTCCCGCTTTGCCCATTGAATTCCAGGACAATGCATCTCTGCTCCTCCAGCCAGAGGCCACAGAAGCACCTTGCCAAGTTTGCACAGCTGTTGCAAAATTCTACAGTCATAGAATTGAATGATTAAGGCCTTAAATGATAATTTTAGCTTATATGTTAGTGACTAAGTTTTAATTTATATATTTTTTAACTGTTACTATATCTGTATTGTCCCTGTTATACCTAATTGCAAATTCAAATGTATCCCTATCGTGTTTTATGATTTCTTTGATATTGTATGCCGGCTGGAACTGGTCTGTGACCGAAATAATAAATTCTTCTTCTTCATAGAATTGAAGAGTTGAAAGGGACCCACAAGGGTCATCTAGTCCAACCCCCCTTCTGCAATGCAGGAATCACAGCTAGAAACTTCCTGACAGTTGGCCATCCAACCTCTGATGGAAAACCTCCAGTTAAGAGAGTCCAGCACCTTCTGAGGTGATCAGCTCTACTATCAAGCGGTTCCTGCTGTCAGAAGGTCTAGTTGGAAGCTTAATTCTCCTTTCTTGTCATTGGAATCCATTGGTTTGGGTCCTCTGCTCCGGAGCAGCAGAAAACATGCTTGCTCCATTTTCTGCAGGTCTGCCATTTCCTAATGAAGGGCTCTGGGTCTCTTGGGTGCCAGTCCGAGAAGCCGGACAAGGAGGAGATGGACTCAGCTGCAACTAAGGCAGAGTCCTCTGACACCTCATAGAATTGTAGAGTTGGAAGGGACCCTCAAGGCCGCGAGGAATGAGATTCCAGCTGGACATCAGGAAGAACTTTCTGAAAGTGAGATCTGTCCGGCAGCGGAGCCAACTCCCTCGGAATGTGGCGGATCAAGTATTTTCCAAAGACTGGAGTAAAATTGTCATTTATTTAGAAGACCACTGTAAACAGTTAAAATCTTCGGCAGGGATGGAAAGACGCTTGTAATGTTGAATTGTTGTAATGGTAATTATGGTTATATAATAGCTTGATGCAGTAACTTTAATCTTTAAGATTGAAGATGGAAGCCATGGAGAGAGAGAAGGAGGTCTAAGGGTTTGAAAGAACTCTGCATTTTGATGTTTGAAATGGCTTTGTTTTATATGTATATTTCCCCAAAAAAAACTTAATAGAAAATTATAAAAAAAATTAAGGTGGTAGATTCTCATTCCTTGGAGGTTTTTAAACAGAGGTTGGATGTGTGGGGTGTGAAACACAGAGAAGTCAAATACAACATCCCTAGAGTGGACATAAAAAGGGGGTGTCTGGACCAGCCAGTCGGAACTTCCTGTTTCCTCCTGGGCTGGGACAGACTTCCTCTGCATGTGACCAGAGGTGGGCATGACCTCACCTGTGCAGGTAACAAAATACCCCAGCGGAGGCTGCCATCTCTCTCTCTCTCTCTCTCTCTCTCTCTCTCTGATTCCATTCGTGGAAGAAGCAACATTTGCTTAGCCAAAGATGCTCTCTGGGCTTCCAGCCAAGAGAGAACAAAGGGACTATCACCTTATGGGATAAATTCCACGTGTATATATTTTGTAACCTAAGTCTGCCTTCTGGGATCCTTCTGTGAACAGAAAGTGAGTAAACTATTTCATATACTTTTATGTCGTGTCTATTCTTTTAAGAGGGAATAAAAGGAGAATTACTAGGAAACTTATTTTAGAGGCTTATGCAAGCCTGGCAAACCTATCCACTTTGTAAGTTTAAAAAGGGGAATGTTACTCTGCTAAATCATAGAACTTGTTAACACAAGTTGGGAAGGATATAATCAAACAATGTATCCTCTCTTGCCTCCCTGAACATTCCCACAGGATGGTCAACTGCCAGGAGTTCCTTAGTTGTGAATCCTGCCTTGCAGAGGGTTGGACTAGATGACCCTCAGAGGTCCCTCCTGACTCTACAATTCTATGATTCCTCTGGAAGGGCTATTTGTATTCAGAAGAATCCACCTTTGGGGACGTGCCCTCCACACCCCACACCAGCTGATACCATTTGTGCATTTTCAAATAAAAACCTTGCCCATACAATGCCCTGGGTCTGGTTTGACCCTCAGATTGTCAGCTTGCAGGCTGGGCCTGTTCCTTTTAATATGATTAATCTGCAGCGTTGAACTGTTCCTCTAGAAGCAGCAGGAGTCATTCATCTTTTTAATTTACTCGTGGGTTTTTAAAAACCCTCCTCCTCCTTCAAAAAAAAAGGTGCTTTCCCATAGCAGGTATATTGCAACCACCAATAAAAAAGAGACCAGCAGGATATGCCTTTTCTCTGGCTCATTTTATTTTATTTTTAATATCTTTATTGGTTTAAAATGCAAACATACAAACATACAACGAAGATAAGTATAGAAACAAAAAACAAATAAGTCTGAAAAAACAAGAAAAAGGGAAGAAAAGAAAACCAAGGATTTATACAACATCATATCTATCAAATAAAATTTCTCTAGCTCCTTTTAATGGATAAGGGCATCATTCCATCAGGACTCATAATACAAAAATCTGGGACCTTCTTGGTCCCTTGGCCCATTTGTGACATTGAGCTGCCACAACAGTGTTCCTGGCTCCAGAGACTGGAAGGAGGAGCACCTTGAGAAACTGGCGACCAGAGAAAACCTGTTGATGCATTTCCACGGCCATGAATAACTCCAAAGAAATGCCGATGCCCACTTTTTTGGCTCGCTTTATGACACCTCGTAATTCATAAGATAAAGCTTGTTTTTCTCAGATGCAGGAATTTGCCCTCTTCACCTCATGTAGGCATGGCTCCTTATAACCATTTATGTGACGGTGTTTGTAGAATTTGTACTGTGAAAACAGGAAAGGGGTCAAACCACCGCAAGAGGTGCTGAAATTTTGGGAGGTTGGATAGTTACAATGGAATGGTCTCGGGGGTGGGGCACACATTTCTATTCTTATTTATTTTTTATTCTTTTTTTTATTATGGAGGTGAAAGCTGGACCATAATGAAGGCTGATCGCCGAAGAATGGATGCTTTTGAATTATGGTACTGGAGGAGAATCTTGAGAGTCCCATGGACTGCAGGAAGATCAAACATCTCCATTCTGAAGGAAATCAGCCCTGAGTGCTCACTGGAAGGACAGATCCTGAAGCTGAGGCTCCAAGACTTTGGCACCTCGTGAGAAGAGAAGACTCCCTGGAAAAGACCCTGATGTTGGGAAAGATGGAGGGCACAAGGAGAAGGGGATGACAGAGGACGAGATGGTGGGACAGTGTTCTCGAAGCTACAAACATGAGTTTGACCAAACTGCGGGAGGCAGTGGAAGACAGGAGGGCCTGGTGTGCTCTGGTCCATGGGGGTCGCGAAGAGGCGGACACGACTAAACGACTCAACAACAACAACAATTTTTTATTATTACGTTGTCAAAATAATATATATATATATAAAATAATTATTGATGGCGATGGCGATCATAATCATTTATTATTTATACCCCCCCCCATCTGGCTGGGTTTCCCCAGCCACTCTGGATGGCTTTCAACAGAGCATTAAAAACAGAATAAAACTTCAAACATTAAAAACTTCCCTGAGCAGGGACATGACATGAAATGTTTTGAAGAATTTCTTCAACTCCATAATTAGCAGGAAACACAGGGCACAGGGGGCACATGCGCAGAACAGAACAACAAACCCTTAATTCTATTGTACATAAGAAGCACCTTTAATGCGTTTGCTTGTGGTATATGATCTACATGGCTGCTTTCTTGGCTTGGCTTTCATTCTGAGCCAGGAGGGAGGGACAGGAAGTGGGACTCCAAATCCAAAAGGGAGGTCCTACAGCTTCCTGATACTGTCAGGTGTTGTGTGTATGCACAGAGCGACGGGCACAGGTGGTCTGGAGGACGGAGCAAGCAATGGTGACTAAGCCATATGAATTGAGGGCTACTGTGCAAAGGGAGAAAGTGGGTGAGGGACTCCAACGAACATGGCGAAGGTGAAGAGGAGACCAAGTGCCAAGAGATGAGGGAGGCCAGCGGTTGTCATGGCTCTGGGGTCGGGGTCTGTGGAGGGTCCCCCACCTCAGGTGTTCCATGGGGTCTCGGCTTCTGGATCTGCAGAGGGAAGATGAGAGAGGGATTAGTGAGCATAACTTTGCTGGAGGTGTGCAACACACTGTATGCACGGTCTATCCAGAAGATATTTGTGTTTCGGGGAGTTAAGTGATCCGTCAAACCTAAACAGCATCTTAAAAAGCAGAGACATCACCTTGCCGAGAAAGGTCCGTATAGTTAAAGCTATGGTTTTCCCAGTAGTGATGTGTAGAAGTGAGAGCTGGACCATAAAGAAGGCTGATCGCCGAAGAATTGATTATTTTGAATTATGGTGCTGGAGGAGACTCTTGAGAGTCCCATGGACTGCAAGAAGATCAGACCTCTCCATTCTTAAGGAAATCAGTCCTGAAGCTGAGGCTCCAATACTTTGGCCACCTCATGAGAAGAGAAGACTCCCTGGAAAAGACCCTGATGTTGGGAAAGATGGAGGGCACAAGGAGAGGGGGGTGGCAGAGGACAAGATGGTGGGACAGTGTTCTCGAAGCTACCAGCATGAGTCTGAACTGTGGGAGGCAGTGGAAGACATGAGGGCCTGGCGTGCTCTGGTCCAGGGGGTCACAAAGAGGCGGACACGACTAAACGACTCAACAACAACAACAAGTGATCCGTCATGGTTACCCTTCCTGCCCCCTGTTCCTTTCCCCTTCCCTATCTCTTGTTAAGCTCTTTGATGGCTGAGAAACAGCCTTTCATGTCTTAATCTTTTGGAAGGAAGTGATAGTGCTGGGTACCTTCTTTGATGTCGGACATTGTTTGGAGAAAGTGAGGCTCTGGGAGAGGTGGCTAATGAATTATCTGCACGTAGCCAGTCAAGCAAGCCATGCAGGCTAACTGGCTAGTTAGCTATAAACTGGATGGTTTGGGGCATAGTTTCTGAGAAGCTCATGCACAGACTGATAGCTGTGGGGCTGTGCAAACTGAGGCTACCTGGGGGAGTCACTTCGCCACTTCTTGAGGGCTTCCCAGTGGCAGACTGAGGCGCTTCCTTGGCATGTATATATTGCTTGCTGTTTAAAACCAAATCTTCAATCTTTTCACTCATTTGTGTTTTGTGTCACTTCTGAATCTCATTTTAAAAGAACCGCCTTGCATTCGGCAAGACACACAGCACCATCTCTGTAGATGGTGTTTGTAATGTGCCTGTCCCAAAGGCTGTGCCATTTACAAGGTAGAGACACCTGACAGGAAGGGGACAGAAATGCAAGTGAACAGGGGAAGGACATGGGATGATTTCAGTTGTGTATACAGTGCAATAGCATCTTATGCATGTTTAACTTGAGCAATTTCAACTGTATGCGGTTGAAGGTAGGATGGTTGAAACGGCACAAGTTAAACCCAAGCAAAGCGGAGAAGCTCATTTCTTGCCAGGTCTGCTTGGGTGCATAGAGAACTTTTAAGCTCTCTACTTTGCTTGCCGGGCAAGGTCTACTCAGTGGACTAGGGTGGAATCTACACACATGTAAAAATAATGGTGTGAAAATGCTTTTTTAAAAAAGGTTTTTTTAAAAATATATATATACATTGAATTTGCCATAGCTCACTTTCGCCATCTAGTGTCACATTTGTATATTGCGATTTGCAACACACTTAAAACGTTTTACTTGCAGCTGTGTAGCTGAGTCCTGGGAACTCTCTGTCTTTGCTTCACCTGCTAGCTGCGAAGGAGCCTCCATCAGATTGCAAAAGTGTGAATCTCGGGCAAAATCACATTCAAAGGTGTTCATATTAGGAGAAACATGAGATCAGCTAAATGAGAAACCAGCAGCAATCAATACTGACAGGTTCACGGAGACCTTCATCTGAAGACCCACAACACAGAAATGATGTCTTCACCCCCCAAATGCTGCTCTTCTGCCACTCACTTACCTTGCTCTCTGGGAGGGACGCAGTTCCATTTCTTGCAGCCGCTCATGCAGCACTTCCTGTTGCCGGGACAATCAGAGTCCTCCCTGCACTGATCCCTGCAGATGCCCAGCAGTGAGATGATAGGGGGATCCGGAGGGCAGAACCCTGGTTTATCTGCATGGGGAGAGAGGGAGAGCATCAGACTCCTAATCTCAGGGTCGTGGGTTCAAGACCCAAGTTGGGCAAAAATAAAATAAAATCCTGCATTGCAGGGGGTTGGACTGGATGACCTTCGTGGTCCCTTCCAATGCTACTGTTTGCAGGCATTGCCTGGAGAGACAGGACATCCATCCATGCTGTCTTGGCAGAATTCCAGACGGGTTTCAGGCCGGCTCCTGCACAGCTTCCCCTCCCTCATCCTACAGAAGGAGTGGAATTCAGATTGTGCTCCTTTCAGGAATGCTTCACCCATCAGGAGTTGCTTGCTGCAGCCCACTCATCTCTCTGGCACCTCGCCAGCAAATGCTGTTAGGCCAAGTCACAATCTAAGCACTGGGCCTGCTTTTCCTGGACACTCTCCTGCACGGAGGGGCCCCTGCCTGGAGACGGTGCCATTGCTGGGCCCCTGGCACCATGGGCAACTTGCCTCCCATCACAGCTATCCCCCCATGTTGCATCCAGCACCTTAAAGTGTGACTCCTGCAGTGCAGGATTGGGCCCCTTCCAGCTCTACAGTTCTATGAATGTGGCATTGAGGCCCACCTGAGACTGGGTCCTGGGGGCAGGAGAATTGCAGGGGGCAAAGGAGGGCAAGTGTTACCGTTTGGGAGACGGCAAGAGGCCCCGCAGCCCGTCCAGCAGCATTTCTCTGTCCCCGCACAGCTGGCATCGGACTGGCACTCTTCTGTGCAGTTTCCACGGGCCGTCCCCAGCGTTGCATTGGGGCACGTGCCAGCTTTCTCTGCAGCAACTGGAAAAGGCAAAGAGAAGTAGACATTATGAAGAACTTTCGGGCTTTAAAAGCTGTTTGGCCATGGAACTGCCTCCCTCAAGAGGTTGTGGACTCTCCTTCCTTGGAGGTTTCGAAGCAGAGGTTGGACAGCCGTCTGTCATGGGTGCTTTGGCTGAGATTCCTGCATTGCAGGGGGTTGGAATTAGACAACCCTCAGGATCCCTTCCAGCTCTACAGTGATAGCCACCTTCAAATATCTAAATGATACAGGAGATGGAACAAGCTTGTTTTCTGCTGCTCCAGAGGGTAAGATCTGAACCAACGACTTCAAGTTATAGGGAAGGGGTTTCTGGCTAAACATCAGGGAGAACTTTCTGAGGCTGAGAGCTGTTGGTTGGTGGACTGGCAGCAAGCCTCCAAGATTCCAGGTAGAGGTAGCTTCCAGTTCTACCTGGAAATGAACCAGGGATTGAGAAGATGGGTCTTTCTGTCGGCAAGGCAGACACTCCCCCCCTGAGCTTTGGCCCTTCTGCTCCTTTGTACAGCTGGGCCAGGCTGGAGACAAGGGCTTTCATGGAATCATAGAGTTGGAATAGACCACAAGGGCCATCGAGTCCAACCCCCTGCCAAGCAGGAAACACCATCAGAGCACTCCTGACATATGGTTGTCAAGCCTCTGCTTAAAGACCTCCAAAGAAGGAGACTCCACCACACTCCTTGGCAGCAAATTCCACTGTCGAACAGCTCTTACTGTCAGGAAGTTCTTCCTAATGTTTAGGTGGAATCTTCTTTCTTGTAGTTTGGATCCATTGCTCCGTGTCTGCTTCTCTGGAGCAGCAGAAAACAATCTTTCTCCCTCCTCTATGTGACATCCTTTTATATATTTGAACATGGCTATCATATCACCCCTTAACCTCCTCTTCTCCAGGCTAAACATGCCCAGCTCCCTTAGCGTTCCTCATAAGGCATCGTTTCCAGGCCTTTGACCATTTTGGTTGCTTTTCTCTCCTTCTCTCCTAGGGACTGCCACCCGCTCACACCCACCTGTAACGTTCTTCCCAGGTGTGTCTGTCAGGTGAGCTGAGGCTGTGAGAAGCCCCACCAGGGAGACGAGGAGGAGGTGGTGGAAGCAGCTGCTATTCCTGGGCGTCATGGTGATGTCGCTTGCAGAGAAGATGTTGTGGTCTCCGGCTGTTGCCAGCCAAGCTTTAAGCTCTCTCAGGTGTGGCTGGTGGAGGGGGAGGGAGGCAGGGAGGTGGGGAGGGCAGAGAGAGGCTCCTGGGCGATGACTGGAGAGCAAGCTGAGCCCAGCTCCCTCCTCCTTCCATTGCACAATCGGATCAGGTAACACCCCTGGCTCTGGTGCGAACCAGGAAGCTGGAGGCTCAGAGAGCAGGCTCAGACTCGGGGGCCGATCTTTCCTGAGAAGCACAGCCCAGGCCAGGTGGTTTGCCATCAGCAACCTGGAAGCCCAAGGAATGGCTCTTACCTGTGTTGGCCAGGAGTTAAGGGCTCCCCACAAATCCTGTGCTTGCATCTGAGCTGTGAGGGGTTCTCGGGGTGCAACTTCCATGCAGCTTCTTCTGGGGTGGGACATATCTAATGGTGCAGCAGGAAAGAATTACTAGCCACAGCAGTGCTTCTGAATACTGAGATAGGAATTTTGAGGTCTTAATGGTAAAGGTAAAGGGACCCCTGACCATTAGGTCCAGTCGTGGCCGACTCTGGGGTTGCGGCGCTCATCTCGCTTTATTGGCCGAGGGAGCCGGCGTACAGCTTCCGGGTCATGTGGCCAGCATGACTAAGCCGCTTCTGGCGAACCAGAGCAGCGCATGGAAACGCCCTTTACCTTCCCGCTGGAGTGGTACCTATTTATCTACTTGCACTTTGAGGTGCTTTCGAACTGCCAGGTTGGCAGGAGCAGGGACCGAGCAATGGGAGCTCACCCCATCGCGGGGATTCGAACCGCCGACCTTCTGATTGGTGAGTCCTAGGCTCTGTGGTTTAACCCACAGCGCCACCCGTGTCAGTTTGAGGTCTTAGATATATGTTAAATGTTCATAAGTGTACCAACCAAGCACGTACATAGATCAGCACAGGAAGACCGACCTGAAACCATTTTTGATTTCCAAACTGATTTCTCTGCAAAGTCAAAGGAAAATGGAAAAGCCTCCCCATTGTCTTTTCCTTCACAAATCCTGTCTTAAGGGCACATTTAAGATATAGGGTGTGAGCCTGACCTGGCTCAGGAACTAAGTATTTATCATTACAAAAGACTGGCCAGGCTCCCCAGGCAGTCCAATCAAGTGACCATTAAACAGGTAACCTGAAAAAGTACTCAGATTTCTGCTGTAGACCACCCTTTCTGTGATGTATGTATGATGTTTCTGGGGGTGGTCTTGATCTACAGAGTGGCAATTTAAAATGTCTATATAAGGGCGGACACACCTGGGTTCTGGGTCCTCCTCCTGCGTGTGAGGGGAACACCCTGTTGCAACAGATCAATAAAGATCAGGCTCACGAGCTGCTTTGCTTCTCAATATTCTCTGGTTGGCCTCTGTTATTTTCTCCTACCGATAGAGGACCTACGTAAGGACTCTATATGGGCTCTTGGGTACCCCATAAGGGAAAAGGGCAGGTGTTTTTTTACAACAATACCAGCTGTCAGGTGACACAGGAGGGGAGAATGTTCCTCTTTTTCTGCTTGTGGGTTTCCCATTCAGACACCTGGTCGGCCCCTGGGAGAACAGGATGCTGGACTAGGTGGGCCATTGGCCTGATCCAGCAGGATCTCCTGATGTTCTTAGGAAGGAGAGAGCCTAGACTTGGTGGCTGCTGGTGCTACGGAAGAGGAAATGCCCCACAAGGGTGGTCTTTAAGGTGCCAGTAGAGACATTCCTCTGCCCTCTTTCAGGACATATCTAGAACTTCAGCCCTGTAAAGCTGCAAGGCAGCCTTTTTGCCCCCCCCCCCCCGAGTTATTGGGGGTGAGGAAAAGCAGAGTTTCAGAGTGGGCACCAGTACTGGCTGAAGAATAATGCGCCAAATTCAAGCTTATTTGAAATGGTTGTCGAGTGATTTTTGGACCTGCTTAGTGTCGGTTGTTAGCACGCTCTCTCTCTCTCCCTCTCTCTCTCTCTGCTGTCCCACCCGCTGCCCAGACCATGAGAACGGAGGCTCTTACTTAAGAGTAAAGGAGAGATTGAGCAGGACGATCAGGGCTGGGAGCAGCAGCCCACATTGAAGGAGTCCACAAACAGGGCAAGGAGCTCAGAACTCCAGGGAAGCAAACTAGGTGGCCTCCTAGGAAGGGCAAGGCACATTTCCTCATAGAATCAGAGAATCGTAGAGTTGGAAGGACCCTCAAGGGTCATCCAGTCCAACCCCCTGCAGCACAGGGATCACAGCTCAGGTGTCCCTCACAGGTGGCCACCCAAACTCTGCCTGAAAATCTCCAATGAAGGAGAGTCCTTCACCTTCTGAAAACATCCATTCCACACAGCCGTCAGAAAGTCCTTCCTAATGTTGAGTCGGAATCTCCTTCCTTGCCATTTTAATCCGTTGGTTCGGATCTTCCCCTCTGGAGCAGCAGCAGAAAACGAGCTTGCTCCATCTTCCATGTGGCAGCGCTTCAGAGACTTGAAGTTGGCTAACGTATCGCTTCTCTCTATTGGTTCTTAGGTGGAAAGCCCTATAGGGCCTGGAGAAGAAAGATGGATCTTTCTGGGTCACTGAGGTCCAGCTACGTGTCTCTGCTATGGATGCCTACTGCACTCCTCCCTTTTGGGTCTGTATCATCTCCAGACATTACCACCAAGGATAGCTCAGTTGGTTTGAATGTGGTGCTGATAACACCAAGGCTGAAGGTTCAATCCCCATGAGAGACAGCTGCATATTTTTGCTTGCAGGGGGTTGGACTATATAATCCTCAGGGTCCCCTTCCAACCTTGCATCTGTATTTCCATGAACAGCAAAACCTTCCCTGCAGTTGAAGACTTTGTGGCCATTTGGAAAACTCCAGAGGTGTGACCCTGGCCTGTTGAGACAGGTGAGTCACACTTTCCTCTTTATGAGAAGGTTTCGCCACTTCAATGTCACGTAGCTGGGTTGTGTTTGCAGCTAATTTGCAGACGGCCCCCGGCCACAGTCCCCTATGCAGCACCTCTGAAGCTTAGGTGAGCCACTGCTGCTGCCAGTCAGTGTTGGTGACAAATAGTGCTACATGGATGGTCCGAGGCAGCTTCCAGCATTCCTACCATATTGATGTAGATTTGGTTTGTTGCTTCCTCTGGATATCTTAGCATATACCAGTGGCACTGCTCCTTCTCTTGATCTGGATACTATACTTCTGGATAAAAAGTAGTGTCCAGGTCAAGGGAAGTGATAGTACCGCTCTGATCTGCCTTGGTCAGACCACATCTGGAATATTACGTCCAGTTCTGGGTGCCACAATTTAAGGAGGATATTAACAAGCTGCAAGGTAAGCAGAGGAGGGCAGCCAGGATGACCAAGGGTCTGGAAACCAAGCCTTATGAAGAATGGTCGAAGGAGTTGGGTTTGTCTGGCCTGCATAAGAGAAGAAGAAGAGTTTGGATTTGATATCCCGCTTTATCACTCCCCTTCAGGAGTCTCAAAGCGGCTCACATTCTCCTTTCCCTTCCTGCCCCACAACAAACACTCTGTGAGGTGAGTGAGGCTGAGAGACTTCAGAGAAGTGTGACTGGCCCAAGGTCACCCAGCAGCTGCATGTGGAGGAGCGGAGACGCGAACCCGGTTCACCAGATTACGAGTCCACTGCTCTTCACCACTACACCACACTGGTGTAGGAGGAGACTGAGAGGAGATATGATGGTCATCTTCAAATATCTCAAGGGCTTTCACATGTGAGAGGGAGCAAACTTGTTTTCTTCTGCTCTGGAGGGCAGGACACAAACCAATGGCTTCAAGTTAGAAGAAAGGAGATTCCGATTAAAGCTTGGGAAGAAATTTCTGGTGGTAAGAGCTGTTCAACGGTGGAATGGATGACCTTGGAAGGTGGTGGACTCTCCCTATTGGGAGATTTTTAAACAGAGGGGATTATAAATCCTCAAGCACCACCAACTTGGGTCCCTTTTTACTTATGCAAGTTTCACTTCTTCATTTACCTAGTGCTGGAAGAGCAGCAAAGGAACAGCTCTGCCCCTTTAGGAAATGGGCAGCCTCCACAGTGCAGCCACCTAGTGGCAGGAAACGGACATTGCCTGAAATGTACTTCATCTGCACAGCTGGTAGTCACTTGGGTTATTTCCGTTTTGCAGAAGAGCGACTGGAGGCGTGTCAGTTAGTGCAATGACAAGCAAAGTGATATTGACCAGAAACTGTGGCTCAGCTTTCAGAGGAAAGCAGGGTCTGCTGTCCTGTAAGTACTTGCCCTAACTGGCATTGGACTGGGAATTTCGGGCCTAAGGAAGACAGAAGCAAAGTGAAATGGCTTTGCAAAGTTTCCTGGGCTGCAGGTGCATCCTGTTCCATGATACGGTTTGCAATAAGACTCGCTGCTGGGCCTCCTCCACGAGAGGCTCGGAGGGGGCTGGCTGTGACGCCCCACTTTCCATGGGGGGGTAGGAAGTGGATCTTGCTGCTGGGAAGGGTTGCCATAATAATAATAATAATAATAATAATAATTTATTATTTATACCCCGGCCATCTGGCTGGGTTTCTCCAGCCACTCTGGGCGGCTTCCAACAGAACACTAAAATACAATAACCTATTAAACATCAAAAGCTTCCCTGAACAGGGCTGCCTTCAGATGTCTTCTAAAAGTCTGGTAGTTGTTCTTCTCTTTGACATCTGGTGGGAGGGCGTTCCACAGGGCGGGTGCCACCACCGAGAAGGCCCTCTGCCTGGTTCCCTGTAGCTTTGCTTCTCACAATGAGGGAACTGCCAGAAGGCCCTCAGAGCTGGACCTCAGTGTCCGGGCAGAACGATGGGGGTGGAGACGCTCCTTCAGGTCTACTGGGCCGAGGCTGTTTAGGGCTTTAAAGGGCTTGCCGTAACTTGAAGAGCAAAAAAGAGGACAGACCAAGCTGCTGCCAGTCCAAGCTGGGGGAAGAGGCATGCGGGGCCGCCACTGCCATGCCCTTTTCCCTGGTTCAGGTTGGCAGCGGCAGTGGTGTGTAGAGGAGCCCAAGCCCAAGAAACCACTAACTAACTAACTAAATCAATCAATCCCCAAACCTGGACATTTCCCTTAAAATGTAAAAATCCCCCCAGATGGGCATGTTGGACCCCCAAAAGAGGACATGTCTGGGATTTCCCAGATGTATGGCAACCCTACTTCTGGGGGAGCACCATCTTCTCCTTGCTCTGCAGCTTCCCCTCTGAGAGTGACCAGGCTGACCATGCAAGTGGGAACAAATGTGCAGAAAGTCATGCGCAAGGCAGGGGAAGAAGAAAGGTCCAGCAAGCCCCCCAGGAGGTTGGCGCCCTGTTGGAAGTTTGAGTGCTGAGACAGATATGGACCTCCAGATTCCCAGACTACCCTTCTACCTTTATTTCTATGCTGACCTCTCTCATTTCTACCTTTATTTCTATGCTGACCTCTCTCATTGTCTCTTTTTTGGTTAGACTGATACCTCTCCGGTTGCATTGTGCTTTCGGCTTCCTCTGCCTTCTCACGCTCCTCTCTCAGACCTCGAGAGGTCAGGCTGGAACGTTCCTCCAGGAGATCACAGGAGGAGCCAGCGTATTGAATAAAATAACACCACAGGCTAGTCAGTTAGTCTAGAACCAGGAGCGTTTCTATCCAAGTATGTAAAAAGGTAAAGGTAAAGGGACCCCTGTTGTCTTTGTCCATGGAGTTTTCTTGGCAGGGATACTGGAGTGGCTTGCCGGTTCCTCCTCCAGGTGGATTACGTTTGGTCAAAACTCTCCACTATGACCTGTTCATCTTGGGTGCCCTGCTCGGCATAGTTCATAGCTTCTCTGAGTTCTTCAAGCCCCTTCGCCACGGCAAGGCAGTGATCCATGAAGGGGATCCAGAGACCAAATTGCAAACATGCGTTGGATTATGGAGAAAGCTAGAGAGTTCCAGAAAGACTTCTACTTCTGCTTCATTGACTATGCAAAAGCCTTTGACTGTGTCAACCACAGCAAACTATGGCAAGTTCTTAAAGAAATGGGAGTGCCTGATCACCTCATCTGTCTCCTGAGAAATCTCTATGTGGGACAAGAAGCTACAGTTAGAACTGGATATGGAACAACTGACTGGTTCAAAATTGGGAAAGGAGTACGGCAAGGCTGTATATTGTCTCCCTGCTTATTTAACTTATATGCAGGATTCATCATGCGAAAGGCTGGGCTGGATGAATCCCAAGCCAGAATTAAGATCGCCAGAAGAAATATCAACAACCTCAGATATGCAGATGACACAGCCTTGATGGCAGAAAGCGAGGAGGAATTAAAGAACCTTTTAATGAGGGTGAAAGAGGAGAGCGCAAAATATGGTCTGAAGCTCAACATCAAAAAAACAAAGATCATGGCTACTGGTCCCATCACCTCCTGGCAAAAAGAAGTGGAAGAAATGGAGGCAGTGAGAGATTTTACTTTTTTGGGCTCCATGATCACTGCAGATGGTGACAGCAGTCACGAAATTAAAAGACGCCTGCTCCTTGGGAGAAAGGCGATGGCAAACCTAGACCTAAACCTAAACCTAAACCTGTTTAGGGAAGCTTTTAATGTTTGATGTATTAGAGTATTTTAATATTTTTTTTGGAAGCCGCCCAGAGTGGCTGGGGAAGCCCAGCCAGATGGGCGGGGTATAAATAATAAATTATTATTATTATTATTATTATTATTATTATAGACAGCATCTTAAAAAGCAGAGACATCACCTTGCCAACAAAGGTCCATATAGTTAAAGCCATGGTTTTCCCAGTAGTGATGTATGGAAGTGAGAGCTGGACCATCAAGAAGGCTGATCGCCGAAGAATTGATGCTTTTGAATTATGGTGCTGGAGGAGACTCTTGAGAGTCCCATGGACTGCAAGAAGAACAAACCTATCCATTCTGAAGGAAATGAGCCCTGAGTGCTCACTGGAAGGACAGATTGTGAAGCTGAGGCTCCAATACTTTGGCCACCTCATGAGAAGAGAAGACTCCCTGGAAAAGACCCTGATGTTGGGAAAGATGGAAGGCACAAGGAGAAGGGGACGACAGAGGACGAGATGGTTGGACAGTGTTCTCGAAGCTACCAGCATGAGTTTGACCAAACTGCGGGAGGCAGTGGAAGACAGGAGTGCCTGGCGTGCTCTGGTCCATGGGGTCACGAAGAGTCGAACACGACTAAACAACTAAACAACAACAAAGGGACCCCTGACCATTAGGTCCAGTCATGGCCGACTCTGGGGTTGCAGCGCTCATCTTGCTTTACTGGCCAAGGGAGCCAGCGTACAGCTTCCGGGTCATGTGGCCAGCATGACTAAGCCGCTTCTGGTGAATCAGAGCAGCGCACGGAAACGCCGTTTACCTTCCCTTCGGAGCAGTACCTATTTATCTACTTGCACTTTGACGTGCTTTCGAACTGCTAGGTTGGCAGGAGCAGGGACCGAGCAACGGGAGCTCACCCCATCATGGGGATTCAAACCGCCGACCTTCTGATCGGCAAGTCCTAGGCTCTGTGGTTTAACCCACAGCGCCACCTGTGTCCCATCATCCAAGTATGTAGGTACGGCAACAAACGGCTTTGTGATTTTCCTACCTACAAGCATCTCCCTGTTTGTGTGATTGCTGGTTGCCACAAGCAAAAGTCTTCTCTCTAACTGGGATCCACTCCCTTAGTCCTTCCTTGCTGGGTTTCAGCCAGTGACCCAGTGAAGCCCACCACACTTGCAAGGAACTGCTCATTCTACCACCTGCATGCTCCAAATGAGTCCCTGTGCGCACACTGGAAGCAGCCCCAGAGAAACATCCCACGAGAGAATGAAATCAGGTCTGCATTTTCAGGAGGAGACACTCAGCCCTAAAGTCTTCCTTTCTGCTTTGAAATTTGGCCCTCCAATTCTGTTTCATGTTGCCTCATTTGAACATAAAGTGAACTGTGACTTATTAGATGAGGCCTAGACCTGGCCAGGGGCTTAACTATGGGTTGTTTCCTGCCAACAAGCAACCGTCTGAAGCCATGGTTTATTATTTGTGGCTTGACAGGCCATCTAGCAGCAGGTTCTTGCCAGGAGATAAAGGCAGGAGGAAAGAAGAGCCAGGCAGCAGACGCTGGAAATACAAGCCATGGTCTGTTTGCTTATCCTGATTTATTCATTTTTTAATGTGTTTGTGGGAGGGGGTGCAATTGTTTTGCTTTTGCTTTTATTATGTTTTCCATGTTTTGATCTTGTATCTTTATGCTGTGAACCAACCTGACATCTACGGATGAAAGGAAGTATGCAAGTTTAATAAATAAAATAAGTAAATATTCAGGCACAGATTGTGGTTAAGTCTTGCGTTGTTAAACAAAGCAAGTAATTGTCAAGTAATTTAAGCTTTGCAAAAACTGAGCTATTTGGTTAGAGCGTGGTGCTCATGCCAAGGTTGTCCCCATCTGGGGCAGCTGCGTATTGGACGAGATCCTCAGGGTCCCTCCCAATGCTATGATTCTTTGAGAGCAACCAAAGAAAAGCACTTTGCACGACACCTTTGCTAAACCCGGCAGCTCTTGCTTTGAATAATTTCCTTAATCCCATAACTAGCAGGTGTGATAGGAATTATAGAATCATAGAGTTGGAATAGACCACAAGGGCCATCGAGTCCAACCCCCTGCCAAGCAGGGAACACCATCAGAGCACTCCTGACATATGGTTGTCAATTTTGAAGTCTTAGATATATGTTAAATGTTCATAAGTGTACCAACCAAGCACGTACATGGATCAGCACAGAAAGACCGACCTGGAACTATTTTTGATTCCCAAACTGTCCCAAACTGACCAAATGTTTTCTCTGCAAGGTCAAAGGAAAATGGAAAAGCCTCCCCATTGTCTTTTCCTTCACAAATCCTGTCTTAAGGGTATGTCTGTGTTTGAATAGGGTGAGCCTGTGACCTGACTCAGGAACTAAGTATTTATCATTACAAAAGACTGGCCAGGCTCCCCAGGGTATCCAATCAAGTGAGCATTAACAGGTAATCTGCTAGACAGGAGATAAACAACGCACTCAGATTTCTTTTGTAGACAGCCCCTTCTGTGATGTAGGTATGATGTATCTGGGGTGGTGGTCTTGAGCTACAGGGTGGCAATTTAAAATGTCTATATAAGGCCTTGAACGCCATTGTTCAGGGTTCCTCCTCCTTTCCTGTGTGTGAGGGGAGCACCCTGTTGCAACAGATCAATAAAGATCAAGCTTCCTAGCTGCTTTGCTTCTCAATATTCTCTGGTTGGCCTCTGTTATTTTCTCCTACAATCGGGAACCTACATAACGACTCTGTATGGGCTCTTGGATACCCCATAAGGGAAAAGGGGCAGATTTTTGTTTACAACACAGGAAACACAGGGCATGTGTTACTGTGCAGTCTGCATTTCGGCACACGATCTGTGTGGCTCTTTTCTTGGCTTGGCTTTCACTGTGAGCCAGGAGGGAGGAATGGCAGATGGGAGGAATGGGAGGTGGGCCTCTCCGGGGGGTGGGGTGCTCCATCTCCCACTTCCTGGTGTGTCCCCCAGAGCAAGGGAGGCGGGTGGTTAAAGGGCAGAGCAAGCGGCAGCAACAAAGCCACAGGAAGCAGGGACTGCTGTGCAAAGTGATTTACTGCAAAAGTGGGTGAGGGAGTCCAGCAAACATGGTGGAGGTGGGGAGGCGACCAGGTGCTGAGAGGAGAGCATCAGGGAGACGGTGGTTGTCACTGCCTTCAGGTCAGGGTCTGTGGAGGGTCCCCCACTGCTGCTGCTCCACAAGGTCCGGGACGCTGCATCTGGAGAGGGAAGATGAGAGAGGGAGAGGGTGAGTCCAGCCTCGGTGCAGGCGGGTGCCTTTGCAATTATTACCATTTATTAAATTTAGACTCTGCCCTCCATCTGAAGATCTCAGGGCAGTTCACAACATAAAGGTGGGAAAAGGCGCTGTTGCAAGGCCTGTGTTTTGCAGGCACTCCAGAGCTGGGCTGGCAGAATCCAGCCCACGACACTCACCACCCCAGCATCATAAATGTCCCACAGAAATCCTGCTAGTGGGTCGATACCGTGATGCCTAAGTAAACCCTGTGGGGAGCTCATGGCAGGTTATGGGATTTGTGGGATGTGAAACACAAGAGCAGTCAAGTACAACATTCCTAGAGTGAACATGTTTACACATGGGGAGGAAAGTTTGTCCAGCCAGCAGGTAAACTTCCTGTTTCCTTCTGGGCTGGGACAGACTTTCTCTGCATGTGACTAGAGGTGGGCGTGGCCTCACCTGTGAAGGTAACGACAAAAGCACAGGGCAGGGCAGCCATCTCTCTCTCTTTGACTACATGCATCGAAGAAGCAACATCTGCTCAGCCAAAGATGCTCTCTTGGCTTCCAGACCAGAAAGGACAAAGGGACTGTCTTCTTATGAGATAGTTTCTAGGTATATGTTACTTTTCTAAGCTAAGTCTGCCTTCTGGGATCCTATTGTGAACAAAATGATGTGTGAGTAAACCTTTTTATACTTTTATAGAAGACTGTGTCGTGTCTTATCTTTTATGAGGGAATAAGGGGAAAATACAAGAACAGTTATTATAGAGGCTTTAGCGAGCCTGAGCTAACGCATCTGCTGTGAGTTTAAAAAGGGGAATGTTACTCTGCTAAATTGTGAGCTTGTTAACACAAGTTGGAAAGGCTATAATCAGACAATATATCCTCTCCTGCATCCCTGAACATTCCCACAACGGGGTCACCTCAGAATTCAGGAGTGGAACAGGCCAATTTGCCGCAGCCGTTCTGGCAGCATTTCTTGTCCCCTGGGCAGTTCGAATCCACTTCACACGCATTGTGGCAGGCGCCCAGCATGGAGATCCCGATGGAAAGGCTGGGGCAAGTGCCTGGCTTATCTGCAAGGGGAGAAGAGCAGAGAGTGAGCAGGCAGAGATGTCTGGAGCCACAGGGAATAAAGGAAGGCAAGCGCAGAGGCAGCCTCTGCCACCCATCTGGCAGTGGGTCTTCTCCTCCAGGGCAGCCCAGGCTTTTCACTGCTCGTGGGCAGGCAGGTGAAGGCGAGGGAGAGCAATGTTTGGAGTGGAATCACAGAAGGATCCTGCAAAGCAGAAGACCAAGGAAGGGTGGAAGGAAGGGGAGGAAGAAGGAGATGGTGCTTCAGAGTCACAAAGAACACCAGAGGAGCCTGACGGCTGGATCATGCCAGTGACCCTTCTAGTCCAGTGGAAAACCAGATGCCTATTGTGGGGAACCAGTAAGAAGTGGAAGCAGCAGCAGTTGCCTTAAAGGGGAGGCCTCTGCTGCAGACGGACGGCTGCCGCCCCAAGCACACTTTCTAGGACTGGACAAGACTTACCTCTGAGGTTGGACACAGGAAGCCTTTGAAGCTCACACCAGTTCCTTTTCCACACTGCACTTTTCATAGAGTTGTAGAGTTGAAAGGGACCCCCAAGGGTCATCCAGTCCAACCCCCTATAACAGAGGTTCTCAACCTGTGGGTCCCCAGATGTTGTTGGACTACAACTCCCATCAACCCTGAGCTCTGGCCTTGCTAGCTAGGGAGTTGTAGATGGGAGTTGTAGTTCAACAACATCTGGGGACCCACAGGTTGAGAAAGGCTGCCCTATATTGTAGGATTCTCAACTAGATCATAGATCATTTGTACAAATAAGTATGCAATTGGACACACAATAACATTGTCTAAAGCAGCAGCTATAATAATATTTATACCCTGCCCTCCCAGGCCAAAGCCGGGCTCAGGGCAGCTAACACCAATAAAATCACAGTAAAAACATAATAGGGGAAAAAGAGAGGGGGGGGACACCCAATTTAAAATACAGGTTAAAATGCAATTTAAAATGCAGCCTCATTTTAAAATAGCCGATAAATCAAGACCATAAGGGGAGGGAAACATAAGGGACAGACTGAGTCCAGACCAAAGGCCAGGCGGAACAGCTCTGTCTTGCAGGCCCTGCGGAAAGATGTCAAGTCCCGCAGGGCCCTAGTCTCTTGTGACAGAGCGTTCCACCAAGTTGGGGCCAGTACTGAAAAGGCCCTGGCCCTAGCTGAAACCAATCTAACCTCCTTGGGGCTCGGGACCTCCAAAGTGTTGTTATTTGTGGACCTTAAGGCCCTCTGCGGGGCATACCAGGCGAGGCAGTCCCGTAGGTACGTGGGTCCTAGGCTGCACGTCCTAGCTACTGCTAGTCCTAGCTACTCTCTGTGTTGTCCATGCACACAGGTGGGCACCCTTACAAACTAGTGTGCACCAGTCTTCTGTGTTCCCCTCCCCTCAATCACTGTTTCCGCTAACTTTTTTTCTATTTTTTATTTTAATGGTGGGAGTTCCAAGGGTTCTGCATATACATACCCAACCCCTGGGGCCCAGCCCAAGACCTTTGGGCACACGAGTTGAACCATCAAACGGTGCCCCCTGCCAGGGAAAAAAGGCTGAGTGAAGATCTACATTGGAAACAAGAGTGTGGGGTTGGTGGGGGTCAAATCAACCTTCAATCTGGGAATCAAAGGCTGCTGCAAGGAGAGGGGGAAAGGCCCACTGAAAGATGCTGGGCGGTGCAAACCCCAGGAGGCGCCAGAAGGCAGCCCCCGCCCTTTCCTCCCTAGGGGTGGGGGAGAGTGTCAGTGCCACCTATTCACCCAAAGGCCACTGTAGAGGCAGAACGGGGGTGGGGGGCACCTGAGGAGGGTGGCAGCCTTCCTTCCAAGAAGTGCACCAGGAGTGCAACACAGCTGTTGCTATCACTGCAGGATCAAGCGCAGGCGCCGGCGGTGATGCATTCATCGGAGGCTAGATCTCCTGCCACGTGGATCATGCTGCCTGAGATACTGGTACTTGCCTCACATTGCCTCACAGTAGATGCAAAGATAGATAGATAGACAGATAGATAGATAGATATAGATAGATAGATAGATAGATAGATAGATAGATAGATAGATAGATAGATAGCTTTCTTTTTCTGGGGGACGCGAGGGTATGCATGTCAGGAGGTCCATTCTGCAGCTTAGTTTAAGCTGGAACACCCTTTTACTGTCCTTATCAGACTGCTATAAATCAATCCTTCTTCTGCTGGCCTTTCTGAACAGGCTTGCCTCGTGCTGCCAGTTCCAGGAGACTCCAACCGGGACAAAAACAACCCCGGTTCTTCCTCTGCTGGCATTGGGTGTGTGGCCCCAATCCCTGGGCCCATAACCATTGTCAGGAGCTTGACCTGCACTTGAGTAGGACCCTGGCAGAGACACATGCCCGACTGGCATGTTCTTTCCCTCTTGGTCAATCGTTCAGGAGCGTCAAAAGCTTTCTTCAGCCCGAACATCATAGCGACTGATGCCAACAGACATCAGCACACTTAGGGATCCACAGAGTCTTCGCAGCTTGCGTGACAGACCTCAGCAACTCAGCATTTTGGCTAATCTACTTTATTTACATATAAACACACACGGAGCACTGCAACATGGCTCCCTCTCTCTCTAGCATCAGACAGCAAAGAGAAAAAGAACAAAGGACAATAGTCCTACTTCACGGAACACAGTAACACAAACATCCTGTCTCCATCACTTCCCACTCTGGAGTCAAAACATACACCGTCATGTGATAGACAACAATCACATGACTGCAATCACGGAGCAGGAATCCTAATATCGCATACACCTAAACATTTTGTGAATCTAAGTTTGGCTTCATTGAGGGGAAGTATTTCAATATAAGTAGGAAAATGAGAGTACTCCTAAACATTTTTTGGGGGGGCGGGAAGCACTGGATGGATGGATGGCTGGCTGGCTGGATAGATAGATAGATGATAGATAGATAGAGATAAAGATGATAGATAGATATCAGTCTATAGAGATGGCAAGGTTGCTGCCCTGCTATCCTGCCTATTTTATACAGTTGGAAGGGACCCCCCCCCCTCAAATCCCGTGATCATAGCTAAAGCATTTCATTCATAGACATGTTAAACACGGGAAGTGGAAAGCACAGCCCTGCAAAGTTCGTCAGTCTGCTGCAGTCGAAGGTGACCTCAGAAAGCTCCATGCAGGCCATGAGCTCTTGAGAAGGGCCTTCTTGGGACAAAATGAGTTAAATAGTGCAGACCCTTGGGGTCCCTTCCAAATTACAATTCTATGATTCTAAGGGCAACATGGGGATGATGTTGCAGGCACAGGACCCCAAAACGGCACCTGCACCCATCAGTGGGTGCGCCTGATCGTACGGTTTGCACACGCCCTGAGTCAACACTAAGTTCTTGCCTGTATGAGACGCCCATTAAAGGATTTCAACAGGGAAAGAAGCACTATATTAAGCACTATATTAAGTATTTCCTGGAACTGCAGCTGGTTGCGAAAGAGAAATGCCTCAGCGACGAGGCAGGAGTACCTTCTCCGAATGGGGAACGTCGGCCCCGCAGAGACGAAAAGGAGATTCTCTTAAGAAGCAAAGTTCTCCGCATCTCTATCAGCCTAGATGGGGCACCATCTCACCTCCGAAGGCCAGCCCAGCCCACGGGGTTGGCAGGCTTAGCCTGGCATTTAACAGCATCATGAAAACGCAGAACTGAAAGTGCCCAAACAGAGGAATCCCCACTGCTTTGTGGAGAAGCTCAGCTGAAGACTTGGGCAACTTTCCAAGGGGAGCCTGGAAGTGTTTTGGGGCTACCCAGGGGATCCCTGCACGAGCTCTTCTTGCCGTTTCTCACTTCTCCAATGCCACCGCTTGTGCCTCCTGCCCACCCCATCCTGCCCCCCACCAGAGAACCAAGAAAAATCCACAGCCACTTCTCCTGTGGTGGAGGCTGCCTCCAGAAGCCTCTGCCACAATCATACGACCCCAGCAAGCCAGGCTTCAGAAGGGGTGGGGTGCGCTTGGAACCTGAACATTTTGCCTCAGGCAGCAAAATGGGCTGTCCCAGAGCCTAGGACTTGCCGATCAGAAGGTCAGAGGTTCAAATCCCTGCGACGGGATGAGCTCCCGTTACTCGGTCCCTGCTCCTGCCAACCTAGCAGTTCAAAAGCACGTCAAAGTGCAAGTAGATAAATAGGTACCGCTCCGGCGGGAAGGTAAACGCCGTTTCCGTGTGCTGCTCTGGTTCACCAGAAGCGGCTTAGTCATGCTGGCCACATGACCCGGAAGCTGTATGCCGGCTCCCTTGGCCAATAAAGCGAGATGAGCGCCGCAACCCCAGAGTCGGCCATGACTGGACCTAATGCTCAGGGGTCCCTTTACCTTTTCCTTACTTCCAAAAAGCCACCAGTAATTCCCGTGAAGGCCTCCCTAACCGGAGGAGGGTGAGCAGGCACCTTTGTACCCCATCCTGCCCCACTAGCGCATGGGGCTCCAGTCACTTAAGGAACGTGGTTACTCTTTGCAGACTGGAGTGGCAGGACATTTCTGCCCTGCTGGGTGCTGGGCTAGATGTAGGGAATGGCGCATCCAAACTGTTATGCAAGGGTTAATGCTGTAGCACAGAATCCTATGATGTTAACACCACTGTTGGGTCAGTGGTCAAAGGCAGAGAGTGCGTTTTAATTGTGAGAGCAGCAGGTGTTATTTTGATGCTGCTGTGTGTCTGTAAATATTTGCCAGTCTCATATATGAATTCATGTAAATATGTTTCAGAATACCAAGTAAAAGTAAAGTGTTATTTTCAAACAAAGTGTCTTGGTAGTCTTTTCTAGGAGAGAAAAAGAGAACTATTAAATAGGGCCAAATGACCCCAGGCAATTTCCGCATAACTGTGTACAATTACCACACAGATGAACCCCGGGGTCCCTTCCAGTTCTCCCAGCTCTGCAATTCTATCATTCCACAAAGAAGATGCTTGTCTCCTGCTTGTGCAGGATCCTGGTTGTCACAGCTTCAGGCTGGATCCTGCACAGCTCTCTCACCCTCCTACCAAGAAGCTTAGAATCACAGAACCATAAAGTCGGGACCCCTGAAGGTCCTCTAGTCCAACCCCCTGCAATGCAGGAACCTCAGCTAAATCATCCAACCCCTGTTTAAATGCCACCTCCCTCCTTTATGCCACAGAAGGAGCAAAATCCCAAACACTGCTCTTTGCAAGGACGTTCCACACATCAGGAGACCCCAGGCCTCACCTGCATACCTTGTATGCCCAACTTATAACCTGACCATTCTGCATCCATTCAGAGGGGCCTGGGCATGGGGCCACTGACTGCTGGAAAGATGGGGCAGGGGCTTCCATAACAGGCAGCCCACCCCCCACTCATAACACCTGGCACCATGGTGCTGAAGCTGAGGCCTAAGATTAAAAGAGGAGCTGCTGGATCAGGCCAGTGGCTCATGGAGTCCAGCCTCCAGTTCACACAGTGGCCCATGGAAAATTTGCACGCAGGATCTGGGCACCAGAGCCCTCTCCCCTCTGTGGAGATAGAGTGGAAGATTCCTCTCCTCTGCTGAGATATCCAAACCTATTTTTAAAGCCTTCCAAGTTGGTGCCCATCAGGGTCCCCTGTGGCAGTGAGTTCCACAGTTCAACCTTGTGCTGCCTAGCTGAGACTGGCTCCTGGGGGGCAGAAGGATTGCAGTGGGGGCACAGGAGGGCCAGCATTACCATTTGGGAGATGGCAAGAGGCCCCGCAGCCCGTCCGGCAGCACTTCTCGACGCCCTCACAGCTGGCATCAGACTGGCACTCTTCCGTGCAGTTACTGCTGGCACTCTCCATCTCTGTATCTGGGCATGTGCCCCCTTTGACTGCGGCAACTGGAAAATGCAAAGAGAAGACAGTGTTGCCTTGAGGGGTGCCACCCGGCCTCTTCTTGGGGGCCCTTGATGTGGCCGCAGGGAGTTCTCCTGCCCTTGGGGTGGCAAGCTGGCATCAATGCCCATGGCAGGCATTGCAGCAAAAGCCTTTTCTGGGAGGGTGGGGAGCAACTGCCCTGGGCTCCCTCCCAGGCACCCACTGCAGGTAAGAGAGTTTCCTTGCCGAAGGAGAGTCAGACGGCCCGGGCCTCTTCATGCAGCTGGGCCAGGCTGGAGACAAGGGCTTTTCTCTTCTTCTCATCTCACACCCACCTGTAATGTTCTGTTTGAGCACCTCTATCCGCAGAATCGAGGCTGTGAGAAGCCCCACCAGGGAGAAGAGGACGAAGAGTTGGAGGCAGCTGCTATTCCTGGGCGTCATGGTGCTGTTCCTCGCAGAGAAGATGTTGTGGTCTCTGGCTGCTGCAGGCCAAGCTTTAAGCTCTCTCAGGTGTGGCTGGAGGAGGGGGAGGGAGGTGGGGAGGGGGAAGAGAGGCTCCTGGGCGATGGACAGAGAACAAGTGGAGCCCAGCTCCCTCCTCCTTCCATTGCACAATCGGTTCGGATCAAGTAACGCAGCTGGCCCTGGTGTGAACCAGGAAGCGGCAGGCTCAGGGAGCCATAAGAGAAGATTCTGGGAGTCTTTGCTCAGCTGGCTAGGGACCCTTCTGTCTCTCCACCAACTCCTGGTCTCCTTGCAGCATGCAGGTGCTGAAGATGCTCAAGCAAGCCCCTGTTCTTCCCAGAGGAGACGTGCAAGTTGGACCAGCATCCTGAAGGCCAAGGGCATTGGGCCATCGAGCAAAAGCCCTCCACCAAAATCTCATTTCCCCCTCTGAGCCTGCAAGGGGCTCTCAGGAGACCTGCCAGGGCAGGTGGAGCTTGCCATCGAATATGGTGCCACAGGGAAAGGTTCGGAGGAAGAGAGGCTGGCTGCTGGCACTGCAAAGGTCCAGGAGCACATGAGGCAGAGAAGGCAGCAGAGTGGCAGAGAGTCTGCCTTTTTTCAGGGTATACCCAGATCTTCTTGTAGTGCCTCCCATGCCACCTGAATTGTGGTCGATGGTAAAGGAGGATGCAATGTTTGATGATAAGAAGAGCCTGCTGGGTCTGGTCAGTGGCACACCTGGCACAGCATCCTGTTCTCACAGTGGCTGAAGTCTTTGGTGTTGTTTGACTTACTTGCTTGAGTCCTCAAGAGCTACTGGCTCTCTCAGTCCTTCTCTAGCAGAGTGATGCCCCGCTTTGCACAACCAGCCCTTGAGCAGGAGAGAGAAGAGGCAAGCCTGTCATCTAAGGTACCAGGCTGGCTGTCCAGGTCTCAAGTTTCATGTTAGCCCGGCTGCGGGACCACCCAGGTCCCTTTGCTCCCTGTTGGGGTCACAGGGCACCTGGCAGCCTCCCTCCTTGTGTGTGTTCTCACGCCAGTTAAATCCCCGCTGTCAACAATGAGGCAAGGTTTTGGGAATGCTGGAGCTGATGCTTTGTTTGCCGTTGCAGGCACCATGCCTGATCAAGGGACACAGATGTCCACTTACGTAATGGGGGTTTAACTCTCCCAGCTTCCAGGGCAAGCAAGATTATCGCTGACCATTGTGGCCCAAGCCTAAGAGGATAGCCTAAGAGGGTGGGCTACGAAGGTGCCATGAGCTCTGATGGAAAAGGGACTGGTTGACAAGGAGGGGCGTTTGGCTTCTGCCCAAGCGTCATAATAGCAGGTGAGCACTTCCTGGCTGAAGCGTTCCTTCACAAGAACATAAGGAGGTCCTTTTGGACCAGGCCAATGGCCCATCTAGTCCAGCATTCTCTTCTCAGAGTGGCCCAGGAATCACGAATGCTTCTTAGAACCTCATAAGATTCTCTCCTGTTGACGGTCCGGATCCATTCTTTTCACACTCATTCTGATAATGGCAGGAAAGCCGTCCAGATGGGCTCCCTGCAGCTGTGTGTGCAGAGGAGCCAAGGAGCCTGGGGTGCAGCAGCAGCAGCTCTGATTTCTTTACACAGGGAAGGGTGACTGGCGGGCCAAGGGGCAGATCCGGATCTCCTTTCCATATTTGCACATCTCCAATCGAAGCACAAAGTGAGCAGGAGAGCAGAGCGACCAAGCTCTGGAGAGGAGCACACCTCCTTTTATGTTGAGAGATTCCTAATCTTTGGGACACATTAACAGCCCACAACCACATTTGCCCACATTATCCAGAAATATTTGCAAGAGCCTGCTGGATCAGGCTGATGGCACATCTGGTTCAGCATCCTTGTTTCTTGCTTCTTGCTTTGGAGTTTATTGCATTTTTATTTTCCTTGGTGGGTCCTGCAAACCTCTATTCTGAACGATGCTTTTTATAGGGTAGGGCAGGCGGCGCCAGAGTTGAGTTTATGAAACCAAGGGAGTGGGTCCCCCAAAAAGTTTGGGAACGACTGGCTCAGAGGGACTGCTGGCCTGGCTTGTTGGCTTCTGATGTCCCTCAGCCCTCCCAGACTTTTCTTTCTTCTTATGCCATTTGCTTTGGTCCCTGCTGGCTTATCTAATCTCTCCCTTTGCACCGATCAGCTGTGTAATTGTTCCTAGCTTTACCTTTTGGCTTAGGAAGCAAAGCAGAAAGAACCGACAAAGGAGGAAGATGTGGTTAGAAAAGGATCTGTTTGCAAATGGCAGGGAGGCATCCCCACCTGCTCTCTTTGTCCTTCTCTTCAGTGAACCATGTTTTCATGGCACAGCTGACTCTGGTGTATTGCCCTGGCTCCTTCTGAAAGTTTGCCATGCTCAGGAGAACAGTGAGGTCTGTTTCCTGCTTCCCTAATAAGCTCTGGCTAGATGAAGGGGAAACAGGCAAAATGCCCTTAGCAGCCCCTTGGAGCAGGTCATTCTGGTACTTGGCACAGCACTGAGGGACACATCCAGGCTTCCTTTTGTGCCATATTCCTAGGCACAGGTCTGTGCTTTAAAGCACTTTTATTTTGGCCCTGGCACTTCCCCCAGGAAAACCCGCTGCTTACTGCTGGATCAATGTGAACGTCAATCGGCAGAAATCCCAAATTGCCGTTTGTTCCAATGGAGCTTTAAAGAGTGGATTTTGTGGGGGGAAGCACTGGGGCAAAAAGAAAAAGGTGCTCAAACACAGTGCTTTAAAGTGTGGACTTGAACCTAGCAAGTGTGGGGTAAGTGTGGATGAGCCAGAGGTCAGCACAAGCATCTGCTGATGTTCTTGCAGAGCAGGCAGCCATTCTGGCTGAGATGCAGAGTCTGATGTGAAATGGTGGCAATTCTGTTTGCCTTGTGTGCTCCAGAATTCATAGGACAGAACTAAGCCTGAGAGTTTAGGAAACATTTCTGGAATTAAGACACTCTTGTGTTGCATAGGGGTTTGTGGGCAGAGGGCATTATTAGTTTGCCTTGTTTGAGTTCTTGTTTTCATCTTGGATTTTTATGCTGGGAAACCACCCTGAGATCTACAAATGAAGATAAATAAAATAAATAAAATAATGGGAGACCAGGGCTCTATTGTTCCCCCCACCACCACCTTAACTGCTACAATGGGGATATTTGCCCCCCTTTCCAGGGCCAGGGACCTCCCTGGTCGTCCTTGGCTGCCACATGGTCAGAGCATGCAGGAACCATGCATTGCAGGGCTCTGAGCCAGGTGTCCCTTTGTGTTCCGTCCACTCTATTCTTCTATGGTCCTGTAGGGAGCAGGGGTCTAGGATGGTGCTTTATTGCTTGGAAGAAATGATATAGGCCGAAGCAAAAGCATCCCTCCCTCCCTCCCTCGGTCAACGTTTTGTGCAAAACTGCCCTACAATCCACACCAGATCCATTTTCACCTGAGAACAATCCAGCCTGTGTCCTTTGAGCTGCATTTTGAGAAGAGCATTTGGGCATGTTGTGTGCCAAAGATGAGCTCCTGGGCAGAACACTTCTCGCAGCCATGGCGGCAGGGACTTGGAAGGTGGTCAAATTCAGGGAGGGGTTTAGGAGAGAGAGAGAGAGAGAGAGAGAGAGAGAAAGAGAGAACTACATTTCTAGCCAGCTTCTTTGGGCCAGTCAGCAGTTTGTAACCTGAGTTGTCGTCTGTTACATAAAGGATTAATTGGTACTTACCTTGCAGATGATAACTAGGAGGGCGAAAGCAACAGTGGCAAAGGGGGGGGGAGCAGGGGGGGGTGGCCATTGCATTCTAGGACTTGTTTTCTGCCTGATGTATTTGTGTTTGCTCAGCCTGAGGATCTGCTCTGCCTTTCAGCAACCTCTCTAACTGCTACCAAATTGCAAGCAGCTGCTTATTTTGTGCCCCTGCCTTTAGGGCAATATCGTCCCCATCCTGGCATGGTTGGGTCGCTTTCTCTGCCACAGCCATGCATTTGTGCATTTGGTGCATGTATATAAGGTTGCTTCTTAAAAATGTTGCACAAAACTCATGGAGTCATGATATGGGGAAACTCACGGCTGTTGGATTATTGCAAGCTCTGGACGGCTTGGAAGTCCGGCCTTCTTATCCTAACAGGTCACAGTTTACTGTGTACTTGACCGCCTCTAGCAGTCTGCTGCAAGGACCAAAGGCAGAAGCCCCAGGGCAGCAGTGCCTGGATGAGTCTGAAGCCAAGCAGGGTTGGGGTTGCTCAGTGCCTGGATGGGAGAACTTTGGTCATCATGTTGGAAAACATGCAGCATGTAAATAGGAGAAAATCAAGAGATTCCTGCATTGCATGGGGGGTGGACTAGATGGCCCTTGGGGTGCCTTCCAGCTCCACAGTTCTATGATTCATTGCACTTCTCACCTTGAGGATGGGGCCAGGGTCTGGAAGGGAGTGGGCAGGAGGGCAGGTGGACCTGATTGGCTGGCCAGTTGGCTGGCCCAGAAGACCTCCCCCTCCAAGTC